GCTTTAGTCATTTCACATTTCAGAGAGAGAAAGATTACCTCAGGGATGGAGACACAGGATGAAAAGATGTCCTTTCCTAAGGAAAATGGTCAAATAAAATGTTTGAATTGTTTATCTGTAAATATTTAAATAATCACCGAATAGACTGTGCACTATAAAGAGTAACTGTAATCTTCAGTCACCAAATTCTCATGAATGAAATGCAGGTTTGACGTTTAATTACTGTGGTAACCTGTTGCCACAACAAACCGAGCTTCAGCTTAGCTTTAGGCTAAAGTCAGTTAACATTACTAGCCTCCTTAAAGACAGGCGGACATAACAGAAAACAAATATCAACAAAATCTAAATCTGTGACTACTGACCAGTCAGAAAACGAACTCTCCACTCGGTCAGTCAAATGAGTCGTGAAGTATATTTTAACTGTTATTTTGTCGTTGTGCTAGAAAAAGTATTAGCTAACTTACCATCGCAAGTGACGGTCTGGGTCGGAGCGTCGACTGTCGTCCTCTTCTGATCCGGTGTTACGGTAAATTCAGTTCCCCCTGTTCCCCCCCATTACGCATGTTGAAATCTTGACGTCTTCAGTTGACGCTGCTCTGCGGGGCTCAGATGAGAGGCTTAATTCGTTTGTGTTTGTACCGTCAGTGGCTATTAAAATATACACCTACTGTAGGCTGAAGATAAGTCGAGTTCAGAAAAGGTGGGACATAAGATGAAGTTGGACGAATAACCTTCCTACTGCTTTGGGTGTGACAGCTGTCATTCAAATGCAACTGTTATGAATAATTACCACAAAAGTGCTGGTCATTCAGCATTTGTGTTCACTGTCATGACCGCACTGATGTAGGCGGGAACTTAAGGGCTAATGCCATCTTGCGTGTTGTTAGCAGAGCGACAAATCAGAGTATTTATTATTCTTAGAAACTTAAAATAATTATAAAGTATGAAGATACTTTAGATAAGGAGATTGAGAGGAGAAGTCAAAACAAAAAGAACACTGGATTGCCAAAGAGAAATAATGTATATTGTTTTAAAACTATAATTAATCATTTGATAAAGTAGGTGTAGAGTGTTGTGCTACTTCCTCTAACCATACATGGTAAAGAGACACAGCGTTTATGTATAAATTAGGAAATGTGTCAAGCTTTTAGCAGCTGCACACATTACAATATGAAAGATACTGAATAAAAGCTAAGATTAGGCTAAGCCTACAGACCTAACAGCTCAGATTTTGTGAAATAAACTAAAAATGCAGACGAAATCCTTCAATATAAACGTGCTGAAAACCTGCATCTCTAGGGTGCTCCTTGGTGCAGATACATTGGTTTGTCGCCTGATGGGGCTATTCTCCATACAAATTAAGTTAAATGGCTTTTTTTTCTTGATCATAAGAGACCACTTTAGTCGTGTCGTCATTTTGTAGTCGGCGCCATGTTGTTATGCCCATATTAGGAACTCCGGGTCTAAGCTTCATTTCTCTATGGGCAGAATGAATAGGGTTTCCGAAAAATCGCCTCTATCGCTCCCTGTGATAAATAAAAATGTTCAGAACCCGATACGTTTTGTCCTGTGAACATTCTTCTCTTGAAGACCACTGGATCCTCTGAACTACGAGGTCGTTAAATATGAATATTGCTACATGTGAGCTAAAACTACTGCGCACTGAATTCACGTCATTAGACTGGCAGCCTCCTTAAGCAGGTTTTGGCAGTAGACATTTCCATTTACAGACTGAGGGCAGATAAAAAGCAGTCCGAACAAAATCACCAGGTTTCCCCAGTTCTCTGTTCTTCATCTGATGCTCACTGAGACACGCTAGATCTTTCCTTATAGCATGATTTGAAAAGATCTACAAACGTACCTGCACTCAGGCTAATCCAGTACAGACTGAGCTTAATATCACTGCTGACCCCCGGATAAACTCATTTCGAAATCAGAATATCCTAATTATTATTATTTTAATGCTAATAACAATTTTCTGAGGACATTTTCTCAGGACATTCGCCAGCTTTTTGTTCGACTTTTCCCGTTCCACCTTAAGTGGTGCAGCAGTCACGTTCTGAACTTTGAACAAGTAGGCGGCGAAAAAGAAGCTGACTTCAGCTTCATGGAGGGTTGAAAGACATAATATGAGGATGTTTCTCTATTTCCCCTTAACAGCTGAGTGACATTAACTTATTGTGCCGTTTCACACAACCGACAGGTCGGTATTTTGTCTCGTTTGCTAATGTTTGTGATAGCTAGTCACAGCTGCTGCACCATTTAAGGTGGAACGGGAATATTCAAACAAGAAGCTGCGAAAAAAGAAGCTAAATTCAGCCTCGTAGTTTTAATACAGGTAGTATAAGGAGTTTTAGCCTATCAAAATATCCTACCTAGAGGTTTTATTTACAGCTATATCGGTAAATATGCGCTACCGTGGCTGGGCGATAAACCGCTAACGATAATAACGATATATAATAAATAATATTGATATAACTTTTCCTCGATAGAGCGATAATGTTCGATAAATGTTCGATATAATACACCATTCTCACACTTTCACGTTTTAGCGAAAGCCCTGGTGGCGTTTTCTACTGCAATGAAAGTGACACTACTCTGCTGTCGCCAGGAGAGGGCGCACTTCCGAGTTTTTCCGACATGATTAGAGAGGGAGGGGCGACGAGTAAAAAAGGGCGGCTAAATATACTTTAGCAACGTCTGAAACGGAGTTATACGTTCGCTGTTTGAGTGGAGCGACCAGCGATCTGTTCTCCCGTGACCAAGTGCGAGTGACGAGATAAGTGGTGTAACTGTACTGTCCTACAGCGAGCTCACCACTTTCTGTACATTCTAACCAGCTTTAGCAGCGTTAAATCACGTCTGGTCCTCACAACTAAAGTGCTGTTACAGCGCTCGGACAGTCATATTTGAGTGTTGGTGCGTTCACAAGCAACGAAAGTGAAAGGAAGATGTGAGTTACAGCCCTAATTTAAACGAAAGTAAACTTAGGACGCTGTGAGGCATTGGAGAGCGCTATCTTTCCAGGCTAGCTGTTTTTAGCAGCTGGCTAACTTGAAACAGCGCTGTCACTTGCACAACACTTTGGGAAATAAGGATTTCCATTCAACATAAAAACTAAAGTGAATAATTGTGTTAAAATGAATGTAGTTTTAACAATTTGAAATTTAATAAGTGGAAACACAAAAGAAATCTGATCTTTTTGTTTCTTCAAAATTCCATCTGAAAGATAACGACTTCAGTGTCATAGGTGTCAAACGAAAGAGTAGTAAAATAAAAGTATTTTAAAAAGTGCAGCTTTAGCAGCGTTAAATCACGTCTGGTCCTCACAACTAAAGTGCTGTTACAGCGCTCGGACAGTCATATTTGAGTGTTGGTGCGTTCACAAGCAACGAAAGTGAAAGGAAGATGTGAGTTACAGCCCTAATTTAAACGAAAGTAAACTTAGGACGCTGTGACGCATTGGAGAGCGCTATGTTTCCAGGCTAGCTGTTTTAGCAGCTGGCTAACTTGAAACAGCGCTGTCACTCGCACAACACGGCGAATTGATGATACTGTAGTCTGACAAGGAGCCAGCTAGCTTAACGTTTGCTGTTCGTATTAAACTGACGTTGTTGAGAAATTAAACAGTTTAGCACTGTTGTTGGCCACTTGTTTAGCATTTGTAACTGGATAGCCGAGCACTCGTCACCAGACAGCTAAAAATAATCTTTTCTTTCTTAAATTATAACTATTACAAAAACTACGTCCGTGCTTTTCCAGCTGATAAAAACAGCTCACCAGAAACTTTATCCCACTCTCCCAGTGACAAATGGCTCCCATGGCTTCAAACTTGAAAGAAATAATTATTTGAGATAAGGTGGAACGGGAAAACTCGAACAAAAAGCTGATTGTAATCCTCTGTACTACGTTGTGTATGAATTGTGCTCTGTAAATAAACTTTCTTTGCCTTAAACATAAGAAAAACTAAAGTATTTATAGTAGATTTGTGGAGGAAAAACTCGGCTCATATTGCTCTTACTGTAAATGGTGGAACTGTGGAGATGGAAAGCAGTTAGAGACAGCCTGGCTTACACATTTCTAGTGATCTAATGTGGGAAGATCACTCTAAAACCATCATGAAAAAGACGCAACAGTAATTTTGTATTAAAATTGTAATTTTTTGATTTTTGGTCTAGAAAGTTTGAATCAGTACAAACACTTGTGTTCAGAGGTGTTCAGTCTTATCCACAAAGAGCCAGTGTGACTGCAGGTTTTCATTCCAAACAAGCAGATCACCTGATTCCACTAATCAGCTGGTCAGTCTTCGAACAGTTGATCATGTGAGATCCTGTTTTGTTGAAATGAAAACCTGCAACCACATGAGCCCTTTGTGAATAAAACTGAACACTCCTGTTCTAGTCCTGCTTCATCACTGCACTGAAGAGAGTATTCTATCTAAATGCATTACAGTATGGGATCAGCACACAACCAGTTCAGAGTACAAGACTGTAAAGACTGCTCATACTGACTGCCTCTCATCTCCCACCTTTAGACTGTCTTTATAGAATTTGCTGTCTAAACAGAGCACAAAACATCCTGAGGGAAACCACCCATCAGGTAGGAGGAACCACTGACTTCATTCTGCAACAAGGATTAAGGACAGTTTTTAAACTCAGGTTATCAGAATGCTGAACAATGATCAGACATGGCTGCTAATTCAACTCACACTCTAAATAGCAATGCATTTTAATAGGTTGTGTTGGTTGTGTATTTTACTGTTTCTTGCTGTGGTTTAAATTGGGTACACTGTTTAATGTTTATGTGTTTGAGTGGTTATGTATAAAGAGAGGTGCCTGTGAGTAAGATTTTCATTGTTTTAAACACATGGTAGTAAAGTAAAACTAATCATTGCTGAAATGTTATTATTTCTATGTCTGAATAGCGTGAAATTTACTTTGGGAAATAAGGATTTCCATTCAACATAAAAACTAAAGTGAATAATTGCGTTAAAATGAATGTAGTTTTAACAATTAGAAATTTAATAAGTGGAAACACAAAAGAAATCTGATCTTTTTGTTTCTTCAAAATTCCATCTGAAAGATAACGACTTCAGTGTCATAGGTGTCAAACGAAAGAGTAGTAAAATAAAAGTATTTTAAAAAGTGCACCTATCATTTATACAGTTGTTGTTCATTTTAGTTAATTTATTTATTAGAGCTACATCAAGTTATTAAATAAGGTTTTAATCCGACTGAGCTGGAGACTGGGAGGCTTTGCTTTAGCTGTTTTTTTGTTGTCACATTCTTCTTCATCTCTCTTTTTCTCTCCTCTTCTTCTTCAGGCAGGACCTGTCACATACAACATTACCACACTTTAAACATATACATAACACTCCTAAACACCACACTAGCACTGGAGTTATACAGAAGTGGTAAGCATGTGCACCTCCACACCCACACACCTCAGAGCTCTGCTTTGTTCTGCAGGGAGAGCTGTTGTGAGTTCCCATCTACAAGATCAAACTCTCCAGAAACTGCATCCTATCCTTATGTAGCTGTGACAACCTGGAAAAGATATAAAAACAAACATAATGAGTTGTTCATCTCTGGCTCAAATCATGGTTTGTTAGATTTCCTCAAATTTGTAACATTTCCTCATCAAAAGTATTCTCATGAACGTTAAATTAAAATTGGAAATGTCAAAACTGTTCATGCTTATTATATAGAGCTGCAACAACCTGTCAGTGGTAACATGTTCATCCTTTCCCTTATAAGACCTCCCTCAAACAACATTCTCTTTGCGAAGCATTGCCAGTTGATTTTCACTGTCTGTGTTTAACCTCTTGCCCAATTTTTGGGCCTGTACTGTTGTACTTTTGCACTCAGGGAACGATTTGAGGAGGGATGCATAGGGATCTCATCCCTCTGTTAAAAGGGATTCATTGGTCTTCGGAATAATGTGATTAAGTGATACAATTAGATGTTAGTAATCTAAGATCTCTATTATACATATTTTAGTTCTGGCCAGATTTACACACCAAGTTACCTTGGATGTATCTGGAGTACCCCCGCTTCCACCCAGTTGTTTGAATACACCATTACCCTTGATTTAATAGTTAATTAAAGTCCTTTAATTTTTTTTGCAAATATGATGTAACACAGAGCAAGAATAATCCTTGTATTTTAGTGAATGAAACACTGAATTTGGTGCATTTTTCTTTTCCCAATTAATTTTTTAATCAAGGTAATGATGGACTGATTAAGCCATTATGGAAATGGTTGTCAACTCCACAATCACTACTGCCATCACTTTATAATTTGCCCTGGCCTAGACCAAGTTCAGTGTGGCTCATCCATACTAGTCTCAACCTTGAAGAAGCTTGCCACTGACCTGCCTCTCCTCTCCATGCAGTCCATTACGCCAGCAGACATCCTGCACTCTGCTCCATGCATATTGCTGCATCAGACTGGACATGTTGTTTAATGTGAGTGGTGGGCAAGGAGTCATCACATTTCTGAGAGAGAGAGAGAGACAGAAAAATAGAAATTGGCATTGTAGCTATTTCAGCTAGATTTAAAGTTAAAGAATTGGATTAGGTTCATTCTGTTTTTCTCTCCAATATATGATGCAGAACTTTCTGCTGACATCAACCCAATTGCGATACCTGGTGCTGGATCAGCTGTAAACTAGAACTGTAGGCAGCCCACATGTGATGACCAGCTTCAATGGGGCTTCCAGTACTCATCATCATGGGCACAGGCAGAGGTCAGTACACAGGTAGGCAGGCAGACAAGAGAAATCCATAATCTGAAACCAGGAAAACAGAGCAAGGGCCAAAACACGAGGAACAACGGAGAACTGTAAACACTGAGAAAGTTTTAGAAATGCATATGAGAAATGTAAGATGAAGAAGAAAAAGGTGTGTGGAATTTTGTGTAGGCGGAAACAGGATGGAGCTGTAGCTGATGAGTCCCAATGCAGGATGAGAGACTGGGGGTCCGGCTGAGCTGGAGACCATCAGAGCAGAAGACTGGGAGGTAATCAGAGCAGAAGACTGGGAGGTAATCAGAGCAGAAGACTGGAAATCTGGCTGAGCAGCTGTGAAAATTGGGGCCCATCAACATTCAACCTTCAGACACCACACTTTATTTTGTACTGTGGGGAAAAACAAACCAACAGTCGAAATTCCTTATAAGGTTTGGGATGGGTGTAACGAAAGCCATATGTCTATACATTCTGTCCGATGCCTTGAAAGGTTATGAAATGTAGCCAAAAGAGGAGCTGCAGGAATGGGCCATGCCTATCCATGCATGAAAACACTGAATTAATATGATCGCACCCTCTACCTGTGTCTGAGGTTCTTGAACGGTTTTGGCAACGAGGATGGGATTCACCAGCAGCCGGTCATAGGCTGGACATTTTGTGCTCTGGATAAGACATGCGAAGCTCTGGTAAAGACCTGTGTGTAAATGGATGATGGATCAAATAAGTAAATACATAAAGAGACAGTGTAATACCCGCCCCCATTAATGGCCTTTCTCATGGATAAGAATTTTAATACGGCTGAATACTGCAAATATGAAGAAATGGCTCTTGTTACTACTGGGTTCCTGGTATTGCTCATTCTTGTCAATGCAGTGGTAAAAGCCGCAGTGAAAGCCTGTACCTAATGATATTCTCTTTCAACAAGTTCAGACATGTTATTTTTCTTCTGATGTTGACTTTCTTAATTCATCAACCAAGTTTGTTTCTAAGAGAGGGGCTTCAGGAATTGGCCGCTTCTTTCCATGCATGAAAAATTTTAATTAAAATGATCGAACCTTCCACTTATACTTGAGTTTCATCCACAGGAGACTGGGAGGCCATCAAAGAATGAGACTGGGAGTAAGGCCAGCTGAGCAGACTGTGAGGCCTTGCTTTACTTCCTTGTCTTACATTTCGCTTTGCCTTTTTTCACTTTCTCCTCTGGCTTATCATGTTCCCTCTTCTCTCTTCTCCTCTCTTCCTCCTCTTTAGACTGGACCTGTCACAGACAACAATACCTTGCTTTCACTGTAGTCTATCTAACACAACAATTCACCACAATACACACTGGAGTTATACAGAGGTGGTAAGCATGTGCAACACCATCCCACACACCTCAGAGCTCTGGTTTGTTTTGCAGGGAGAGCTGGTGCGAGTTCCTGTCTTCAAAATCAAACTCTCCAGTAACTGCACTCTATGCTCTCCTGTCTCACACTCCTCCAAGACTTTGTGAAGCTGTGACAACCTGGAAAACACAAATAAAACCATAAAGAGTCATGGATTGTTAGATTTTCTCAAATTTGTTATTACCAAATAACAAGGATTCTCATGAAAGTTAAATCAACATTAGGAATGCTTAAACTGTTCAACCCTATTATGTAGAGCTGCAACAACTAATCAACATCACTGACAACACTGATAACAAAAGACTGTTAGCAAGGAATCCATTTATGAATTAGTTATATTGAAGGCGTGCATGACAGAAAAAATAAATATATAAACACCACTTTAAGGTCATCTAAAAAGAGAGTTCCCTATCTGGTGTGTAAAACCGAGCTGACCCACCATGTCAGAATGACTGGGTAAGCATCTTAGAAAAAAAAAAAACATTGATCATGACGAAAGCCACCTCTCCTTGTAAAAAGCTGCCATCCCTCTCTCCACTTATGTTGGAGGAACATTATTGTGTGATATCAAAGAAAATGTCTACTACACATACTTTAATTCCATCCATATTTGAGATTTACTTGCCAAGCTCCCGTGGATGTATTTGGAAAATCCCTACTTCCACCCAGTGGTTAGAAATCATATATAGAATATCATAAGTGATGACTGAGCTGTTTCTGTGTGCTTAGCAATATCAGATATGATTATATAATGTTACCAACCACACAGAACTATTTCATTTATTTTTGCTTTATCATTAGAGGAGAAACCATACGAATAGCAATGCAAAAGTATGCAAAGCTCTTTTAAAATCAACCTGCCTGCATAGTGATTGTACTGCCATATAGGATTTGTTTATGTGTTGTTCCGTTACTCTTTCTGCCCCATTCACACTGAGTAAAACAGCACATTGGAGGGGAACACAGATCTGTTGCTGTGCCGTTGATAAGTCCTTTTGTTTTTTGCAATTATGATTTAGAGAAAAAAATCTTTGTACTGTTGATATATAAAACATTGTGTATAATATTGTGAAATATTAAATTATTAAGACTCTAGTAACTGCAGTTTTTTTAAATGAGTGACTGACTAATCAAAGTCATAATGAGCTGATTCATTTACAAAAACAGATGTCAGTTGCAGCTCTACTCTTATGTGGTATAAATTACGGCACAGAATCACTATATAATTTGCCCTGGCCTAGACCAAGTTCATTGTGTGGCTTCTCCATGCTAGTCTCAGCTTAGGCCTTGATTAAGCTTGACACTGACCTGCCTCTCCTCTCCACGCAGTCCATTACACCAGCAGATATCCTGCACTCTCTGTCTCTCTGTGTGTCTCGCTGCATCAGAGAGGACATGATGTTGACTGAGGATGGTCTGCAAGGGGTCATCACATTACTGACAGATAGAGAGAGAAATATGTCAATTGAAGAAAATATGATTTAAAATGGTAACATTATCTACTGATAGTGTCAAATCTTTAAATATTTCATTAATAAAATAAGACACAAGAGGCCATATGTAACAGTGATTTTGCAGTGGTGATAAACAACAACAAAATACCATAAATCTATTGATGTTATTACTGTGAATAATAGTTGCAGTACATAGTTCTTCTGGTAAGCAAAGTCGTTTCTTAACAGCAGGTTACAGATGTCAAGCAACGTAACGGTTAAAGATCATTCCACAGAATAATGATACAGAACACAACTGATGGGTGTGATCATATGCATGGATCACCCAACTGAATTTTAGAGCTGAAAATATCTATTTAGTAATTTATTCATTATAAATGTTTATATAAGTATTATTTTAATTATTGTTTTAAAGAATGTCTGTGTGTCTCACTAGTTTGGATCTCTTCTGTCCTCAGGAGGTGGGCAGCGGAAAAAGAGGGACTCCTTCACCAGATTGTCCATCGTCCTTCCAGGATGTTTCTTCTGGATCAAAAGAAAAACAATGTGCTCAACATCAAGATCTTTTTTTTATTACAAGCAGCAACATGACCACCACATTTCTATAGATATTAGACAATCTGCATCTGTTCTGAACACCAACCTGGTGGGAGTATCCATAGCCAAAGGATCCGTACGTAAAGATCAGGTCTGCATCCAACTTGCACACCTTCTGAAAATGTAAGAAATCAGTCATACATCTCTTTCTCTTCCACATAGGTTGAAAACAAAATAATATAATATTTCGAAAGCAAGGCTTACTTCGCGTCCAAGCCTCAAATCAATCTGCTGGGTAACTGATGTTTTCTGTTGGAAAAAAAAGAATCATTATGTTGTCATTATCGGTAGTCAGAGACACTGAGTGGCTTAAAAGACAACTTTCTACAGATATGTGAACAAAGGTGTGTCTCACATAAAAGACTTCCTGCAACTTGATGGTGGTGCTGCCGATGAGTTTGGAGGCAGCTGAATCAAAAGCAATCAATTCCACCATCACTGAACTGGACTTCTGGACCCCCAGAGCCTCTTCTTTTTGGATCTGCAACACAAACAGTCAGCAAAGGCAAGAAGGATTTCAATAATTACGGCAAAGCAGTTCTTGTCATCTGTGTAGTTTCTTCTCATCTGTGTAGCTACTTACTCAGCTTGGATGATAACGCAAATTTGAACAAATTATCTTTGGCACAATTACTGTGGTGAATAATATTATTGTGATCTAAATTAAAATAAGAAGGATTGCAGTGCTTAATCCTATAGCTTGACTTTGGTTAATCATTTCTTTGTCTGGCTATAAAGTTTATATAAAAATACACTGTCTTTATTTGTTGTTGTTGCTAGCTGTGTAGCCTGTAAATTGCTAGCTAGCAAGACAGACGAGTAAAGTAATGGAGTTGTATCAGCAGCCTCGTATAACAGATGGAGTAGTTTGCTAATAAAATGGTGTGGTTTTAAAATATTAAGCATATCAAAGTATTTTAATGCTAATTTTGTTTGCTTATTTCCAGGTTTGAAATGGCAACTGCAGATAGCACTGATTTGTGACTTCTGCTGCTGAAGTAAACACTTAAATTCACTCGATCCCTCACCCCTGTGAGCGCTCATCTAATAAAATTCATTTCTGCAAATAGAGTAATGATACATCCCTTAAGATGGCATCGAAAATAATTAGCATCATTTGAGTGATATGCAAATTTAATGTCCAGAGTATCTTTAATTTTAACTTTACTTATTTGTCTGTTTTACACAAGAAGCAGACACTGATAAGTAATACTGACCTGTATGGAGAAGTGTTTAACTTCATTGAAAGTCATGTTGTCTTCAAAGGGCTGCAGCAGGGAGCACTTCACCATTCTCCCCACAGTGATCCTCACCATACATAGCATGCCTTTCTGTATATGAGCTGGTGCAGGGGTCAGGAAAACAGCCAAACCAGAACCAGCACAATTGATCTATGCAGACAAAATCAACTGATTATAGTTTCATAGCTAGATATCGTCACAAACACAAACCCACAGACAAGACACATAAAACAGTGAGACTGGAATAAACTCTAAGGATACTGTTTTTCTTGAAGTCTCTGCAGCTTCGTATGTGTATAGTCAGGACCCCAGTCTGTGGAAGGAAAAAAAGCAAAAAGACACCCATTTGCATCCTTTCCTAATATATTCCCGATTAAGATTACTTTACACTTGATAGCTTCCCATGACGTTGACATTGAGAGAGTCTAGGTGTAAAATGCTGAAATAAAGAGCTAATTAAAAATATTTTAATATATTTGTTAAACTTATAAAAGACAAACCGGAGCTCCGAGTGGCACCAATGGACAAGGTGGGGACTCATCCTTAAGCTCCTTGTCCTCATATTGAACAGGCTGAATTAAGAATTTTTTTCGGAACTGTAGAGCAGAGATAAAAAGGTACACAAACAAAAATATACAGTTTCAGTAAATAAAGTGCTCAATTTGTTTTTTGAATGTGTACAAAAACAAAATTTAACAGTGAAATGATTCATTAAAACTTCTTGACTCAGATACTGTTAATTAAAAAAGGAGCAGATTTCAACCTCAGCTTTCCATTTAAAAAAATCATGTAAATGTATCTTTTTGCATAGTGTGGGAGGAAGTAATTACCTCCATGATGGACTGAACTCTGGAGTGAACACTGGACAGAACACTGGACAGAACACTGGACAGCATTCTCTGCACCACATTTTTCCTAGATGTGCTGGGTGCTGCTGGCTCCATCTGAGAGATTAAGACATGCTTTTGTTTCGTCAAGTGTACATATTATATAATCTAACCACGTTACCTACAAAGTTATTCAACGCAACAAAACAGAATGCGTGAGTTCTGGAACTGCATCTAAACAACCGTCCAGACTTCATCAGCCCCTGAGAAATATGACTTTGTCTTTGTTTAAATATATTTGTTAAAACAGTGATATGATGGCACTTAATAGATACATAAAAAGTATTTATTTTAAAAATTATAGTAGTTACTGAATAATAAGCACAGGGTTTAAAGGGATTAACCCCTTAAATGGCCACGGTCCAAAGTTTTATTACACACTTGTATATCCTAAGAATAGCTCAGCCAGTTTGCACTGAAGCCCTGTAGTTACTGAATAATAGGCCTTAGTATGTAATTAGCCTGGGATTGTCAATCCTTAAGTAAATTGGAGACACTGGGTCTCATTCACCAATATATTCCTAAATTTTTTTCTTTAATTTCTCTTGAGAAAGGTCCTAAGAAAAAGTGTACATCAGATTCATGATGTGTTCTTATAGACTGTTTGCACCTTTGTGCTCTTGAGTGTGCATAGATTCTGTTCTTACCTAAGAACGACTCCCAAATAAGAACAGATTGGCGAATCTACTTGAATACTGCGTAGGTGAGTTTTCAAAAGAAATGATTTTAAGAATGGTTGGTGAATGAGGCTCTCAGTTTTTAACCTTGACCACTCTTCACCCCTGTGTCCTTTTTCTACAGGCCCATGGCTTGAGTCTCACCTGCAGGTTCTCCATCTCGATGAGAACTTCTTTTCCGCTCTCTATTGCCTCCTGACTCTCTCTTCTCTCTTTCAGCTGTTCCTCCTCTGTCTGCTTCTCCATTTCCTGGAGTAGCTGTTCCTGACTCTTGTTCTCCTTCATCACTTCCGGCTTCTCACTGACTGTAGCCATTTTTCTATCATCCTGTTTTTCCCTCTCTTCTTCAATTTCTCTTTTCATCTTCACCATGGTGATGAATATTTCCTTACAGATGATGTCATTTTGTCCATCTAACTCATGTTTCCTCTTTTCCTCCCTCTGTTTTTCTTCCTGTACCATTCTCTCCTTCACTGCCTCCATCTCTCTCTTCCATTCCTCCTCTGTCTGTTTGGTTTTCGAAGTCTTCATCTCTACTCCTGCGATTTTCATCTTCAGTGTCTTCAGCTCTCTTTTCAGCTCTTTCTTTCTCTCTCTGAATTCCTGAATCTCTTTCTCAAGCAGCCTCACTGCCTCTTCCAGATCTCTGATCTCCTTATCGTTCTCCTGCTCCATATTCTGAAATTATTTTGAGGAATTTTAGGAAATAAGGTCAAAGACTGCATGGTTAATTAAACAACAGTATGCAAGAAGAACTTGAAGAAATTTTCACTTTATAATTAGTGTGAGTTTAACTGCTAAGATGATGTGAAATTCTGTTAGCGCTTCAATGTTATTTTAGTGCCAAACTAGCAGTGGTTTACATTCACTTCTCACACAGAGTTTAACACTACTTTAGTCAGTTCTACACAAACATAGATATTTGAAGCAAACTTGCAACAGACAATCCAGTATCATATTCTTTACTTTTGTAAGTTTTACAATGATTTCGTCAGTAAAGTCTAAGTCTTACTATGACTGGAATAGCCTGTTAGCCCATTAGCTTTCTGCTGAGCTGTTCAGCCTAGACCTAAATAAACATTTTGCTTCATATACACACAATTAATGACAGCAAAAAATACTATCACTTCATATTCTTGAAATCTGTAATAAACATACGTGCTTTAGTGCGATCCTGCTGTTGTGAACTTTCGGTGAGACTCACAACAGTGGTTTGAATTCTAATAGAACCCCCTTGTGGAGAATCTGCTAAACACAGCTTTATATTGACCTGCGAATACTCAGTTTATCATTTAAATGATGAACCAATAACTGGGCTGAATTACCTTCCTCTGCCTCTCCTTCTTTCTCTTCTGCATTTTTTCTGTCTTAGTCAGCTCCGTTTTTTTCCTCTCTGTCTGAAGCTGCTGGAGCTGTTCCTGCTCTCTCTGCCTCTCCTGCTTCCTGCCCTTATTGCAGAACAGGGACATTTTGGGGAAGCAGTTGCTCCAGCACCCGCAGGCTGGGGGACTGGGTGGGGGGCTTAGCTCTTGCTCCTGCTTCATCTCCAAAGCTGTTGACTTCACAAAAGAAAAAGGCTGGATTAATTCAGGTGAGCTCCTTCAGAGTTTGATAAATAACTGCTGTGGATTATTAATGTTGTACCTGCTTTGTCTTTCGGTGCTTTCTGCCTCTCTTCATAACTTTTCGCTCTTCTTCTCTTTTCTCATACAATCACTGAAAACTGATTTGGAGAATCAAAAATAAGCAAAACTCTTCAGTGTCATACAAAATAATATACAGTTTTTTTGTCTGAAAATGCAACAATTGCTTCATTATCAGACAGTTGAGTGAGAAATAATTTACTCTCCCAATGAAGCATAAGGCTAGTTTCAAACATATGTACAAACTTCATCTGAAAAAGCTTGGACAAAGAAATTACAACAAATTTGAATGAAACTCATTAATATTTTCAGATTATTAACTTTGTTTAATGTATATTTATTGTTTTCTTCCTTCTCAGCAGTATTTAAAAAGTCTCTCACAAATGATATTTCATTATTTCGCAATAACACACGACCATTATGGAAAAACGAGCAATTATTTGGGGATAGGTCAATATTTTAAGTATACATGTTATCATGTCAACATCTCGAAAAAATAAGTGATTATTTCAAAATACGACATTAAAATTTTCAAAAACTAAGTCAATATTTTGACATACTGCAGTTAGTAAAACCTTTATAATGAAGAATTTGCAGTTCACAAAATTGCAGTTTCAGCATTGCATTCGTTCTAGAGAACTTAAGACTATATGCTGTGAACAAACCTGCATACATAGAATCAGACTGACCTGTTTGTGCTGTTATCGTTGTAACGACGCGCTTCTGAAGAGAAAAACACTGTTTTTCTGGAATGTCAGCTGGTAGCTCTGAGTATGATGTCACAGTGGAGAAGCTCTATGGCGTCGCCATTTCACGTGACTCTTTGCTGCCGCTGCTCAGTGTTGGCGGGGTTCCAAACTGGGCGGATTTTGGTTGGTTTATAAAAAAGTGGACAACAATGTTTTTTCATGATATTGTGGGATTTTTATTCAATATTGTAAAACGAATAAACGGCTTTGCTGAGCAATAAAGCTGAAACTTGAATAGGCCAACTCTTCTCACCCAATCAGCTATCAAAAATTTGGCTGAGCTGTTTTCACTCCTGTTGAGAGGGGGCCGCTGACACGCCCATCAGGGTCGGTCACAGTTTCAAAGGCAGGACATGGCGGGGATTATCCGGTTCGCTTGGCATTAATAACTGTACATATTTCTGATACTGGGTAAAGTTGGAATGGGGTGTGATCTGATCTGTTAGTTATTTGCGTGGGATCATATACAATACATTTAAACTAAACAACGCTAATAGACTGAAAAACCTTCAATGGTTTTATTTTATTGAAATGAATTGTTTCTGTGTCCAGACAATTTTCTGATCACGTTTGAGACTCTAAATTACATAAAAGCGTTTGATTCTTTGTACCAGTAGCAATAAACACAAAAGAATGACAGCGCCATCTAGCGACCACTGAAATAATAATCTATTTTCAAAAACATCGGCCTAACTTAAGATAATGATGATTAGTCCAGTTATTTCTACAAAATAAAAGTCAAGATAACAATGTTTATTTAATAAGACCATATGTAGCCAAACTGGCTTTAAATAAATGTGTTTATGCAGGACAGATTCCTTCTTCACAGGTGGGTTCACTGACTCCCCCCTCACAAAAAACAGTGCAAAAACTACAGCTAGAGACTTCTTTACTACTGTAATAATTATATCTTAAACATGAACCTATTGTTATTTTTCACTGCATTAATGATTGTTTGCATTTATTTCCAAGCATATCTTTTTGCGTCTTTTTGTCTCTAAATTCCTTTATGTGGACGTTTGCTTTGACGTTTTGAAAGTCTGTTGAGCCTCTTTTGGTAAAAATGCAGCTTTTTATCAACTCTGACATTTCTTAAATGTGTGTTTGTTGTCACTTTTACAGCGACATCTTTTCTATATCCCAGACTTCAAGTTTAAAACATGTCCACAGAAAACGATAGCGCGCTGCTAATGAACTGAAAACTGGTTTGAGGTAAAGATGGAAATTCTGGTCAAGTTACTGGTTAAAATGAAAAAGAAGCATGATTGATCCGTTGCAGAAGTGGTGGAGAACTGCAAACACCAGCACCTTCCACCTCAGTCGTTTAGCTCAGAACCGCCACAAGAGGGCAGCACAGTTCAGCATAAAAACAGCTTGAGCAGAGCCAAAGAAACAGCACTGCACAGTGCAAAATTCAACCAATGGACTTTTTGGAAGTTTGAGTCTTAACAGAAATGTGTGGTTAAAGAAATACAAAGATTATCTTAACACCGTGATTGTTTTTCTATTTTAATTTAAAACGACATGAATAAATTAATAACACCCTTTCCAAACTTTAATATAGTAAATAAACACAGGAAAACACGTCCTCTTAAACTTTCCATCATAACTCTAGAGCTATTAATAATCTACCAGTCATCAGCTTCACAGCTGACAGATTAGTGCAACTGGGGGCTACTAGAGGGGGTCCTCAAGGACCCTGAAAAGAAGGACTGCTACAGTCATGTGACTGACTGCACCATTTATGACAAACATGCGCTTGTCTTGAAGAAGAATTCTTGAGTCAGAACTGTTGAAAGCAGTGGTGATATGAACAAGGGGCCGTTTTACAGAAACGTCCTATCTTTTTGTCTTAACTTAAGATCTGACAGGTCAAGATAAGATTTTTCACAAATTCATAACTGTTTTTACTAGTACAAACTTAATTTCAAAAGATCTTTAATGCAGTTTCTAAGTAAAAACTACAATTCCAGATATATACTATGCAATTATTATTAGTCATGATCTTTAGTCATCAAATATTCATATCTATAAAGCTATTTTGACTAGCCATATTACCAGGATGACATATCCATAAGTAAATTTTGTCTTGTCATACGTTACCATTGATTTACATGGAATTTCATTGTCTTATCTATAATTACATTTTTAGTAGTAAAAAATACAATTACAGATATTTACAATGACATTTGTACTAGTAGAAATTCTAATCACAGATATCTACACTTTAATTTTGGCCAGAATACAATCCAGCTCCACATTTCCATAATTTCATTTTGACTAGTAGAAATACTAATTCAAGATATGTTTAATTTAGTTAGGAATTGTTATAATATGCCCCTGTGTCTGTGTGAGTTTCCTCTGGTACTCTGGTTTCCTCCCACAGTCCAAAGACACGCAGTCAGGCCAGTTGGACACGCTAAACTGCCCCAAGGTGTGAGTGTGTGTGAATGTGTATGTCTGTCTGTCTGCCCTGCGATGGCCTGCCCACCTGTCCAGGGTGTACAATTCATCTAGAGTGGATGCTCGCAGAATTCTTTCTGTGGTGAAGAAAACCTCACTTCACAGCATCTAATCAAGTCAAGGTCATTCTAGAGGAGGTTGGCGTATCATTGTCAAAGTCTACAATAAAGAGAGATATTTGTCAATGTAAACACAGAGGGTTTACCTGAAAGTGCAAATTAGAGGTAATACTCAAGAACAGATAGGTCAGATTAGACTTAGCTGGAAATCATCTAAAAACCCTGCCTGGTACTGGAACAAGATTATTTGGACAGATGAAACCAAACCATTTTTTGTGTGTGTGTGTGTGTGTGTGTGTGTGTGGAGTTTGGGGTATATCGCATAACAGACATTATATATTTTTTATCCTTATAATACTCTCTGTCATTTGAAAAAATAAAGCTAATACAAATAAGTGCATTATTAAGTGCAAATAGAACAAATACATTTTTGGCCATTTTCAGACACCGTAAAAATATATTTCATAAATACATTTCGAAAATGTATTTCATAAGTACATTTAAAAAGCACCCAAACTCCAACAAAACTTTACTTTATTCAGGTAAAACAGACTGGCTGATACCTATGTTGACTAAAGAAGCTTAGCTGGCTGATGGACACTTGTAATAAAACATATACTACAGTTTTCCAGTTTAATACATAGCCACCTGTTTGAACAAAGTCATAAAAAATAATAAACACCATACCTGTTTATCTAGGATTAGCAGCTCCCTCAGTCTGAAGCTGAGTTGTGAAAGTGGAGATCTCACCGGTTTCGTGTTCAGCAGCTGATCATAACACTGTTTTCTTTAGTTCATTCATAAACGAATGAAGATGACAGTTTTGATAAAGTCTGCTCCAGGTGTATGCTGGTAAAATTCTCCTCTTTCCTTCTCCTCTAAACAGGACACCGCTGTAGTGATTTTGCAGCTGGGAGCTGCTCTGTGTTGCTGTGATTTTCTCTGTTTTTTCATTGGCTTTCAGAACTGAATCTTTTCAATTTAACCACATCTTATTGTAATTGTTTTATAAGCTGATACATGCAAAATGTATTTTTACTCTGTAACATTATTAAAAAATTAAAGTAGCAAAGTAAAAGTTTTCATTAATAATCTACTCAAGAAAAGTGGTTTGATTCAATTTTACTACAAAAAGTACCCTTACAGGCAAAACTGTACTCAAGTACAGTAACGAAAGTAAATGTAGTTCATTACTTTCCACCTCTAGAGATGTTTGATTGACCAGTGTCATGAAGACTACCTTCTGTGATCCATGACGGATGGAGAGCTGGTGTCTCGCATGAGGAGTGATGTGGGTAGGCCCCAGCATGCACACTGCTGAGATGAAGAGACACTTGTTCTCATGCTTGGTAATAGGGACATCTGTTATCACTCCCACCACTCATAGGTGTCATGTAGACTGCCATGGAATGGATGGTCCCATTTTATCTTGAACCCATTGACTCAAGATTGGAGATTGTACCCACTTACATATCCTTTTCCTTTTATGTAAAATGATTTAATCATCTTAAGAATGCTAATCATTTTAATAAATATCAAATATCAATTCAGACACACCTAATCATGTTCTAGTCACATGCAAGCTAAGTATATGAGATCTCTTTGCTATATTGTTGTGTCATGATGACCACCTATCAGACCTTGGAGGTTATTTTGTGTTTTTCAGGAGGCGTGATATTCAGAGTGTTCCTGTTGAAGGACTGCAAGACAACAAACTATCTGAATGACGTAATGGTGACCTCTCGTCAGTATGACCTGCACATGCCTGTTCTACATGACATAAAGTCGCATACAGACCAGAAGACTAAAAGTCATCTATGTTTTCCATTACTTCTTTTCAGAGATTTTACCAGATTCAGAACTTTATGAAATTTAAGCTGTCCACTTTGACAGAAGCTAAGTATAGCTTCACTGTCCAGTGTCACCCAGAGAAGGATTGGGTCCTCCTTTTGAGTCATGGTTCAAGGTTTCTGTTGCCATGGGCTTGTGCATTGTATCACATAATACCTGTACTTTGTATGCCATTTTGAACACTGTTTGTGGGAGTCTATCCATGCCATGAAGATTTTTGATCCCATATTGTCTTAAAGCAGGGAGCAAAGGGAAGTAGATCGCTCATAGTCAAATCTGAATCTTTTTAATATAGTATATTTTGCTTAAGAATACATTCATAACACCTATTTTTTGGCCTTTGTGTCTCTGTGAGGCTCTTGACCTTGAGAAGGATGCTATGACATGAGATAGTGACTTGTTTATGCCAATCTCCAATCTATCCTACCAGACATGGCGGCAACAGGCGTTGGAATTGGGTTTTCCCAACATCGTACAACAGGGTCAAAGGTGACTATATTTAGGGTTTTGGGCCTGAACGAGTGTGACTCTTGCTGACATCATTAAGATGCACGTAATGGATACTATCTTTGTTGACTAAGTCTCAACAATGACACTGTGTTCAGTTTTATTTCTGAACCCAAGTCTGCTTTATAATAGTTTTGATTGGTAATGATGAATCAGCAATTGTATATGTAGATTGAATATTTTACATAGAATTTGCATAAAGGTATAACTGCTTTGTTGAAGTCTGTGTTAGGCAGGGAAGACACCAGCAGGTGCTCTCATCCCCACCTCTTTCCTTCTTTCTTTCTTTCTTTCTTTCTTTCTCTCTTAAGTTTAAGCTGATTTCTTTCTTTTAGCTTTTGTCTTAGTTAAGCTTAGTTAATTATTTTTCTTTATTTTCTCAAGCATGATTTGAGTCAATGGGTTCTCTGTTCTTTTACTACTTACAGAGTCAAACACATTCAGAATATTTTCTGTGGTAATTGACCATACAGATGCAGAGATTAAATTGAAAAACACTGAAATGTTCCTTTAATTCATATTATAATACATGTTATTTTATGTATACATGATATTACAGCACATGATTTCTATGGGAGTTTTCTGAAAGTGGACTACAAACTGTGTCACTAATGCATCACAGCACTGAGCCAAGGGGTTTGTAGTTCAACTAAACATAATTTTTCACTGTTATATGGTTGATCTAGTTCTGCCTTTAAGTCATTTTGAATCCATTGTAAGAAATTTCCCTATGCCTAAATGGATGGCAATTCAAAATGTTTAGCAAATGGCATAGGTTTATAATCTCTTTCTCCAAAAGGACTTGAAGTTATCTCCTCTTTTTTCTTTAGCTGATTTATCAAAGCCTTGTGACTCAGACACTGAACACGTTATTGAACTGTTCACCTATGAGAGCCAGCTCTAATTAACTCATCAGCACAGCCCAAATTGTGAAGGTGTGAGTTGGATGCAAGCGCCAGCACAGGGACACTGATGTAACTGAAGCTTTCAGCACTCAAACAAACTCACACTGAACTGCATTCACTTCATTACCAGGGTGTGTGGAGCCTTAGCCTGCAAAGAGCTTTAACTTTTTATTGGAAGCTTCTAGATTTCTTGTACCATTTGTATTACAAATTTTACATACTGGTGACCAAACATACTGGATTTATTTTCGATATTTGTGTAGATTATGAAAAAAAGTTGTCCCAGTGGAGTCATTGGAGTTTGTATACCATATCATTAAAAATCAGCTTGAATATGTTTCTTTCAAAATAAGTGAAACTTTTCACTTCGTATTACACACTTATTCTATTATTATTTTCATGGCTCTTTTTTAAGAGTTTCGTAAGACCTTCAGTGTGTGCCAAAAAAAAAAAAAACACCCACAGCTGTGCACAGAGGAAGTGCTTCTACATTGTATACCATAATCAGGAAGAAGTCTCTGCTTTCTCATTTTCAACAGACATTACAACACATGTCATTACAACAGACATGGCTCATGTTTTCATGTCACTGCTGAAACACAAGAGTTTTAGTCCATAGGCAGAGCCTCTGTCCCTCATGTCCACATGGTGAGCAAAAGTCTGAAGATCAGTGTGTAACATTAAGAACTGTCACACCTGAAACACATATTGTTGGCAATTAAGTAAACATGTTTGTATTTTATTGAAAAATATTATGATTTTATATGTGCACAACTATTCAAAGCTCTGTTTGCTAGTGATGTAATGAGTTCTGCTCAAAATGCTCCAAAATTGTCACTACCAAACCAGTAACTACTAGAACATTTGATAACGTATTGCTAGTGTTATGATAGTGACAAAATGGAATGTTCAATCATTTCTTTAAAAAAAAAATGAACAGAATTAAGGTATAGAGTCATTTAAAGCAAAAGGATTTTAGTCTAAAGTCCAAGTCAGGTAAAAGTATGAAATTAGTTTTTCAACTGTTTTTCTCTTTTTTAAATAATCATATCAATAATATTCTTCAGGTTTTTAAGTGCTAATCAATAATCTGTGTCATTAAAATGAAATGTCCATCAGTGTATTAGCATTTTAAGTTGCAAGTTCAAAGAGCAACTTAACAAGGTTTGCTTGAAATATTATCAAATTATTGCTGAATTTGTGACATTTATTTAGTAATAATCCAACACAAAACACTAATTTTACTTACAAAAAGTACTACAAATACATCTTAAGTGAACAGTCTGTTTATATGGCTAATGAACACTGTTAACTGACTTAGTTAGTTAATTTTACATGAGCGTTCTCCCTTCTGTTTCTGCTGATGTTTTATCTGTTAGTTCTGTATTTCCTATTTATTTTATAGCTCTTGTCCTCCTTCAGTTAAATTAAGCCCTGTATCTGTACACATTAAAAGATAGAAATGGTCAGAATCATGGAAAACTAAATTTTAAATCAAAGAGTGTGATGTAGTATATAAACATTGTTAAAGCTCCAAAACATTGCGTTCACTTCCTAGTCTATAGAAGTCCATAATAGGAAATATGCCACAAAATCAGACCTGTTAGGAATTAACTGTTGTGATGTTACGAGAACTGTTACATTTACATATATCCATCTGCTTAGCCTATAGCAGCTGTTTGCATCACTTGGTAATTATTATTATTATTATTATTATTATTATTAATATAATTATTATTATCATAAAGTGCTTTACAGACAGGTGATAAAATATAGTTATACAAGAAATCATTAGTATTTATTTAGAATCAGAAGAAAATGAAAAAGATAAATAAAAATAGCACGAGACGTAGAGAATAGAAATAAATAGCACGAGACGTAGAGTTTTAATTAAATGCTAAGTTAAAGATATACGTTTTTAGATGCTTCTTAAAAGTGAGCACTGAGCTTGACTGTCTAATAAAAGGTGGAATTGAGTTCCACAGTTTAGAAGCATAATAACTGAAAGAGGCCTCTCCATGTTTTCTGTATTTTACAGAGGGTATTTATAGAAGACCACTACCTGCAGATCTTAGATTGCGTGCCGGAACATAAACAGACAGACACTCTGTGATGTAAGCAGGTGCTAGGTTATTTTGAGCTTTAAAAACTAGTAGTAGAACCTTGAAATCTATCCTGAATGATGCAGGCAGCCAGTGCAGTTCTTTCAAAATGAAAGTGATATGATCTCTCTTTTTTGTTTTTGTTAGGATGCGCGCTGCTGCATTTTGTACAAGTTGTAAGGGATGTGTAGTTTTCTTAGGAAGTCCGGCAAGAAGAGCATTACAGTAATCAAGTCTACTTGTAACAAATGCATGAACAAGTTTCTCTGCGTCACTCTGAGATAGAAAGGCAGAACTCTTAAATGATAAAAAGCTACTTTAGTGACCGTGTTTACATGTGGGGTAAGAAATATCTGACACACAGCTGGTTAGTCTGTCTACAGAGTCTTGATCTTCAGAAAGAATAGAAATGTATAGCTGGGTGTCATCAGCACAGCTATGAAAATTTATATTATGCTTCCTTATGACATCACCTAGAGGCAGCATGAACAAAGAGAAAAGCAAAGGCCCTAAAACGAAACCTTGAGAAATGGCAAATATTTTTGATGAATGATTTACAAGTGGGGCGGCACAGTGGCGCAGTGGGTAGCGCTGTCGCCTCACAGCAAGAATGGCCTGGGTTCGATTCCCGGCTGGGTGACCAGGGTCATTTCTGTGTGGAGTTTGCCTGTTCTCCCCGTGTCTGCGTGGGTTTCCTCCGGGTACTCCGGTTTCCTCCCACAGTCCAAAAACAAGCAGTCAGGCTGATTGGACATGCTGAATTGCCCTTAGGTGTGAGTGAGTGTGTGAATTTGTATGTATGTCTGTCTGTCTGCCCTGCGATGGACTGGCGACCTGTCCAGGGTGTATCCTGCCTTCCGCCCAATGACAGCTGGGATAGGCTCCAGCACCCCACCGTGACCCAGAAGGATAAGCGGTTTAGATGATGGATGGATGGATGGATGGATTTCCAAGTAAAACCATGAACTGCCTATAACTTAAATATGATTTAAACCATTCTAAAACTGTGCGCGAGAGACCGACCCAGTATTCAAGACGCTGGATTAAAATTTTGTGGTCAACAGTATCAAAAGCTGCACTAACATCTAATAAAACCAAAATAGAAGGATTTTGTGCATCAGCGCTGAGTCTAAGGTCATTTATAACACACAATCAATGCTGTCTCTGTACTATGGTTAGAACGAAAACCTGACTGAAACTTCTCATATAAATTGTTTGATATTAGATACACATTAGTTGTTTGAAAACAATGTTTTTTAAGACTTTACTTAGAAAAGGTAGGTTTGAAATTGGTCTAAAATGATTTAGTACAGAAGGATCCATGCTACTCTTTTTTAGGAGAGGCTTCACCAAGGCAGTTTTAAAAGCGTCTGAAAAAACAGAGTAGGAACAGGGTCAAGATCACATGTGGATGAACTTAGTTTGTTTAAAATAGTTGTAAGCTCCTGATAGTTGATAACAGAGAAAGATGTCATTACTGATGTAGGTGGCTTATCAGGAACATTATTGGAGCTTGTTTTAGTCAGCTGAGCTACACCCTGTCGTATCAGGTCTATTTTATTTTGAAAATGAATTGCGAACTCTTCACAGTTTTTAGAAGATAAATCACTATGAGACACACTAGCAGACAAGTTAGGGTTAATTAGTCGGCCTATGGTGGAAAAAAGGATTTGGGTATTATCTTTGTGTCTATTAATTACACTGGAGAGGTATGACTGTCTAGATATTTTCATAGCATTATTATAGACTGAGATCTGATCTTTAAGAATATCATAATGTACCTACAGTTTAGTTTTCCTCCATAAGCGCTCTGATTTAGCACTTAGATCAGAGACTAGATCATTACAGGATGGAGTCAGATTTGTGTTCGCTGAACCACTATAAATGGTTTTAAACTTCTCAACTGTTTCTGAGTCAATGCGACTTTTTTTAAAGTAACTTTCAGGTACTTTCTTCTTCTAAATTGATTTGAAAGAAAATACAGAGATGATCTGATATGAATACATTAGAGATTTGGGACACATTTGTATTTAAACCTTTAGTGATGACCAGATCCAGGATGTGACCTAGCTTGTGGGTAGAGCTGCCCATGTGCTGCTTCAAATCAAATGTCTCTAGAAGTCTAATGAATTCTAATGCATTACTATCTGAAAAATTATCGATATGCAAGTTAAAGTCCTCAGAGAGAAGAATCTTATTGTAGTTTGTGGATGCTTTGGAGGTCTGTATATTGCAATTATTAACACAGGTGTATCATTAAAAAGGTAGATTGCAATATACTCAAAAGACATGAATTCACCAATAGTAGTACTTTCCAGTGTTTTTCTGTGTATTTCCAGTGTTCACAGATGTAAGACTGACATCGTCCTCCATTTTGCCTTTAAAGTGATGTTCTCACATTCTGATTTTAAACTTAGATCCAATAATTTAACAATAACAGAAAGACTATGTTGATTAGCCAGGCTTGCTAGTTAGCTGATTTAGCTATACTGCTTTGAGCAGACATGAGAGTGATGGGCTTAATTAATAACACAGTCTTTAATCAAGATGATACCCCTTTCCTCTTATTAGGAAATGGGTCCACTTTCCCTCCCAAACTTTTGGGATATAGAGTATACAAATGGGCTACCCCACACACTGCACTGCAGCGTACTATGAAGTTCTGAAAGGTACGCTCAATTGGGCACTTGCTGTTTACTGGAAATATTTATCAAAGGGCCAACTGGGTGAAACAGCTGAGTAAAGCAGAACCTCCCGCATTTCACACCTTGGCTCTCAACCCTATATATTTTCCTCGATGAGGAACATCAGTTCTATATCTGTTCTTACTTCTCTCATATTCTGCTTTGTTTTAAAACAATGTGCATATTATTCACATATGTGCTCTTTTGTCTTTACTTTGACTCTCTGAATTTCTGCAGTTTGTACAGCAGCAGAATGAATTCTGCATCAAACAGAAGTATCTTAATTGTTCATGTCCAATCAAATTCTTCAGAACTCAGTGGATGGAGCTTCAGCTTGCAACAGGACAATGACACCAAACATACTGCTAAAACAATTAGAAAAGTAGAAAAGTGTTTTGTTCTGGACTTGAATTTCAGTGACACTACTGACACTTAAACCCCTCAAAACAAGCAGGATTTGAAACTGCATTACAGGCCTGGCAGAGCATTATTAGTGGAGATACCAGCGTCTGGTGAAGTCTGCGGATCACAGATTTTAGGGATTCATCAACTGCAAAGAATGCAAAAGTACTAGTGATGACAGCTTTATTTAAGATTATCCAAAGTGTCTAAAGAATTATGATTACTATATGGACTGTATGGTCACTTTTGTTTTGTCAGTGGTTAAAAACACGTGTTTTAGAAATAACAATGGCCCATATTAATCAAACTCCTCACAGTAAGAACGCTGATGTGGGGTCAGCTTATAGCTTTTATGTAACACTGAACAGACTTACATGAACTGATGAAACCTGATCTTAGTGTGTATACTTTGAAACTCTTGATAAATAAATATGGGCCAAGGTTTGAATATTAATTTGAAGTTATTTTAAACCACTCAAACACTTTTCTCTCAGACAGCACAGAGTGACTTGGAGACTTGTGTTGTCTCTTAAATGACTGCATAGATAGATGAAGATAAAGATAGATGAAATATTTGACTGTTATAGTTGAATGTTTTTACATTACATATATGGCACATTTAGACGTTGAAGTAAATGTAAAGATGTTTTTAGTATAGCTTCAAACAAGATGACGTCAGTTAACGAGTATCAGCAGGAAATCTACAGAAAGGACAAAAACCACAAAAATATGAGCAGAGATAAAAGAGTAAATGCTAATGTAGGATGAAATTAAATGAACTGACTGTTCACTGAAGATTTGTTATGTCTGTTTGTTTGTTTGATTTTTGGTTGGTTTTAAAGATGAATACTGTAGTCTGTTGGTTTAGATAAAGAATTTTGCCTATCTAAATATTTTCAATAATAATATTCAATAATATTTTATTTTAAGCAAATTTCAAAAGTGTTTTTTAGTATTTTTCCCTGTGGACATAGTAATGAGAAATGACAACACAATGATATAAATTTTGGATCACTGGACCACCGATAGTCAAGTAGCACCTAAAAACTGGTACAATATGTTATTAATGAGTTATCTGATTATTTATGGCATTTTCAATGGGTATCAAATAGTGAATTTAAATTAATTACGTTAATGAGTAAATTGACTAATTAACTCAGGATCTTGTTAGATCTCAGAGTATCTGTTTTAATAAAATAGCATATCATAAAGTCCTTGCTGGACAGGGCTACTCAGCTGATTGTCTTGTCGTTGTATAACTGGTAAAGTATGTCTTCTTCACCTCTCAGATGTGTGGCGTTTCAACGACACGTTCTATTTTTCCCCACCCGTATTCTGACAAGCCCCGCCCATTGCTCTACGATTGGCCTACAAGCAATCCGTCGGTCTGGGTAGCTTGGAGTTCTAGAACACTTTTCCGACAAGCCCCGCCTTCTTGCGCTGGGATTGGCTAACATGAGCAACAAACTACAAGTAAAATCCCGGCGTGAAAAGGAGGACCTTCTCGGAATACGGGTAGGAGTATGTCGGAAAACAGGTAGGAGTATGTTGGAAAACGGGTGGGTGTATGTCAGAATAGAGGTAGGAGTATGGACTACTAGCCAATCCCCGCGCAGGGGGCGGGGTTTATCGGAATATGGGTGGAAAAAACACACGAGCCTCGCTGTGTGGAGTGACGTCGTGAGCCGGGTATTTGACTCGGAAGCTACAACAGTGAGGCGAAAAAAGCGTGAGGAAAAGAAAAAAAATGACCGATAGTGACCTCAAATTCACGCTCTAGAAACGGTTTCTGACTCCATCTCTCCGTTAAGACCGCCTGTGAGCCTCCATATGTTCACCTCTTAGTGAAAAATACCGAGAATTGGGAGGCACCTTGGCCACAACGAAGGAGAAAAGACGGAATCGTTCACCGCCTCGGTCTTCTCAGCCGTTTCAGACCCGCCTCAGCTCGGCTCCCGCAATACCGTGTGAAATTATGGAAAACGCCAAGTCACCCGACCAAACGGGCACTCCTACACACTACACGAACGGGCTGCTGAACGGGTTTCATCCGTCAAACGGAGGAGCTGGTGGAGGAGGAGGAGGAGGCAGCGCCAGTGGCACTAACTGTAGTGGTGGCCATCATGGTATTGAAAATTTCCACCATCTTCACCGTCCTGATGTTCACAACAATGGCTCGCCTGCCAAACGCTGCAGACTCAGGAGACGGATGGACTCGGGGAAGAAGAACAGACCCCGTAAGTCCTTCAAACACAAAACACTCGTTCAGCCTCTGTTTTAGACTCAGCTAAGTCGCTTCTTCCTCGAACAAAGACGGCGCTGACATTGCGAAAAAATCATTTAACATATTTTGGACTGGCTCCTCGGAATGTGAAACGGTGGAATAAACAAATCTAATAAACGCTCTCACGGCATACACGGCTTTGCAGTGCATGCAGGCCTGTTTTGTTTTAGGGGACTTGATTAATTCAGGTAACGTTACTCTGAAACGGCGCCATAGTGTAAGATGACAGATGGACATTTTGTCTGTTCGTATCGAGATTAGGAGCAAACTGCAGTCAGGCCTCCCTAAAATTAACACCTTCAGTCATATAAAATATGCAGTGCTTTTCCAGTGTGTCCTTGAATTCCCACTGAAGGATTCATAATGTGTCTTTATCTCGAGAAGAGTCAACAGTTCCGGATGTGGGACCTTTAAAACTACATTTTATTATATTTATTTTAAGATCGTCTTGCTCCGTAGCTAAAAAGGAAGAGAAAAATCACTTAAAACATAAAACATACATGTTTCATGTTCGTGCTATGATCTTAACCTAGCTAACAGACTGTATTGTGCTCTGAAATAGTGCCGATGGTATTTTGTGTTGTGAAATCAGGTATCGCTCGTTGTGCTGATTTCATTGGACGACGCAGATTTTGTGGGCGTGGTCAAACGTGTCTCACATGATCAACATGACGTTCAACCAATGAGGGAAGGGCAGCCCTCTGAGGGGCGGGGCGGAGCGAATCTTCAACACTTAGAAGCGCAGAGTCTCTCATTGGGCTGCAGTCGAACCGAATTATATCGACTGAAACCGATGTTTAGCTTTGTGATATTAGGGCAAGTAATATTCTCACTAGTGTCGTAAGGATTTATCACACTCACGCGCTAAGACATGTAGTAAGGCGTGAAATACCAAAGAACTGTTTCGACAGCCTGGTACTTTTTGAGGTTTTAACAGTCCCTGGTATTAAATTGTGTGCAATCATTTGGCATATTAACCATGAATGCTGCCTTTGTACGTTCCTGCTTGTAATCCATACCTAGGAGGCTGTTCACTCAAAGCAACTGCATTTTTCTCCTACTTTGAGACTGTGCAGCAGTTCTTATCTTAGATCGGTGTGTGCCTGCATGTGTGGGTTCCAGTGACAGGTCTTTTGCTTGCCTGCTTTATTGTCACTCCTTGTGGCTGTGAAGTACTTTGCTCTCTCTCTCTCTCATGGCAAGGTGTAAATACACCTTTCACCTACATGTGCTCTTGCCAGTCATGCTGTCTCTGTTGGACTAAGCCTAAGGTTCTTCATCAAGTCAATGAAGCATTGTTTAAAGGGGTCTAAAGCTAGCAGATGCATTCTAAAGAAATACTGAAGGAGATAGCCCACAGCACAAGTAAGTACGGCGACAGCCTAGAGTGAACTTGAGCTAAACAGAACAGGGCTTTAATTCCTAGGCTCAATGACAGTGAGAGATCCCCGTCAGTCATTAATGCAATTATGTACAGGTGAGCCCCTCCAACAACAAATCATGTATTAACCATTACACATTTTTTGTTGGATTATCAGTTCTTTTGCTTTCTATTTTATTTTGCATTTACATTAAAAACATTACATGAAAAAATTACATTAAAAGCCAGACTATGCTTTATTTACATTTTAGTGACCCCTTTGTTTTGAATACGGAGCATCAAACAATGCCATACCATGCTTATGTGGTTTTTACAAAAAAATGTCACACATACAGTTTTCCGTTGCAAAGGCGTAATTATTACTCACGATAACATATTAGTTTATCCACTAACAGTGAAGTTCAGTTTCTCTCCAAAATGGCCTTCCCTTTTGATAATACTTTTACAGCACCAGCCTACACTGGTGTTGTAGATTTATGTAATATTTCCACTGCAACATGGAGAATGAGTTTCATCTCCTAAGATTATTTTATTTTATTAATCCTTTAGACACAAAGATTCTGGACTACATCTTGTGTTTTGGAGTGCTTACTTCATCTTGCCACTATTATAGCTACAAAGACAATTACACTACACTAGTAAGTAAGTAAGTAAAGTTTATTTATATAGCGCTTTTTACAACAGGTGTTGTCACAAAGCAGCTTTACAAGGAAATGAGCATTACAGAAAGAAATCCGGGTCCGAGCCCCCATGAGCAAGCCAGTGGCGACAGTGGCAAGGAAAAACTCCCTAAGAAACAGGAAGAAACCTTGAGAGGAACCAGGACTCAGAAGGGGAACCCATCCTCCTCTGGTCGACACCGGATAGTAAACATTGTTAGTATAAAGTATTATAGTACAAAAACAGGGTAAAGGTGAAGGAAACAATTAATTTGAATAGTTCAGTTCATGCTGCAGCAGCGGCAGCAGCATCAGCATCAGTGGGGTCAGGTTGTGGGGGTGAGGTTTGCACGGTGAGCAGTGGCACCCGATCAAGGCAGCAGAGGCAGCAGCATCAGCAGCAGGATGGGCAGCTGTTCAACTCGGCAAAGGAAAGAGAGGAAAAACACACAGTCAGTTCTACAATGGGTGATTGATTAATTTGAATTAGTTTGAATGATTGATTGGTTCAAGTGAATAATTTTGAATAGTTCATGCAGCAACAGCAGTAGTATCAGTGGGGTCAGGTTGTGAGGGGGAGGTTTGCACGGCGTTGTACAGCAGGAGGCTCAATGTTGGTAAGCCGGTCCAGAGGGCTGGCGAGCAGTGGCACCCGATCGAGGCAGAAAAGGCAGCAGCATCAGAACGCACAGGATGGGCAGCTGTTCAACTCGGCGAAGAAAAGAAAGGAAAACACACAGAGAGGAAAACACACAGAGTCAGTTCTGTAATGGGTGACCGATCACAAATTACAGTGTTAGCAGAGACTCTGGCAGGTATAGAACTAACAGGGAAAACTAATTACCAAAGGCTTGACTATACAAGTAAGTTTTTAGCTTAGACTTAAACACTGAGGCTGTGTCTGAGTCCCGAACATTAACAGGAAGACTATTCCAAAGCTGGGGGGCTTTGTATGAGAAGGCTCTCCCCCCTGACGTAACTTTATTAATTCTGGGTACTAAGAGTAAGCCAGCACCTTGTGATCTAAGTAGGCGTGATGGTTCATAGTGAGAGAGAAGTTCACTCAGGTACAGCGGGGCGAATCCGTTTAGTGCTTTATAAGTCAGCAAGAGAATTTTATAATCAATCCGAAATTTTACTGGCAACCAGTGTAAGGCTGATAAAACTGGGCTGATATGGTTGAACTTTCTGGTTCTTGTAAGAACTCTGGCTGCAGCGTTCTGGACCAACTGAAGCTTGTTAACGCTTTTGCTGGGACATCCAGCCAGCAGGGCATTACAGTAGTCTAGCCTAGAAGTAATAAATGCATGAACTAACTTTTCTGCATCCTGTAGAGATAATGCATTTCTCAATTTAGCAATATTGCGGAGATGCAGGAAGGCTGTTCTAGTAATATTAGTTATATGTGCGTCGAAGGACAGATCAGGGTCTATAATGACACCAAGGTTTTTTACAGATGAGCTTGATGCACCTAAGAAACTGTTAAGTTTAAGTGTAAAATTAGACAGTTTGTTTCTAGCTACTTTTGGACCAAGAAGCAGAACCTCTGTTTTATCTGAGTTTAGAAGGAGAAAGTTACTCGACATCCAGTCCTTTATGTCTTTTATACAGTCTTCAGTCTTGCTAAGTTTAATTCTATCGTCTGGGTCGCTTGCTAAATATGACTGAGTGTCATCGGCATAGCAGTGGAAGTTTATGCCGTGTTTACTGATAATGGTGCCTAGTGGTAGCATATATAATGTGAATAATACAGGTCCTAAAACAGAGCCTTGTGGAACACCATATTTTACTTTTGTGAGAACAGATGATTCACCGTTTATATTAACAGACTGATACTGATCAGTGAGGTAGGACCGGAACCAGGAAAGAGCTATTCCTGTTACCCCTACAAGGTTTTCTAGTCTGTCAAGTAAGATAGCGTGGTCTATTGTGTCAAATGCTGCACTAAAATCGAGGAGGACTAACAAGGACACATGATCAGAAAATAATAATAGATCATTTACAATTTTTACTAGTGCTGTTTCTGTACTATGATGTGGCCTAAAACCAGATTGAAATTTTATACTGTATTGAAACTATACTGTAGTACAGTGTTAATTTTTTAAGAATAAATTTGTGGGCTTAACCTTGTTAAAGGGAAATTCCACCAATTTCGAAAAAAAAAGTACTATCAGTGTCATTTATGTAAAGAAGTTTTATTCCGAGCAGTCTTGGAGTATCTCTGTTGGTCCATTCAGCACAAAATATTTCCACAACGTCAAGGAGAAGCTGCCTATGCTCGAATGATGTAGAAAAGTAAAAAAAAAAAAAACAGATACATGTTTTTCTTTGGATAGTGACAGTATTCTAGCCATTTTATTGTCGTTTCTCTGATGTAGGTTTTAGAGATATTAAATGCTTTGCACTTCTGACTTAGTAAATTTCAGAATTGCACACTAAAACACCTTGAATTACTCTGTTTATATGTTAACAATTGAATTATTTAAATATTTTCAAAAATACAGGGAATTCCTCTTTAACTTTCTCTGCCTGCTGAAGGCTCTACTGCTGTGTTCCATGGACTAAAGAGTGAAACGACCAGTACATGGGCAATACTTGTTGTGTAAGAGGATTATAATAGCTTTTAATCAACACATTTACTAACAAGGCACTTTTGACTCAGGAAACACTGACACGTCAAACACGGCTGCTCCCAGCATTTCATACTTATGATACTTTGATTTAAAAGCATCGACATGATGAACGCGGACCTTTTGGGGCAGACAATCTGTTTTTGTCCAAAGTGCTTTTCATATTGTCAGACTGTCTTCCTGGAAAGGTAGCGTCCATTACACCATCACAACAAAAGGTTTCATCTTTCAAAGGACATTAATATCAGGGGCTTCTTCCACTTTCATGAGTTATTGTCACTTATGTCTTTTGGGCATGTGAAGGAATGTTTAAGAGCTTGCACAGTTAACTGATTAAAACCTGATGATGCGATTAAAAATCGTTGATTCAAATTTACCTTCTTGGTGTAGTGGTAGTGCTTAATTGGCAGTTTGCAAGATGAGGGGTATTTTTACATTCTCTGCTCTCTCTTACAATAAGAAACAGAGCATGGGTGGATACATGCATTTTGCATTTTTCAACACATTATGTAATTTTTAAGACTGCAAAGGTCCTAGTTTATCTTTTTTCTTCAGAGTATTTTTGAAGGACTGTGCATGGTTTGCTATTTTTCATTTATTTATTTTTTAACAACTCAGATTATTCGATTAATCATCAGAATAGTTGGTGGATATCATATAGACTTTTTTTACTCTTGATAAAATAGGGGGAAAATACATGTTTCTAATGGCCATTTGTTTTGCAGCCTTCCCTTGGTTTGGCATGGATATTGGAGGCACTCTGGTGAAGCTAGTCTATTTTGAGCCAAAAGACATCACGGCCGAGGAGGAGCAGGAGGAGGTGGAGAGCCTGAAAAGCATTCGCCGTTACCTTACTTCCAATGTAGCCTATGGCAACACGGGCATCCGAGATGTGCACCTGGAGCTAAAGAACCTCACAATGTGTGGCCGCAAGGGCAACCTGCACTTCATCCGCTTCCCCACGCATGACATGCATAGCTTCATTCAGATGGGCCGTGACAAGAACTTCTCCAGCCTGCACACCACACTCTGTGCCACTGGAGGGGGAGCGTACAAGTTTGAGGAAGACTTCAGGACGGTGAGCAGTAGGATGTTACAGGAGGATGTTCTAGCACAGTGGTCCATATTACTTTTTTTATGTTTTATTTATTTTATTTTTTTATAACAGGCCCAGGCTCAACCTCTTTTATCATCCATAGTTAATATTGACTTTAGTGGCATATAATCTGTTTGTAGTGCAATTTGTTATAAGCGTATGAGTGGACAAAATTAAGATTCAAAAGAATTTGCATACTAGTGGACCACTGTTTTAGTTGATGTTTAGTTTTTCACCAGTTATATGTGATGATATGTTTTCATAATTTGAAAATAAATAACACAAGATCCACAAAAATAAAACAAGATTTACAAATATACAGTGTGTTATTCTCAAAAGAAAATTAGATCCACAAATGCATAATTTGAAATGCACAAACTTTTTATATCTTACAAATAACTAATCACTTCACGAATGTTTTGAGGACTTACAAACACGCTCAAGCCCTACAGAGCAGCAGGGACGGAGTATTCACACAGCTCCAGGGCAAGTGGGATTGCAGTGGACGAGTTTTTCAGGTAAGTTTAGATAACTGTATGTTCTTGGGAAGCTAAATCCACGGACTATTAAAACATAACTAAAAATAATAGAGAATTTCTTAGAGAGTTAATGAGGAACGAACATGATAGAGCTTTCTTCATTTCCTTTTACTGTGCAGACAGATGTATAGCTAAGTTGGCTAGCTAGTTAGCTAACTTTAGCTTCATGTTGACTAAGCTCGTCATATTTTCCTTTTCCTATATGTCATTTTCTCAGTGTATTTTGCACACAGGGTCACTCTTTCCAACTTGCTCATTGGCAGTCACCAGTCATTAACGTTAGCTAACTAGCTACCTAGAGCTCTGTGGAAGCAAGACAACCGATCAGTGATAAGTGATCACATTTACATTAGACACCGGTAATATGATTAATAAAACAAAGTGATTTTTTTTTTAAATTATTATTATTTGTACTGTTCCATTAGTTTTGGAGAGGAACCTGTAAGGTAACTTTTTACAGCCTGCTGTGTTTAATGTTAATCTGCACAAATGTTTACTACCTGACACTAACCTAGTTGCAACTTTAACTACTTAATTTAAAGCTAGGTTATTTGTAATCTTAGTAATAACTTGTCTCCATCTTTGGCTAATGTTGTGGTTTGTCAAGCTGAGTGTAGCACCTTTCAGCCACCTACCTTCAGTATCATAATGGCACTAGCCTAGTTTATGGACATGCTTTAAAATCATTGTTTCTATAGGGCCCTTCAGCTGAGGTAGAAAACGCTGTTCTTACACTTTCTGTCGAAACAAGCCTGATATGTTTATCTTTGAATATTGATTGCTACTTAAGGATTGTAAGGTAGTTCAGAACTAAAGAGTAAAAAAGCAGAGAGTTCTACATACCAAGAAAACAGCACCACAGCACTATTGACTATTTTAGTGATCAAGAAAATTTAATTTGATCAAGAAAAATCACAAGTAAAATCTAAGTATTTACAGTACTAGCACTAGATGTCTGCCAAACCGTCACAATCTCAGAATTTAAAAAATGTTAAAAGCTATAAATATATGTTAAACTTTCTATTGAGACATAAAAATTGAGTTTCTCTCAAGATACATGTAGATGTACAAAATTCACAAATATCATAGAAAGACCCAGAGCAGCAAATCTAAATCCTGCTCTTGGCGGCCCACAGCACTGCACAGTTTCAGCACCCCTGATGCAGCTCTTGAAGTGCTTCATAATCAGTTGGAAAGCTGGATCAGGTGTATTAAGTCAAGGAATACATGAAACCATGCAAAGCTGTGGGTCGTAAGAAACAAGGTTAAGAAAAACTGCTTTGCAGTATTACCATGCTATCTGTTTGACCCTGTGGTGTATGTAATCACAGGTAAGATTAACTACCTTTAACATCAGCAAGGATGGGCAACTCTGGTGGAGAACCTTTGTCTAGCACAGCTTTGTGATGGCCCTGTCCATACCCCCTGGTTCAGCTCATCCATTAATTACCAGGTTCAGTGTTGTTTGAGCAAAGAAATCACCAGACTGTGCTGTACTGTGGCACTCCAGGGCCAGAGTTGTCTTAAAATACACCATCAGTTGCTGGAGTGCAGCTACTTTTATGGCCCATTTTACTTAGTGTTTGTGTGCATAAGTCGGTAACTTCAATGTAGGTAGAAGCATAAATATTGACGTACTGACATACGTAAATGCTTTACTGATTGACTTGATATGACAACTGTAAAACCTTTGTCATAGAATTATGGACTGTGCTACTGTGACTGTTAAGAGACAAAAATTAGTGGCCATTTGCCAAAATATCGGCATCACGCATCACTTCTATTTGATATGTACATGTGCAATATACTGTCGCTTTACTACTAGCAGGCAGTCTATTTACCTATAGATCTCAAGTTGAGTCTTATGAATCTAAAAAAAGCTTTTAAAACAGGAAATGTCCACATGCACGCATCAACTTAAAGCAGAAAAACGGTGGTTAACTTTCAGCCCAAACAAGTCCAGTTAGAGAAAGCCAGAGAGTTGCAGCAAGCCTTTAATAGATAGTAAAGGGTTTTTTTCCACACCATAACCAAATAAGAGTACAACAATTTCCAACAAATTTACCGTTATCAACATTGCATACAAAAGCTCAATACACGTGTAGGTGAAATATCTGTGTTGTAGACATCATGACTGCTTCCTATCAACATCACTGTAAAGAAATCTGAGCTGACAAGTTTCTCTACAATAAACCATTTCACACCAAACCACTCTGAATGACTTTGTTTACATCTCAACCATTTAACACAGCAGTGTGTAACACCAAGCTGTACCTAGTCTTCACATGCAGTCATCTAAGTTACTCTATTGGTTCATCTCGAAAACTAATGGAATAATAGAAATAAAAAAAATCAAGAAGTTTATTCTCTTTGATTTATGAATCATATTCTTGGTGTCTATATAAATGTGATCACTTATCACTGATTGGTTGTCTTGCTTCCACAGAGCTCTAGGTAGCTAGTTAGCGAACATTAAGGACTGGTGGTTGCTAATGAGCAAGTTGAAAAGAACTCTGTGTGCAAAATACACTGAAAAACTACATATTTTTCTTTGCCAATATTAAGAACTTAGACAGCATGAAGCTAAATTAGTTATACATTTGTCTGTGTAGTAAAAGCAAATGAAGAAAGCTGTATCGTGTTTGTAACTCATTAACACTCCAATAAATTCTCTATTCTTTTTAGTTTTGTTTTAATAGTATATGGTTTTAACTTCCCAAGCACAAGCAGTTCTCCAGACTTACCTGGAAAACTCGCCCACTGCGAACCCACCTGCCCTGGAGCTGTGCAAATACTCCGTCCCTGCTGCTCTGTAAGGCACAAACTTGCAGTGATTGATTGGGGTAATGTGGGCATTACTGAAAGACTTGTCTTATGTTCTGATTGGCTGGAGATTACTTCTTGTATTATGTATTTGTGGATCTAATTTTCTTGTGAATTACATACTATTTATCTGTAAATTTTTATCTTTGTGGCTCTTGTTATTTATTTTTATTTTCAATTATGAAACAGATATCACCCAATACAGTTCTTTCAGCAGTTTCTTACTTCACTGTGTGATGCCTTTAATATGAAGATCCATATGGTTGTACATTTTCCTGTTCTGAGTATTATTGGACAAACATTCCCAAAACATCACTAAGTTGGTTCTCAAAAATCAACAAGATGCTAAGCTAGTTTGATCTATGAGCAGAGACAGTGTAGTGTCTTGTGGAGGGGCTTCACATTGCCTTTCTTGCTTGTGCTGCTCTCACTGGCTGTGTTCCATTGCAGGTGGCTAATCTGGAGCTGCAGAAGTTGGACGAGCTGGACTGTCTGATTCAGGGTCTGCTGTATGTTGACTCGGTTGGCTTCAATGGCCACCCAGAGTGCTACTTTTTCCAAAATCCCTCTGACCCTGAAAACTGTGTCAAGCAGCCATGTTGCCTTGACAACCCTTTTCCCATGTTGCTGGTAAACATTGGCTCAGGAGTGAGCATCCTGGCAGTCTACTCTAAAGACGATTACAAACGTGTCACAGGCACCAGGTAAATAATGTCTGTATGTGTCAATAAAATTACTCCAGTGAGCTCTCACCTAATCAGTGTGGGACCTCAGGACTCATGATGTGGTATATATATATGTGTGTGTATATATATATATATATATATATATATATATATATATATATATATATATATATATATATATCGAAACATTATTCTTGTGTTCTTTCCAGTTGTGAGTCCAAAGAGAGTACAAATACTTGCATTGCCAGCAGGGAGTAGAGACCAGAAAATGAGCTGTACTGATCATTAAAAGTGAGAGAACTTAGAAATTAGAGATCTGATACGCAGTGTCTGTATGGGGCCAATACAAGCAAAAAATGCTGATCTCACAGGACCCCCACACAGCAGGCATTATTTGGGTGGTAGACCGTTCTCAGCACCACAGTGATGCTGACATGGTGGTGGTGTGTTGGTGTGTGTTGCACTGGTATGAGTGGATCAGACACAGCAGTGCAGCTGCGTTAGACACATCTACCTTGTTAGCCCACATTGTAGATGTAAAGTCAGAGACAGTAGCTTATTTGTTGCTGTACAGTTTGTGTTGGTCATCCTCTAGTTCTTCATCTGTGGGCACAGGATGGATATTTCTAGTTGGTGGACTATTCTCAGCCCAGCAGTGACACTAAGATGTTTAAAAATTCACGCAGCACTGCTGTGTAAGCAAAAATTCAAGTGTCTCTTTAAATAACTTGAATCAAATAAAGAGCCACATTGAAAAGAATAGGAAGCTGGCCATATAGCCCAATAAGTATTGCATAATTACGCTCTGAAAATTTGGTATACGTGTATCTTGGCCACTTACTGATCATGTTGGAGCAAAGATCTGCCGATTCTGATTCTGAATCCCTAAATTCCAGATTAGCTTCTGAAACCAAACAAGACCAAAGCTTCTTAGAGCTGATTAGTTGTTGGTGAAAGCTGTCAAACAAAAGAAAGCCTTTTAAAATATTCAGAAGAAATGCAAATCAGCATCGTTTTTTCTGTAGTAGACTATGTAGTTTTTTAGCAGTGTGAACAAGTGAACAGCAGTATGTGGACAAACATACTGGGACACACCTTTTAATCATTGTATTCAGGTGTTGCATTCAGTCCCATTGCCACAGGTGTATGAAATCAAACACCTAGCCATGCAGTCTGCCTTTACAAACATTTGTGAAAGAATGGGTCATTCTAAGGAGCTCATTTTGAATTTGAGCATGGTACTTGGATGCCACCGTTACGTCAGGTCAGTTCAGGAAATTTCTTCCCTTCTAGATATTCCACGAGCAGCTGTGATTGGTATTACTAAAAAACAGTGGAAGCGGAGCATAGTGCACCAACGCTCTGCTGACTCAATAACTGCAGAGTTCCAAACCTCATCTGGCATTAACATAAGCACAAAAATTGGGTTTCCATGGCTGAGCAGCTGTATGCAAGCCTTATGTCACCAAGCACAACGCCAGTTGCCGGTTGGAGTGGCGTAAAGCACACCTTCATTGGACTCTGGAGCAGTGGAAATGTATTCTGTGGAGTGATGAATCACACTTCTCTATCTGGCAGTCTAATGGATAAGTCTGGGTTTGGCAAAGGCCAGGAGAACATTACCTGCCTGACTGCATTGTGCCAGCTCTAAAGTTTGGTGGAGGAGGGATCGTGCTTTGGGGGTGTTTTCAGGGGTTGGCATAGACCCCTTAGTTTCAGTAAAGGGAAATTTTAATGCTTCAGCATACCAAGACATTTTGGACAATTCTATGCTTCCAACTTGGTGGAAACAGCTGGGAAAGGCCCTTCTCTGTTCCAGCATGACTGTGCCCCAGTGCACAAAGCAAGGTCCATAAAGGCATGGTTGGGTGAGTTTGGTGTGGAAGATCTTGATTGGCCCGCACAGAGCCCTGACCTCAACCCCATCAAACCCCTTTGGGATGAGCTAGAATGAAAATTGCTAGCCAGGCCCTCTTGTCAAACATTAGTATCTTATCCCACAGATGCTGTTCTGGATGAATGGCAAAAATACCCACAGACACACTCCAAAAACTTGTAGACAGCTTCCCAGAAGAATGGAAGCTGTTATACTTGCGATGATCTCATTCTAAATCCATCATAAAAGCTCCTGTAGGTCTAATGTGTAGGTGTCCCAGTACTTTTGTCCATATCGTCTACTTTTAGATGGCTATCTTAAGAGAAATGCTTCAGTTTGTCAGATCTGTTCTGTCAGTTCTGAAGGTTTTGGCATCAAAATATCTGTATCAGTGAAGTGGTATTGCACAATCTGCAGTTGAAATAGCCATGTAGCAAAATAAAACATTCCTGCAAATGTTAATATACAGTTACTTTACATTTGATTAACTTAAAAGTAGTCAAAGTAGTAATTTTGTCATGTGCAAAAGTTTGGACACCCTGCTTAGTCAGTTTGTCTGTTCTTGTTTTAGTGTGATATTCCTGGGCCGTTTTGCATGAGCAACGGTTATAAGATTTACCCACAGATTATTAATAGTGTTCAGGTCAGCGGACTGTGAGGCTAATACAAAAGTTTTTTTTGCGTTTGTTGTAGAAGCCAGTCTCTTTTCAGCTTCACTTTCTTAACTGACTTTGTCACATTTGCTTTCAGAATTTGCTCATATTTAGCATGATCTGTTCTTCCATCTACTCATGCAATATTTCTTGTGCCACTGGCTGCCACAAAGCATAATGGATCCACTCCTATGCTTAACATTTGATAACAATCCTTAGCCAGCTGCCTAGAGGAGCCCATTGTTGTTGAGTGTTGGCACAAAGTTTGAAAAGTTTTCTATGTTCTGGAGCTGTCATCAGCTGACAGTTCCTAATTACAGTGCTTGACCTGCTGAAACCAGTCCTAATGAGTCATTTAAGGCCTAACAAGTTCATTACGTTCTTAGACTTTACAACTGAAAGGGTGTCCAAACTTTTGCCACAATTCTGTTTTATTTTTTTCTGTTTTTAAGTTAATCAAATATAAAGTAACTGTACATCACTGTTTATCACTATTTGCAGAAAAAGTTTTTTGATAGTTTGCTGCGGAGGTCGTATTTGTTTCTTGCCACTTGAAAAAGACTTCTGTCGTGTGTGTGTGTGTGTAATATGATTTTGAAAAAGCACAAAATACTCTCAGTGCTGTGTCTGTAAAATATGTACCTATTCTCGTGTTTGTTTGTTTTTTTCCTCCATTTTGTTTTATCCAGTTTGGGAGGGGGCACTTTTCTTGGCCTGTGCTGCTTGCTGACTGGCTGTGAGACGTTTGAGGAGGCCCTAGAGATGGCAGCAAAGGGTGACAGCACTAACGTTGACAAGCTGGTAAAGGACATTTATGGTGGAGATTACGAGCGCTTTGGCCTTCAAGGATCTGCTGTGGCATCCAGGTACTAGACAATTTCATTTAAAATTTTTTTTTAAAGATTCAGTGTTTCTGTACAGAAGCACTTAAAAGTTTTTTTGTTTGTTTTTTTGGTCACTTAGTTTTGGTCATATGATGAGCAAGGACAGACGTGATAGCATCAGCAAAGAGGACTTAGCCAGAGCTACTCTTGTCACGATCACAAACAACATTGGTTCCATTGCCCGTATGTGTGCTGTGAATGAGGTTTGTCACATTTAATTTTTCATTCATAGTTTAACATCAATGCAGTGAAACTTTAAAGGAGTTTAGGTATTGTCATTTTATACATTGTGTTCATTAACATACTATTTGTGAGATCATAATGTTGATTAGTATCTATTATTTGATACATGATTCTATGTGGCTCTAAATGCAAATCAAATATGAGTGCTCCTAAGTCCTAACAACACTGATTTACCAGTAGAGACACCAAAAGAAGATGCCACTGCTGCTGGAAATACATTTGTGTGCTTTCAGCTTCTTTACAGTGTTGCCTTGTGGCCTGGAGATCAAGCAGCATTGTACAGGGCTATCAAAGCACACAGAACAACGACATGAGCCACAACAATATTGTTAATGATTCTGATCCTTACGTTTGTTTTGCTGTTATATTGTGTATGTTTAACTAATAGTTATAAGACTTGAATTAAACATGGTGGTGTAGCTCTAAGGAACAAAAGGCCAGTAAAATTATGTGGTCAGATTCTCAAATTATTTACAAAATAATTAAAAATACAGAAACAGTATAGAAAAAATGTAATGCTCAAAGTAATCTGAAGTAACATAAAATCTGCAGTGAGTGTTATATACAGTTACATTTTGAATATTTAAGCGTACAGTTATAAGATACAATATGTTATAGTGATTACAGAACAAAGACATGGAAGGGGTCTTTAGGATGTTTATAGCCTGGGATTTACAGAAGTTACGTGCATTGAGATGTATGCATTGAAGATGACCTCCACTTATGACCTACCAATAGAGATGGCATGATACTAGGGTTGGGCAATAAGAAAATATTTATAATCATTGCGATAAATTGTGTTAAAGCATGTCACAACATGCTTTTCTGAGTGTATTGAGGGATATTATCAGTAAACTCCATTAGCATGATAGCATAACTTTAATAGTATAATTAGTCCTGTTTAAGTGGAATTCACAGTGCAATATGTGAAATGCTTAATTTTATTTGTAGGTCTTGATAGTTTTATGTTTGACTCCACTGGTCCTTTTTTGTCTGTTTCAACTTGCCTGATGTCGGAAAAAATAAAATCTGTGTCATACCCTGAAATTCCAAGTATCATGATGTTGTATTTGTACCATATCGTCCACCTTTACATGATACCACCTTTTTTTTTGTCTGATAGCAGTTTTGACTCTGACCTTAAGGATCAACCAATATCAGGACAGATCCAGTGTATTTTTTTTTTAAACTACTCAATTTTAAAATTAGCTATTTTAAATTATAGCAATTCATTTAATAATTCTAAATAAACATCTAAAAGTAGGCTATTGTGCTGAAACCTCTCAAACACTCTACTAGCCCTCAGGAAGAAATATACAGCTAAGAGCATCATCCTACACAATGAGAACGTGTGCTGTTTCAGGCTAGATTTGTTACAGGATTGGATTGAATTCATGTTTGTTAGTTTGTTTGTTTGTTTTGTTTTTTCAATATCCAGTGCAGTGTTTTCTGATATCTACATGATAACAATAACCGGTATAGGATTGGTGCCATCTTTACCTGCAGTGCACCTATAATTATCATACAATTTATTGTACTACTTATGAAGTATATCATTGACCAGAGCTGCGTTGGCCTCCAACGCTGCAATGCAGATACTCACAGCTAGGTGGCAGCCAAAACTTTACCTTTCTGGCTGTGTTTCCCAGAGTCACTGTGGTAATCATAAGCATGTGTAGTAGAGTTTATCTCTGTCTCTTTTGTGTAAATAGACTCCTACAACTATCAAATGTTATTTCTTTTTGTTTTCAGAGAATTGAAAGGGTTGTATTTGTTGGGAATTTCCTGCGAATAAACACAGTGTCGACAAAGCTGCTAGCATATGCCATGGACTTTTGGTCAAAAGGACAACTGAAAGCCCTGTTTTTGGAACATGAAGTAAGTGATTTTATTCAGTACGCTGAACGTCATATTTACCATGAAACATGAATCTAACAGTGCCTTTAGTTGACCTACATTTCGCACGATGGTTAAGTGTGGTGTGTGCATGTATGACAAACAATAATCTCACTGATCTGGGCCATCCTGTTGTGTGCAGGGTTATTTTGGGGCTGTTGGTGCCTTCCTAGAGCTACTGAGGATGACTGAAGACCTCTGAGGACCTCAAAAAAAACAACAACAACAACAACAAAAATACTTTCCAGAACCAGAAGCTGCTGTAAGATGTCAGGAAAGCCTCCTCCCATAACAAGGAAAAGCCATTTGGATAATGTTTAAGATATTTAAGACGATGCCTGTATTCTCCTTCCCTGTTTTTAAGCTTATTGCAAGCTTAATCCTGATATGTGAATGGGATTTGGAGGTGAGTGTTATGTATTTACCACTAAGGAGGAAGCCTCTCATGGTACAGTCTACTGTAAAGAAAAATGAAGATGCTTGTATTAGTAGACTGTGCCGTACAAGCCAAAATTGACTAATTTTGTTTTAAACTAATGTTGAACACTTCCACAAATCACTTTGTGTTGTTTGTTTTAAACCATCGACCTAGAACATGGCTTTGACCCAAGCCTTTGCAGAGTAATGGCCTGTTCTACAGTGCATAAATATTCAGTGAGAATTTCACTAAATTATTTAGTTTTTAAATGTCTAATAAGTAACATTTTCTGTTGAAATTTGACAAAATACATGACGTCAGTGGTAATGGCAAGGGCAAAACTGGAGGTAATTCCAGTTCAGATGGTGTAGAAAACCAAGTGATCAACAATTTGACAAGCAGTTAATCTCTAATATGCAGTATACAACGAGGCATGTGATTCCAAGACGCTAACTTGTGAGCATTACTGTGCATACTTTAGTATGCTAAGCACTGTGGTCCAGCAGTGGTGATCATGAGAGACCTAGGTTTGATCACCTGGTCAGAGGACCGGTGAAATTTAAATATATTACTTATTGGACTTTTAAATTGACTTTCTGCATCATCAATCTGATAGTAAATGGCCTTCATATTTTAAGATTTTGCAGTATTAGCCAGTTTGATAGAGCCCTTTTTAACCATCTGCCAAATGCTGATCTGTTAACACAGCCTTTTAAACTATGGAGACAGTTCTGGGGACCAAGCTTTGTGTTTGCTGATCAACGGCTTATCGATTTGTTAGGTTAGTAGTTCAGTGCTGAATGATTTCTGATCAGAAAAAAATATGATATGCATCAGCTCTGATATTATCCCATATTTCACTGAATGACTACTTCACTCACACAACTAGTTTATTTTTACCCTTGAGATGTACTTACACTGTAATAGAGGTTGTTGTTTTTTATTTGTTTCTATTTAATCCATATTTTGCAGATTGTGTCATTTTATTGATTGTCCTGTTTGTGGCATTATATGATGGTATCAGTTTCACTTGAAACTACTAATCGAGCCTGTAAACGTTTCTCCTGCCTTTCCTCCTGCCTTTTCAACAAATGCCTTCATTATCATCTCTCTATGTCTTGTATGTTTCTCTCAGAGGCCCAGCATCACGTATCGTTGACATTAACATGTATCTTTAATTTGCCTTCCTCAAAGCTGTGTATAATAATGAAAGTAGTCTGAGTAGTTGTAGTAGTCTGCTTGGCAAGACACTTTAAAGGAATACTCCAGTATTGTTACCTGATCTCTGTCTGCTTTACCTGTAGCATTCGGTCAGTAACCTTGAACACTTATTTCCCTGTGCTTGACTAAGGATCAGAATTGACTCTAAACGTGCTTAGAATGGAAGCCAGTTCACAGTGGTTTCTATTGAAAGTGTTTTTGAAAAAAAAGTTTTCTGTTGTTTTATAAGTGCAGGGTACTGTCCATGGTAATCGACTGCATGCTACAGATGAATCAGAAAGAGGTTAGGTTGAAAAATATTGGAGTATTCCTTTAATGTGGCTATATATTACATGTATATGACAATGAAGGGATGAAGTAGGTGAGAGATAGAGGATGACTTATAACTAAGGGAGATAGCTGAGGTTTCTGGTGACATGCCAAACATGCTGGATTCCAAAAATCCAGAAGATCTGGAATTTCCACTCACTACAAGCTGTATATAGGTTAAGAACCCAGCGTTCTTCTTTAAAAAAGTCTATTGTTTGCTGTTTTCCCCCCAAGCTTTGTGGGTGTACCTGAATTAGGCTGCAGCAGCAGGCTGGGGCAGCACTTTAAAACGCTATGTATGCAGAGTATAAACTGTGTTACTAGTCTGTGCTTTGTCCATGTCTTGATTTGCTTTGCAGTATTCCAGACATATGGAGCAGATGTTTAAATGATATTGAAAATAAAAAGACATACATTTCTGTGCATAAAGTCAAAATATCCTAGCATCAAAACAAATTCCATTTCAAAATGCTCAGAGTTTCCTGTGTCCTCCGCTTGCATCATCACCAAACATCCATCCATCCATCCATTATCTAAACCGCTTATCCTTCTGGGTCGCGGTGGGGTGCTGGAGCCTATCCCAGCTGTCACTGGGCCGTGCTGCCCCCAGCACCAAACATCAGCCACATATTTAAGTTGTATTTCTAATTTAAGTCATCACTGTTATGGAACATAAGCTTGTATTTCCGAAGGGGTAACTTTGTAGGAGAAGGAAAAGTTGCTAACACTTTGTTGGAGCCTGACGTAATATTGACATAAACATGCCATAAACATGTCATGGAAAATGTCATACACTGTTATGAGTGGTCATGACAGGTTAGCGTGTTACTATAACCAGTACATCTCATGACATGTCAAAATGTTATAGGTAACACACAGCACACAGCAACAGTTAGCATGTGACACAAGCTGTCATGACATCCAATATTACGACATTACCGGAAAAAGGTAACATGACACTGTTAAGTTATTTAACGAAATCGGTTATGACAATCTATGTTTGTGCCGTGATTATGTCAGCGTAGTAGGGTTCGAGTGAAGCGTTACTGAAAGATTTTACCCGAACTTTTATGTGTGTTAATGTAATGAGATTATGTAATGTAGCGATTTCGTTAAGTAATTTAATTTCTGTTCCCCTATTTGTTCTCTCATTCACAGTGTCAAGAGTGTCTGGCATTTGCATATGGTGTACAAAATTCACCAAAAACATGAGGTGACATGACAGTAAGAAAGTGTTCCGTTTCCTGCAAAGTGTATACTCTGAAATGTGTGTAATTGAGGGCCTTTTATGCTATTGCTAATGAAAGGCAAGCATTTATATATATGTTTGTAAGCGTATGTGATGCTGGAGCTCGTTTCCGATAGTTTACACGTTTTTCATTTCGTCCTTCTATTTTTTTTTTCCCATTACCTCTGCTCAGTCCTCTGCCTTATGCAGTTGGTCGCCATTTTGACTTTGAGTATCTGTATATGCACGATGGCAGTCCAACACAACTCTGAGCCACTACAGCAACTTTCACGTGTTTTAAGGGGTGCCTTTTACTGATGGAATCCAGACTTTTATCTGTGCATCTGCCTCCTTCTTCTAATGCTATGTCCAGATGTCTCTGTAAAATGTTAATCCTCCATTGTGTTGAATTCAGTTGGTCTGTTCATGGTTTTTCTTTGTTTTGTTTTGTTTTTTTTTTCCTTCAGGAAATTGAATGCATGTGTTAGAACATACTGTTCTAAGCTCTGAGCCACTGCAAGCTATAATAACTACACCAAGAAGAATGACATGTATGCAAAACAGGGCAAGATAAATCGAGGCACTACATACTTTTCCATTAATGTTGAGAATGTGCTTTGTACCAGGCCCAGTTCAGCTTATTGCATGAATGGTCCTATCAATGTATACTCAAGCATGTTTGGTCTTCACATTTTGTTTATTCTGATCAGCCACACTGAAAAAAGTACAGAATTTACATATTCCAGAATTCCACATCAGTTATATACATTATGCAAAACCTAAAGATAAAATTGTATTAACTTAATACATGAAAAGTTTCATTCCAGAATCTTAAATGTCACTTTCATTCATTCTCATTCTTTTTTTTTTTAGTATAGATTGCTGATTTTGGCTTTACACAAAATAATTAATAAAATAAAGATGCATTTATTGACAGTATGTTATGTCAGCTGTTATTCCTTTCAAACCTCTTGTAGTTATAAGTGGACACACAGCATTTTGGAATGAAATTTTATTAATGTGGAAATGATGGTGTTTTTTTTTTATTCAACTAAATTCAGTGCATCACTTTTTTTCACTGCATTTTAGTCATACTTGATGCATGTTCATAAATCTGTAAGCATTGAAAGATTCAATATAATTGAATCATAAACTCCTTCCTAAGCCTGATCTTTATTTCAATAATAAACCACTCACTCTTTCACAGTTAGGAGTATGATATTCAGTCTGCTCTCACAGCATCACTACGTCAGTGTTTTGTGTTTACGTGTTGTAGAGGTATCCAAGGCTTATTTAGGCCTGCCCTGTGGAATGAACAGCTCTGACATGTCATGACACCATTAATCTTGATCATTTTTCTGTTCACCTTACATGTTTTGTTTTTTTGTTAATAAACCCTGAATACTTACCAAATGTGGTACATATGTACGCAGTTCTTCAGTATTTGCTTATTTGAATGCAGGCTGTGTGTGTGTGGAGTGCACAGTTGTCTGTATGTTGGTGTTTTATTTTCATACACATTAAGAGCACAAATGTCCTGACTTTAAAGTGTTTTTATAAAAACAGGTTATTGCTTATAACTGAAGGCAAAACAGATTATTTTTTGGTTATTGTGGTTAAGATTATGGTTATGTTCATTTGGCTTATTATATATCATAATACAAGTATTGGAAATATGTACTCAGAATACGGAAATTAAGCATCTGTATTCAGTGTTATATTTTAGAAAGGCAGTATTCAGAATACAGTTACATTTTAGGAGAATACATCTAGAATACCTACCCACTTAGTAAAAATCATACAGTTCTCAAAGGAAACACCATGAATGTTTGTTTATTGAATATTTTAGGATCTGTGCACAGCATGTAGCAAACATGCTTGTTAGACAAACTAAAGAGGACCTCAATTAACAACTTTACAAACACTGAAGGTCCTACTGAAGCCTGAGTAGACTGATAAATTAAGGTGATGAGCCAGTTATTAATCTCAGTGTTATTGAGCTGAACTAATAATCTTCTCGATATTAAATGTAAATGGAAAATATATTACTATATAATTTGTAATATATATATATATATATATATATATATATATATATATATATATATATATATATATATTAAATATAACATCACATGATAGAATGTGTGCAATAATACATTACATATATTATTCCACACAGGTACTAGTGCTGAGTGACATATGGTCTTTACCAGTATACCATGATACTGACATATTGTGATATTCTCTGATGTAATGCCCATGAAAAAGCAGTGTTCCTGTTGCTAGATGGTTTGTTTTGTTTCTTTTCCGTAAATCTGCTTTGTGTCTGGGTAATGTTTACAATATTATGTAAGGCTCACTTTGGTGTCATTTTAAAAGAAGAAAACAGAACAAACCAGTCCAGTTAACACAAGCTCCATCAGGTCTGTAAGACATTAATTTAGTGCTGAGCACCAGTACTCAGGCAGCATGGGCTCATTACCTTTATCGAGTTAATGCTAACTTAAAAATCTGTGGGGTCCAAAAGTCTGAGATTACTTGGGATCTGGGATCATTTAAACTTAAGAATTAAAAAAAGGTTCCATATAGAACCATTTAAAATGCACTCTCTATCAGTCTGAAGAATTTTTTTCTTTGAGTGTTAATGGTTCTATATAGAACCATTTTCTTCACTAAAGAACCCTTGAATAACCATATTTTTAAGTGTGAGGTCAGTATGAAAATCTGCCATGTTAATACTTTGTACAAAAAAAGGTTAGATTTTTTGAGTCTCATCTCTTCTAGTGAAGCTAATGTACAGATGACTCGGATCTACTTTTCAGAGGCTTTTGCACATATTTAAGGAGTCAGCTGAGAACATAGTATCATTAAGGTAAAAGAGAGACATATTATACCAAATATTTAGAAATCCTGACATAAACATTTCAAATATTCAACTTTTCAAATTGTTAGTCTAAGAAATTATTTGCAATTAAAAAAAAAAAAACTTGAAAAAACAGAAGCATTTTCATTAGTGAACTTTTGGACCTCACTGTGTATAGTATATATGAGACTATTATTACATACAGAAATTTATATATGGTACATGTGGGTCATGTTCTTATTATACAGTAGTGTCCAAAAGTCAGAGACCACATTTCATTTTTTTTTTTTTTATTTCTAATGGAAACAGCCATTAAGTACAAGTTTTTTCAGAAGATGTTTCTGAGGGGATTAGATAAAATATTGTACAGGGAAAGGGAAAGGTCAAAGGAGAATAAGGGAAAAAACAGGAGTTTCCAAAACTGCACTTCAAAAATTCATTGACAGATACAGACGTGAGACTTGTGCAAGACCTGGTAGACCAGCAAAACTGTCGCCATCAGATAAACAGCAAGCTTTCATCTTTGAGAGAGAGGAGAAAATCTAGCTCCACTCTTACTTCAGATGTGAAAAGTGTTTCTGTCCATCCTTCCACTGTGAGAAGACAACTCAGCACTTATCCCTGGCTAGGCAACAGGAAAAATAGCACCTTGCATGCTGTATCCAACCCTGGACTGACTTCACCTTAATGTCTCTGCATGCCTCTTCCATTGCTTGCAGATGAGGCAGGTGGACGTGTGGTTGGTGGTCATACACTTCCCAACGCCAAGCCAAAAAGAATTCCTCAATTGGACTGAGAAATGAGGAGTAAGAGGGCAAATAGAACACTGTGGACTTGTGGTTGACACATTCAGTCAAAACTACAAGCTAAGGTTGGTTTCTAAAACCAGGTTTCTTTTTTAGCTGGGTGCTGTATATAGAGAGTTAAATATATAAATAATGGGACATAATGCTTTATTTGCAAACTTAAGTATGTAGTACATATGGGTCATGTTCTTGGTATTAAAACATGTAGGACATATGTATGACCTCGCCCTGATAAGGTATGAAAACGTGTGTCTGGATGTGTATGTGTGTGCGTTCATGTGTGTACGGGTGTGTGTGCATGTGTGTGTGTTTGGGTGTATGTGTGTCTATGTGTGTGTGTCATTTGTTGAGTAATTAGGCAAATGTGGCTGCCATGGCGTTCAGTTCAGCGTCAACACGGTCACATATGGAAATATCCTCACAGGACACAACCTTTCACTGCCAGTACTCCATTACTACTGCTAGCTAATTACATGTAAGAGTAGGTTTATTGTTCTTGTGCTGGGCAGGTAGACTGTTCGGAGCAGTGAGTGGTCCACAGAGAGGGGAACACGCACATGTGTAATTGCATAATTTGTCTCCACGTGTTCTGGGGGCTGGAGAACTGAGAGGTGCCTGAGCTTTGTGAGCACACCCGCGCACACACACGCTGGATGTTCCTGCAGCTGCTGAAGGGAACGTTTGGAGGGTGGAGGAGAGATGCAGGAGCCACTGAATCGATACAATGTGAGGAAGGTTCAGTGTTTATGAATGTGAGCTGAGTTATTCTAGGTGCAGAAGCCCAATGAGGAGCAGGCCGTTAGAGCAGCAGACTGCCTTCATACACGGTAAGAACTTTCTGTTCTCAGCTTTTATTTTATTTATTTATTTATTTATTCATTTTTATTAACTAGTTTTAACCTTGCGAAATTTGGAAGCTAAGTTTAAATGGCTCTTGCAATCTTAGTTCATGTCTTGTAGCTTAATGTTGTTGCCACTGTTTTAACCCAGGGCTAAGCTAATTAGCATATTTTCATGTCAGTTTCATGATAAAACTGAACCAGTTTCTTATGCAGCGTTTATTTCTGAACTACAATCTATTTCACATTCAAATAGCACTGATAGTCAGTGAAGTAATTATTAACGTTTACAAGTCCTACAGGAATAAAACACGTTCTAAAAGTGACCCCAGAGAGCAAAGGAACGTTGGAACCCCGCTGATTTCATTGTTGTTCAGTTCAACGTAGAACTGTTGAATTAAAGTTGATTTCAGACGTTGTCAACAGTAAAGTGCTCATATTGTTCAACGCTGAAAACCCGTTGAAACTAGACCTTTTAATCCTCTCCGGTTTAACTTCATCTAAATGTGGATTATAGTATGTCTGTTTTTCGGTGTTAAATTACACAGTTAATCCTGTTTTATGTACAACAGTATTTCTAAAAAAGATGGTAGTCTAATTATGATTACAACAAATAATAATAATAATAAGAAGAAGAAGAAGAAGAATACATGAAACTATTTAATGAGAGATTTCTTTTAATCGCAAAAGTTTTTATTCACAGGAGACGTTTGGAGTGAGGTTTGCTCAGGGATGTAGGTGTGATCATAACCATATTAGTTTAATGTAATTGCAGTGTACTCTATGTTGCTTGACCAAACAATGAAAATAAAAAGTAGCCTACCTGATTTTTATGTCCTTCTCAATACTGTCCTTTCCCTCTCTTGCACATATTGTAGCCAGCTTGGTGTTGTCTGTAATTTACTTCTGGAGAGTTGCTAGATGCTATTGTGTTTTTCTTATCAATTGCACTGATACATACCATACATACAAAAAGTCCAAAGTATTAGTTTTTCCCCCCTGTAACACCTCTAGGCCATTGCAAGTCACCGACAGCTGTGCACAGCAAGTCGTTGCATGTGACCAGATTCAAGATTTTAGATGAAGGTTTCAGACATACATATTACATTCCATAAAACTAGTCAAGCATAAGAACTGTTCCTGCTGCTGAACAAAGAAGGTGAGCACAGTTCAGTGTATATGTAGATATAAACTGATAACACATAAATTCTTTTTTTTTTAAATACAGAAGTTACTAAATAGTTACCTTTAAACTTCGCAGTTATTCAAGTGATGAGTAACTATGAGTTATTTTTAATAAGTTACAGGAAAGAGAAGAGGAAGGAGGTTACTGAAACTAAAGTATTCCTTCATTTTGTCCAGGCAGCGTACATAGAGCCAGGCCCTATGCTTTTACACTGATACATTGCATTGACTTGATTCGAATGTGTACAAACTTTGTACATGAATAAAATGCAGTGGCCTTTAAACGTATTTGGTCATTTGTGCCATGCTTAGTTTGTTGTGTTAGAAAAACAAGATGTCAAACCAAGTGATAGATATTTTACAACCCTGTTTCCAAAAAAGTTGGGGCACTATGCAAAATGTAAGTAAAAACAGAGTGCAACGATATGCAAATCATCTAAAACCTATATTTAATAGAAAATAGTACAAGGTCAAAATAGTACAATATCAAATGTTGAAATTCCAAAATTCTATTGTTCTTTGAAAAATAAATTTTGCTTGATGTAGGATTTCAGCTGCTCCACAGTTCAGGGTCTCCTTTGCTATATTTTTTGTTTCATAATGTACCAAATGTTTTCAATGAAGGACAGGTCTGGACTGCAGACAGGCCAGTTTAGCACCTGGACTCTTTTACTATGGAGCCATGCTGTTGCAATGTGGTTTGACATTGTCTTGCTGAAATAAGCAAGGCATTCCCTGAAAAAGACATCGTCTGGATGGCAGCATATGTTGCCAAAACCTGTATATATCGTTCAGCATTAATGGTGCCTTCACAGATGTGCACGTCACTCACGCCATGTACACTAATTCTCCCCCGTATACCATCACAGAACTGTGCGCTGATAACAAGCCGGGTGGCCCCTCCTCTTAAGCCCGGAGGACGCGGCATCCATGATTTCCAAAAAGAATTTCAAAGTGTGATTCACTGGACAACATGACCTGGTGTGTTTCAGACCATGATCGCTTGAGCAGTTTCTTTGCATGTTTGCATCCAAAAATGCGTTTTGTACACTTTTAACTTCAAGATCCCGTCAACGAACGCAAGCTCGCCGACACCACTGTAAGAAAAACAGGAAAAGCAGACCCAGACTTTGACGTTTCATGTTTGGGCTTTACTGTGCAATTACCGCAAACTGGTTGGACTTCTTCTCCAGAGTTTCCCCACACAAAGAGTCTACCACAGGTTTGATGCTGTGCTAAAGTGTTTTCTTTTTGTTAAACACTTTTGAAGTATATTTTATGAAGCTTCAATAAAGTTTATAAAAGTGTCCAAAGTCTTTTTGTGGCCAAAACACAGTGTTGATGTCATGAATTTTATTCATGTGGAAATGCTCATTAAAATTACCTACATTTAATTCAGTGTGCTGCTGGTTTATAGCCTTCAGCAAGTACGGGCTGAAAGCTTTAACTGAAATTTGGAGCTTGTGTTGCCTGCAAAACTCTGACCTTTATCTATGAGGACGAATCATTTGAATTGATTATCAATGTGTTTGCTTGTGTATGTTTATGGTTGAGGAGAAGCAGATCGGTAATGTGAAACTGTGACCCACTGAATATGTTTTTCCAGGAAGAGCATGTTAAAACATGCCTCAGCTTTTCAAGAGGGTGAAGGGGGTCAGCAAGGCAGACTGCAGGCTCCTGAGTTAATCTGGTAACTCCTGAGTTAGCATGGCCCCCAGGCTCGTAAACACCTCGCCTGAAGAGGTCACACGTCATGAGAAAACTTGCCACCTCGCTCTGGCCAGCTGTGAATCATTAGTGCTGCCCGTGTGTGCTGCCCGTGCATGCTGGGAAAAGGCCAGTGTACAGTGCACCAAGTCCTGAATGATGTTCCATATCAAGTGTCTAGCTTGCCATAGGTTAGACCTGAGCTACTGCTTGTTAATCATTTTAGCCAGTCTTGTTACTTATTGCTGCATGTTCCTTTGCATGTTTCATCTTGTGTTCAGGTCCTCACAGCTACAGTGGGAACTCCATGACTGGCGCGTGTGGTAGAAGCGAGGTGTGCAAAGTGTGGGGGTGGGTGTGTTCGAGTGCGCGTGGGTCTTGCTACTAAGGACAAGGCAGGAGCAGAGGTGGATGCGGCATCCATGGCTCAGGAAAGGAAGAAGAAGACAGGAGTGCTTCCTCCTGATGGAGGCTGGGGGTGGATGATTGTGGCCGGCTGTTTTGTGGTCACTGTCTGCACTCGTGCTGTAACTAGGTAAGCCTTATTTGAGCCACAGTGTTGCCTCTAGACTGTATCTTCTCTCTGTTGAATTCTACACATTGAAAAACACACTAAGTGATAAACAGGTCAGCAGTTTTCTGTTGACTGGTTGTTTTAGTTCAGAATCAGAATTACTTTATTTCGCCAAATATGTTACACTTACGAGGAAATATACAGACTCTTTACAGATATTCAAAAGAAATTAAAATATTAATTAAGGCAGAAAAGAATAAAGTAAAATAAAATGGAATAAAAGCATATATAATAAAAGACAAGAGAGTAGATAAATGAAGAACTAGTGTGAAAGGAGACAAAAAGAATCAATATGTGCAAAGTCTGAGTAAACATAAAATGTACTATTACTTACAGTATATGCCAGAGTGGTGTGAACATTTGTGTTCATTTGTGTAGTTGTGCAGATATGCGTTATGGCACAGAGTGGAGTTGTGGAGCACAGTAACGGGAGGTTTGCAGATTCCATTTACAGTGTCCACTGCTACGGCTATGCTAGTTTTGATGCCCCTCAGTCTTCTTTCAGAGTTAAGATTTATTATTCGGTGATTACTATAAATGATTTATGTAACTACTATGAATTGTGCGGTGTAATTTTGAGAGTAAGGAACTGAAGTGTGGATCCACATAAAAACCCTCAGGGTCTACGTCTTTGAACTGTATTGCTTATTATTTAGGGCAGACATAGTTAGCCTTTTTTAGACTTAGAATTTCCCCTCCAAGATCAAGAAAGAATATTTGTCCACCATTCTGGAGTTCAGGGGATTCAATTTCATGCTTTTTATTAAGTTATTAATCAGTAATTATTCCAAATCACTCAGTAACTACTATGGAACTAATATGTAAGATATGTAGTTATGAGAGTGAGGAATTGAAGTGAGCGCCCAAGTACAGCAATTAAGTGGATAAATTCAGTTCATATTGTCATATTGTGATATGTTCAAAACGTACCAGTGGAAATATTCTAAGTCTTGGAAAGAGGTCATCCAGAACATTATATTTAGCTCAGTCTGAGAATCACTGAAAACAAATCTACTGGCTCACTGGGTGACAACAGGTATCTAGTGTTTATGTCCCAGCCTTCCAGTTCAGGTTACATTTGACCTGCTGGTAAACACGTCTTCTAACAAGGGGCCAAAGTGGACATAGTGCTTTAAAAGCTAATAAATCACTGTCTGCTACTAATGTCTAATATCCTCTTAAAAATAAAGGTGTCAGGGGTTATTTAGAGCAGTGCTTTAGAAGACTCACTTTAGATTCTGTAAAGACCTTTCAATTAATGTTTTTAAGAATGGTTGTTTTAAATGACATGTAAGATAATGAGGATACATAATGTAAAGTTTCTGCAGCCATTTAAAGTTTTTTTTTCCTAGAACCATGCATCCAAGCCAAGGACCAAATAGGGTAGTGGTTCTCAAACTGGTCCTCAGGGCTCTACAGACAGTCCACATTTTTGCCCAATGTGTTGCAAGCTACGTTGAAGCACAAATGTGGATCAGAGGGTCCCTTAGAATCACTGATATTGGAGGCTTTATTTTTACTATACACCTGAAGAATAGTGGTTTTATGGCTGTTCAGTTTTTGTTTGAGTAGTGTCAGTAACTAAATGAACATGAATAACTGCTTTTTAGCGGCCTGTCTTTCGTCCATGGGGAATTGCAGGGATGTTGAGATAGTGTGATCTATGTTTTATCTCCTGCCTGTGATACTGCGTGAACCATAACTATGGATGGGTTTGTGATCATATATTTCTTTTATCAGCAACTTGTATATTTAGATTTCCATCTATTTGACTTGTGAAAAGTGCCAGAACAATTTTGGAAGACAAACCAGTTGGAACTTGCAGGCTTTCTTTGTGCACTTCAGAATTTTGTTTATAATTACTTCATGTCCTAGTTTCAGAAATGGGTGCAGTTAAGGAGTGTCATGCAAATTAGTGTAAAGCACGCAAAATGAGTCTAGTAAGAAGCAAATAGGTGTGTCACGCTATCTCTCTAATCGGAGACAAAGGCACTGATCCTTTAAGCCATCAATGTCCAACCAGGCCTCTTGTTACTAAGTTTTGACTCCTGCGGAGATATGTGGTGATAAATAACTTGCACGACAACCGATGGTGAAACTCTCATTATAGGCAAAAGATCGGTTTGAGGCTGTTGTTGTGTTAAATGTACTTATGGGTGTGGTTTAGTGCCTGAGGAGCTGTTTGAACCCTTTGGCCTTAACCAGGCTTGCTCTGGGCTAAAGTGTGTTCACAGTGTTCAGGTTGATTAGTGCACAGCAGACTATAGGACGTATCTCCCTCTGATGGCCCCTAGCCAGCTTTCCGTGAGTGTGTTCTGTGGCCAATGATTGAGTTTGTGAGAGTCGTCGGCTGTCGTACTCACTCCAAGTATTTTGACCCTGCTGGCCTGCCTGGTGCTTTCTCTGTGTTTGTTCAGGTGCACGCAGGCTAGGTTAAAGCTTGTGCCTCATTACCCCTTTCACAGCCCCCCCAGCCCCCACCCACCCACAGGGCTTCCTCTTGTCCAGCTAGTCAGCAATAATGGCTGAACTGCAAGCCAAAGTGTCTCCTCTTATCTGCTTAGAACTGATGCTCAGTACTCTTTACAGCTGCACAATATTGACAGAATATGATATTTGCAATTATATTGATGCATATGGCATTTACAATGACCATTGCAGTATGTTAAAACAAAATTAGTGAATCATTAATGTGGTTAAAGAAGAGTTAAGCGGCCTGCATTCTTTTGACCAAAATTATCTCCATTTGTGGGATGGCGTGAACATGATTGGTTCAGGCAGGATATTTGATAAATGAAACTTGACTTGTCCAAGTGTTGGCTCTATCATCATAAGTTCGATCCCTGTCATCAGCAGTCCGAGAGAGCATAATTGACTCTCTGGGTGGGTAGGATGGTCCTCCCTCTGCCTCCATTAATCAGCACAACGCTAGCCAACACAGGTGTCTGTTGATTTGATGTAGCAGTGGTCCCCTCCAGGTGTGTTGAGCTGCCCAGTGATGTTCTGTTAACATGAGTTCAGAATGATCTGGTGGCTGACATTATGTGTCTCAGAGGAAACATGCTGTAGACCTCACCGTCCCAACTAGATCCAGTATACTAAATAGCATCAATGAGAGTGACCTTAATAAACAAACTGAATATTGGCCCAATGTAACCAATTCACTAAACAGTTCCTTTATTGTGCCTGTTAACCGTGCACTTATATGAAACTTCTGCAACATATAATTTTAAAAAATTGCTCCATCCTTCAAAAATGTTGCCATATGCCCCTTCACTGTGGAACATTAGCCTCTACTGAATGTTTGTGTAGTTTCTTAATACAAAACCTAAGTGCCTTAACAGAGCACTGGTATTGGATCAGTACTCGGCAAGTACTTGGTCAAATAGATATCAGAGAGAAGAAGTTGAATCAGTACTTCCCAACTCAGGATGATCATAGCACAAAATGTAACATTTAGTGATTTGTTTGAGAGTGTTTATGTGGCCAGTACTGAAAGTTCATGTAACAGATTTTGCCCTAGCACTTGCAGCACGTTTCATGGAGAACACAGCAGTATGTGCGTACGCTTTCATTTATATCATTAGCAGTATGTAAGTTGGATTTGTAATTGTATTTTTCATGTTTTTCAGATGCATCTCCATCTTCTTTGTTGAATTTCAAATGCATTTTGCACGTGATTACTCTGGAACGGCATGGATCCATTCGTTGGTGGACTGCATGACCATGCTCTGCGGTATGTGATCATTCGAGTCCAACTGACAGTACTGCACTTTTCCAAGGACAACATAGAACCCTTTGACACTAAAGATCAAATCTGAGCCATCTGATCTTTGAAAATGAAAATTGGCAAAATGCTTTTGTTTTGTCTGAAAAGAAACAGCCTGACACTGTTCATTCATGGTGAATGGTTTTTCCTCCTGCTAAATTGTGCCGTGTTATACAAGCCGTGAACTAGTTGATACTGAAGCGTGAATGAGTGTAATATTTTCCAAATTCCAGCTGTGTCTGACAGTCGTAGGCGTGACTGTAAGAGACACACGCATGTGACAAATGACTTCAGAAATCTGAAGAAACTAGTGGCTTCTTATTTGCACTTCCTGTTCTACTTTAAATGATGCAGCAGTTAAAATCAGGTGCATGTAGAGGTGCCACAGAGTAACTGCTGCTCCATTTAAGGTGGAATGGTAAATTAAAAAAAAACAAAACTGCAGAATAACTTCAGTCTTGTAGAAATTTAGACATGAAACAGTATTTAGCACCATTCTTGCTGGGCCTGCGGGGAGACCAATACTGACATAGGTTTATCTACATATTGTTAATTCTGTGTTTTACTGTTATGCTCAATTAAAATAATTCAGATTTATTTTGGTTGTTAAACATTATTCTCATTAAAAAGTAAAGCGACATCCCAGAATAATAAAAATAATAATACAATTTAATAAAAAATGCAATTAAAATATCTTAAATATCTAAAATTAGATGCAGCGCCCAGACAGTCTGTGACGTGCACATAACAAAAACACAAGTGGATCATCGAGAAATCCGACCGGCACCCTCTGCAGTAAAAGCTAGGTTAGGTCAGGAGTCAACAACCTAAATGGAGCCATTTTGTCCGTTCAACAAAAATCAAACCACCTTGGGAGCCACAACATTTTATGTCCAGTATGTCTCAGTATGTGCTGATGTCCTAGTATAGGCTAAAAAATATAAACAAAAACACAGACTTACTTTCCTCTGCTTTAAGCTTTAGCTATAGCCACTTCCCTCCCATTTCCGCCAGGACACTTTTCCTCAAAAGTGAATAGTTTCTTGTAAAATGTCTCTCAACGGTCGACTGTTTTATGAGACTGAAGTTGCTTCTCATTCGCCAGCTTCTTGTTTGAATTTTCCCGTTCCACCTTAAATTCTGACTGAGGCACTGAATGTAAATGCAGCACCATTTAAGGTGGAACAGGAAAATTCAAAAGAGAAGCTGACTTCATCTTCAACTTTTTAGTGTTTGACAGTCTCTCGTTGCAGATTTAACATACCAGGAAACCAACTGCAGTGCTTATAAATGTTACAAATGTTCGTCTTAAAGCTGTCTCTTTGCCTTTTCATTAGCTACTAGCCGGGCGAGACTGCGTTGCTATGTGACCTTCAGTCTGCACACCAGTTCTCAGTCGTTGCGAACCAGGGCTTTCGTGCTATGTTGCACACATCCCGTCTCCAAGATATTTTAATGACACAGCGATCCCCCACTCTCTACCACGAGACCAAAACCGAAGGTATAAAATCACTAAAGAAAACGGGTAGGACAGGTGTAACGTGCTGCATGGACATGTATTGCCACTGGATCTTACGTCACCGTAACAGCGCATTTTATCACAGATGAGTGGCAGCAGCGTCTCCTGTGCTCCAAACAAGAGCACTGAATGAGAGCCTTCTAATTCACTTGCCACATCACTTCCATTTGATTTGTTAATAAAAGATATTGGAAGTAAATGCATTATGGATTATTACAAATACTTTGCTTTAAAAGTGCCGAGTCCTCAGACAGTAAGAAAATAGAAATCCTGTACAGAAAAAAAAGGTGCATCAAGGTGCATCGATAATCGTTTTATAATCGCATTGCAGCCCACTGAACAATAATTGCATAGAAGCGTGAGGCGCCTAGAGACTCCCACCCCTAATACATATATATATATATATATATATACATATATATATATATATATATATGTAGGGTGCCACCCTCCACAAAGCTTAATTTAGTTGTGCCGCACATTTGCATTCAATCAAATAGATAGACAAATACAGATGTAAAACACAGTCAATCAGTTTGTGGCTTCCCAGTTGAATAAAGCATTCTAAAGAGCTCAAGTCTGCAGGAGGCTCGACCCCCTCTCTCGCTTGAAAGTCAGCAACACACAGCGAACATCTTGAGAGGACATGCTGGTGTCACAACAGCTTGACCTGAAACAGCAGGCCTATTTGTTTTTGTCCTACTCACTGCTATCTGCTGTCACGACAGCTAGCATTTCAGAGAGATTCCTCTAAAGGCAGACATGACTCAGGAAAAGCCATTTTTGGCATTTGACTGCCGACTTATAAAAACAAAATCGAATACTTAAAAAAGAACCTAAGCAATACTATTGATGTTACATAAACTCTTCCAATACTGCAGTTAGCTGACGTGTTAACCCTCTTATCGTGGGACTGATAGTGAAGCTTTAGCTGGCCTCGACAGTTCAAAGAGTTGCAGAGAACTGAAAGTCCTGCAATATGTTACAGTGAAGTAAGACAAACTAATGTCAATGTGATTGTTGTGTCCACTATAATAAACAGCTGTAATTGTTCATGTAATCACCATTTGCTATAATCTGAAATTTAACCATTCTTTTATTTTGTGTTTGAATGGCAGCTCCACTGGGCAGCTTAATTGGGAATCACTTGTCGTGTCGTGTGGCAGTGATACTGGGAGGATTTCTGGCCTCTATTGGCTTGGTGCTCAGCTCCTTTGCCACCAGTCTGGAGTATCTCTACCTCACTCTGGGGGTGTTAACAGGTAAGGCATCCTAACTTCAGACCATATAGTCAACCCATTCAATTTTAGTATTATCAGCACTAAGTCACACCCATTGCTGATACGGGGTCAAAATGTGCACATACATCATGTAATCCGCATAGAGAAGCAAGATGCCTTATAGCAGCCGCACAAGGTGACCATGCCTGTTTGCCTACATTGGGCTGTGGAACAGTGGCACTACGTTCTCTGAAGTGATGGGTTGGAGTGCTGTTTTTGGTCCAGAACTGATCGTCCAACATCAGTACCTCACCTCCTTAATGCTCTTGTGGAGTAGTGCAATCAAATCCTCACATCAGTGTTTCATCATCTAGTGTAAACCTTCCCAAAAGAATAAAGGCCAGCAAAGGAGGGACCAACTCCTTAATAATACCGTTGGCTTGGGAACAAAAATTGGATGAGCAGGTTTCTGGACGCTTTTGGACAGTTAGTGTATGTGTAGTTAGGGAACACTGCTTTGCTGTCCAAGTTTGGGACACTTTGCCTTCTTTTTAAACTTTCAGAATAATGTTTGATTTGCAGCCTTTTTTTTCAAATAAAGACTGTTTATTTATTTTTTGCAACATTCAACTTGTTCATCATGTTCATCCAAACCATTGTTAAAAGTACCCACGGAACATCTTTTGGCCCAAAAATTGGTAAACAGCTGAGAAGTTTGAGTTATGATGAGTGTTGACATTGCATCAAGGGTGGTAGGTAGAAGACTCTTCTTCTCCTATTCTTGTGCTGCCTCAGGTCTGGAAGCTTTGAGAGTCGGTGAATGCAGTTTAACAGACTCAGCTTTATTCAGAACGACAGAGAGTTTATATATCGCCCGCTCCTAACCTCAGGGGTGCTTAACGCCCACACCCTAGACAGGTGTTGACACAATCAACATGAACAGACAGTGTATGATAGAATGTTCCGGAGCTAGGAGAGGCCGAAGGCCCCATCCTGTTCTCCCTGTACCGGCCTCAAGTCCAACGCCCTCAGCCACTCCCAGATGAGAACAGCTCAGCATATCTTTAGGCAAAAACAAGAAGCACACTCAGCTTTCGGTGATTATTGCATACTACGTATTTCAGACAATCTTAAATGGTCTCTTAAAACCAGTTGCATCTTCAAGAAAATGTTATATTTTAAGGAATTGATGGGCAAAATTTACACAATTTTCCACTTACCTCAAATGTAGTTGATCTCCCGAGACATGTATGGTGTCCAAATTTAGCTTTTTTAGCTTAGCATTGGAACTATGAGGTTAAGGTTGATAATACACACAAGAAGTCAGTTGTCAACCAAACCTTTTCTGTAAAAATACCACCATAACGTCTTGTAACCCCCTCAAATTGCATCCAGGTCCTCATGAAAGTCACACAGACTTGTCAATATGGTCTATGCCTTACTGTGAGGTATAAAAATGAACAAATTTTTTTATTGTTGCACCAAAACTTAGTGACCTTAATTTCACTTGCTGCATGTGGAAAGCTCAGAATATTATTAGTGGCTGTAGCCATTCTGCACATGCTATAAAAAATGTTACCATGGGGTCAGATTTCAAACTTGAACTTGCATTGTTGCAAAATGACATAGAACACATTGAAGAAAACTTGCTCATTTATATGTTTTGAAAAATTAAATGTCCCAAAAAAATTGCCTGGCAGTGTATATACAAGAAAAAGAGGTTGTTATAAGAGTAGATGTCTCTTGTTTTTGCAGGGCTGGGTTTTGCCCTCTGTTACACACCAGCAATCGCCATGGTTGGAGTTTATTTCTGTGAGAGGAAGTCACTGGCATATGGCATCGCCATGTCTGGCAGTGGCATTGGAACGTTCATCCTGGCCCCTGTGGTGCAGATGCTCATTGAGCACTACTCATGGCGAGGGGCTCTCCTCATCCTGGGAGGCTTGGTGTCCAACCTGTGTGTGTGTGGAGCACTTTTACGACCAATCACTCTGAAAGAGGAGGAAGCCTGCCCCCTGCCTGTGGACTCTGAGTGTGGCTACAGTGCCAAGCCTCTGGTGGCCGTCGGCCCTGTGGATGAGAAGCACCTTGTTGCCAACAGACAGCAAAGATGCCTGCAGTCCATGCAAGAGTACCGTTTCCTGCTTATGCCTGACTTCCTAGTGCTGGCGGGCTCTTTTTTGTTCCTGGCCAGTGGCTGCAGCCTGCCTTTTGTTTACCTGGTGCCTTATGCACTGGATGTGGGGGTCAGTCACCACCACGCTGCCTTTCTGATGTCCATTTTAGGGGTCATTGACATTGTCGGCAACATCACATTTGGCTGGCTCACTGACAGAAGGTAGGCTCTTTTGGACGCTGACATAGTTTGACATTATTGAGAGAAATGCTTAATTGCATGCTTTTCGACCTTTGGTGCTTTGTTTTCCTGTTACTCTTTTCTGATAAGTCAACAGAGTACAATTTAAAAATACACCCTAAACATAATGGTTAAAAAAGCTTGGATGTTTAGTTCTAGGAAAACCTTTAACCTTTTGAAAGGCTTGCCAGTGGGTCCAGGCTTCCACTCCTTGTGCCTGTAATTTAAAAATAACTCAGCCAGTTTGCAGTTTCCCAAGCCTTAGGATTTGATAGGCCTGAGATATTAAAGGCGTAATTGATATAGAACTGTTACATCATGTGGAGGTTTTATAAAGTATAAAAAGTTTCTTCACACTCAGAGCTCCTTTATAAAACCATCTATCAAAGGTTCTTTGGAGCAGGGGTTCCCAATCTCAGTCCTGGTGACCCTGCGCCCTGAGTTTTTTGTTGTTTTCCCTACTCTACACGCCTGACCAAGCCAACAAGGTACTTGTTAATTAATTAATGAGTTGAGTTAGATAAGCTTTTTGAGACAAAGCACAAAAATGTGCACAGTGTTGGGTCACTGGGATTGGGAACCCCTGATTAAGGGAACCAAACATGATTTTCTATTGCAATGCTCTGCCTTTATTTTTAACAGCGAAGGTTAAAAAGAGAGTGCACAGGGTGAATAATAGCGAGAAGCAAGCTAAGCAGGTCTTGATCCATTGGTTTCCAATGCTGGTCCTGAAGTTGCCCTGCTCTGCATATTTTGGTGTTTTCTCTGCTGTCACACAACTGATCCCACGAATCAGCTCATTAACAAACTCTTGCTGAGTTGAAGTGGGGTGTGCTAAAACAGGGAAAACAGTAAAATGTGCAGAGCAGGACCAGGGTTAGGAAACAGTATTATATAAATAGATAGAAGGCCTAACAATACTGATACTGCCTTCTTCCACCCCACTCAGGTGCCTAAAGAAGTACAGGAGTATTTGCTACATGGTTTCTGTGGGGATGGAAGGTCTCTGCTGTTTTCTCATCCCTCTTCTTCGTACATTCGCCCTGCTGGTGCCTTTCTCAGTGCTCTACGGCTACTTCGATGGCGCATATGTGGCTCTTATACCCGTGGTGACATCAGATGTAGTGGGGACGACATACCTCTCCTCTGCTCTCGGGGTGGTATATTTCCTACATGCTATTCCATACCTGGTTAGTCCCCCGATTGGAGGTGAGTGCCTTTAGCTTCACATTGTGTCTCTTCTAGTTTAAGTCTAACCCTAGAAAAAGACAAAGTCTTTTATTTATCATATGCTCACAGTATGTCAGGGACATTTGCCTTAAAATGTTTGTGCTGAGTCCCAGGTAATAACTCTGCAACACAAAATGCCAACACAAGACACAAAAGACCCTAATTTGAATCACTAAAATGTCAATAATAAATCATAAATAAACATGAATGCATTTTCAGATGTGTAGGAATAGAGTTAGCAGTAATGTTGTAGTGCAAGAAGAAGGATACAAACCAAATGGCAGCATATTTAGAGATCTGAAGCTGAAACAAGTTTATAAGCCAAAATGTAACAGTTCTGTTATAGTGCCAAGACAGTAACAAAGTAAAAATCGCAGTAAATTGAATGAGCAACATTGTGGCACAAAAAAAAATAAATTAAAAAACTGGAATTTACATAGAGCTCTTTTAGATTTAACGTGATTGCTAGACTGCTAATAATTTCCCACAGTGCCCCAGTATCTTTCTTTTGAACTCTTCTATAGTCAGGCTGTAAGGACAGAGAATTTGTAGTGAGGATTACTGCCACTCAATAAAGTCTTCCAAGTTTTTTTAAACACTAGACGTCCAAATGTCCAAGTCCAAAATGAATGGGTTCCTATGGAGCTTTTGTGCAAAAGTATAGTTTGTAAATGCTTAATCATTTATATACTGAAGAACGCGCTCAGAACAGCATAAAACATTTGAATATATATATATATATTTAGCACTTTTAGGCTCGAGTTATAAGACTTAACAGTGCCTATGTACCTTTATGATCTCAATGAGCGTGAACTGCTTTACTCAGCTGATCAGCTCACCAACCACTCAGCACTCAGTAGCAGTAATGCTAACATCCTATGGCCCAAAACCAGTTTGTTGTAGAAAAATGGAAAGATAATGGTAAGTTTTCTTTGATTTTTTAATGGAATACATCCTCCTACTATTCCAATTTAAATGATGTGTCTGTACAAATTAACTAGCGCTTATGCTAGTAGCTAACCACTTGTATGAAAGGTTGAAGTTGGCTTCTTCTTTGTCTGCTTATAATTTGAAATTTCTGTTGCAACTTAAAAAGTGCTGCAGTTACATTGTGGTGCCTGTAGATGGTGCATCTCAACATTCTGAAAATCATGTATGTAAATAAAATGTTTAAAAAGTTTTATCTTGAAATATTTTTTCAAAATATCCATAACATATTTTACAACCCAGCATTATGTAAAACCCAAAAGTTAAAAATAGAGTAAAGGGCAAATTTGTGCCTATTTGCCATGAACTTATTTTCCAAGTATTAAAAATCTCAATTAGTAGAAAGTTTACAGTTAGTAGAAATTAGTAGAAAGTTTACAGTAGCAACTTTTCTTAAAATTATTTCTTAAAATTATTTAAACATGACAAAACAGTGAACACAGCCAATAGTGCATTGCGTTAACTGCTTGACTGCCCTAAATATCTTGTGGTTGTAATAATGTTTAACCCTTTAAATGGCCCAAAGTTTTATTACACACTTTTATAACCTAAAAATTGCTCAACCAATTTGCAGTGAAGCCCCTGTAGTTACTGAATAATAAGCTTCAGTATGTAATAAGCCTCAGATTTAAGGGGTTAAACCCTGCAAAGATTTGTTTCTGTACCAAATTCTGATTGTGCCAAAAAAGCATAATAGACTACGTCGTGCGATTTAATTTACTAACAATATTTCATTTTAAAATAAAAAAGACATTGTTTTTACACTCATACAACATTAACTATGCAGTTTGTATTACAGTGGGTGAGTAGGATTAGGATTTGGTCATGTGAAGTTGGTCTTAAAACAGCAGAAGTGCAAATTCCATCTTGGTAAAATTCAAATAAAAAAGACATTGTGCAGTCAATATCTTTTCAAGGCTTGTGTTATCTAACCAGCATGAACTGATGATGCCAAAAACAAACCCACACAATTAGTCTAGAGTTTTTTGTCTCAAATAAATGATTTCACATGCTTGTGTGTAAAATGTTCAAAATGAAAGCGTAAGTTGAACAGTGGGAAGACTGGAGAGGTAAAGGTGTCCATTACTCTGACACAAAAGAGAGCTTTTAATTTTGCCCGGTTGGACAGCTTTTCCTGGTTATATTATAGAGTCAAAAAAGATACAACTTGCTCTGCCCTATGACTGAGTGACAAAGAGGTTGGGCTTTACCCACCTTAATTTAAAGTGTGCTTTAACTCCAGTACATCCAGCAGTCTAGAAACAAGCCTGCAACATACGTTTGTTTTGGTAGCTCTTTGAAATACAACCTAGAACACTTTTAGTCCATAATGTTAACATGTGGATTATCAAGTAATGTAGTAACGACAACATTAATGACAACATTAATGAAGAGTTCGAACAAGAAGCTGGTGAATTTTTAAATTAAAGTTAATTATTAAATTTGAGTTAATAATTAGTTCATTGTCATGTGTTACAGTATAACTGCTTTCATTTCAGTATTACTCTGAAACAGTGAAGTAGCTGTATGTAGTGTCTTACTGTGACGTTTTTAACATTTGTATGTGTTCAATGTTTTACTTTTAAAACAACCTAAAGTTGTTTTATTAAAACACTGGCAGTGTGTTCAGATTTGAAACACTAAATATGTATTCTGATTACAGTCTTTGTCTTGTGAGTTCTTTTAGGTTAAATGTACCATAAAAAAACGCACACACAGTACAGAACATCAGTTTTATTTGTTATCAAGTTCATGCTATTTATGTTGTTAATTAACATTAATTATTATTTTTAAAAATGCTGTTCACAAGAACACATTTAAAAACTGTTGCTCATCTATTATTTGCCCTGAACCTTTGTTTTTTTTAAATGTCTTCTGTTATTCAGGCTGGTTGGTGGACACCACAGGCACCTACACAGCAACGTTCTTCTTGAGTGGCTTCGCCCTCATCTCCAGCGCTCTGCTGCTGTGCACAGTCACTGTTATCCGCCACTGCCAGAGAATTCAAAGGAACAGACAAAGCAAGAAAACAACACTGGAACAATGTGAAGCCCAACAGGCAGACTTTTATACTACCAAAAATAAGGACCTACTGATTATTAACAAAGCCACCTCATAGCGTCGGACCCATCATTTGTATTTTCTGTGCTTCTTTTCTCATTTTTATAAAAATCAGGTGTGTAAACTACTGTAGTCCTTGAAAAAGCCTTTGTCTCATCACTATCACACTTCAACTGTCTAAAACCTGTCTGCCAATGTGCCTTTTCTATCTGGCTGTCTTTCTGTCCAGCTTTTGAATGAAAAGCTAGAAACAGAAATGGTGAGTTAGAGTTGGTGCATATTGCATCAAACATTTTTTATAAGGTCTTGGTCCATATGTGTCATTCAGCTCAAGAATGTGTCAGTTCGATTTTTCACTCAGATGAATATGCTGTGTTAGAGGTTTTTTTTCTAATGAATTGTGTAAAATTACTAAACCTGTGTCAGTGTGACAGAGTTAGATGTTTTGGGAGAAAGGGTTTTTTTGACACTCATACAAGATTAACTGTGCAGTTTTTATTACAGTGGGTGAGTAGGATTAGGATTTGGTCATGTGAAGTTGGTCTTAAAACAGCAGACATGCAAATTCCTTCTTGGTAAAAATCATTGCCAATAGAGGGCAGTGTTAACATGCACAATTCACTACAATCTTAAAAGATTGCTTGATGCTTCTGTTAGAGCTGGGCGATATGGCCAAAAATGTTATCACGATAAACAAAATTCATATTGTTTGATTTCGATACACATCGCGATAAATGTCAAATCATTATTTCTTTCAAGTTTGAAGGCTGATTTTTGCTCCTGGGTGGTTAATTGCTGTTTTAAACTATCCTTCATGGTCGGAACACAACAAACACTCGCCAAACAGTGGAACGTTTCACAAATCTGTCATGGGAGAGTGGGAGAAAGTTTCTGGTGAGCTGTTTTAACCAGCTGGAAAAGCATGGCTATTTTGTAATAGTCATAATTTAAGAAAGAAAACAGATTATTCTTAGCTGGTGATGAGCGCTCGGCTATTCCATTACAAATGACATCACAGTATTCAGACACCAGCTAGCGACGACTGGATTTCTCTATACTATCGTAGTTTAAGTGGTGAACCGCAAAATATCAACACCAGACAAACGGAGTGCTCCTTTTAGGTACGTTTAAACTGAAAGCAGTGCTTCAAGTTAGCCAGCTGCTAAAAACAGCTATTCTGGAAAGATAGCACTCTCCCGCTCACCAATGCCTCACAGTTTCCTCAGTTTACTTTCGTTTAAATCAGGGTTGTAATTTACATGAACCCACTTCTTTCTTTCACTTTTGTTACTTGGGAATGCACCAATACTTAAATATGACTGTCCAAGCGCTGTGAAAGTTGTGATTTAACGCTGCTAAAGCTGGTTAGGATGTACAGAAAGTGGTGAGCTCGCTGTAGGACAGTATAGTTACACCACTGACCTCGTCACTCACACTCGGTCACAGGAGAACAGATCGTCGGTCGCTCCACTCAAACAGGGAATGTATAACTCCACGTTTCAGCCGTTGCTAAAGACTTATCTTACTCTTGGCCCCCTCCCTCTCTAAATCATGTAGAAAAACTCGGAAGTGCACCCTCTCCTGGCGACAGCGGAGTAGTGTCGCTGTCCTTGCAGTAGAAAACGCCACCAAGGCTTTCACTACAACGTGTGAGTGTGGTGTATTATATCGAACATTTATCAAACATGTCGTATCACTCTATCAAGGAAAAGTTATATCGCGATAATTATCGTTATCGTTTTATCGCCCAGCCCTAGATTCTGTGTTACAATGCAAGATGAAGACCAGGTCTGAATACAAATAGCATGTTAATGTTCTGTGACCGTTTGTATGAACGAGTAGTGCTTTTTCTTCCATGAAAGACAAGTCTGAAATGTATTTTACAGTAAACACAGATAATGAACTGTAATTATTTTGTAAGACATTTTTAGAAGACCAATACAGAGAACTATATTGACAGATAACATATGCTATGATTCATCTTAAAATGACTTTTATTTCTGTTAAAATAAAGTGCACAGCTCACCTCAAGACATCACTGGTTAAAATGTTTGTAAACACTTACAATGCTAAAAAAATAACATAAAAAGCACTGTAATGACGTGTAAGCCAGTCATCACAGGCACTTAAAATGATTTAGTGGTGATTCTACTGAAAAAGTCCCCCATAAAGTTTACAGCTGAGGTTAATGGGAAAGGTTGGACAAAGCCTTAAAACTTTATGAAGGTACAGTTGCATGCAAAAAGGCGCCTGTGGATTTCCTAAGTGACAATAAATTAACAAATTCTCTGCAGGGCACATCATTCTGCATAATACCACAATTACTGTTCATTTGCTGAATTTTACATCAAAAATAAAACAAAGTGCTTTGTGCAAAAGTTATGCTTTATTTTTGTCAAATGTAAAACTCAGCAAAAAAAGAACATAAAATAGAATTATGCACTAAAATCAGAAGGGAAATGAAATGTTTACATTTATTCCCTGTAGAGGACATGTTAACCTATTTTCACTTAAAAAATCAACTACGTGATTTGGAATCAGTGTAATTTGACCAGGGGTCTTCCATCTTTTGTGTATGACTGTACCAGCCAGATAAGTGATCTGTATCTTTAAACTAATCATTTTCATGGTTATGTTTGCCATACTGAAGATTTACATTAACTCTAGCTGTCCTCCTCACTTCCTTCACTGAAATACAGTTTCCAAATCAACTACAAGGTCATAAATACTCTTCAGGTAAACCTCCTCACTGTTGTAAGTCACTGAAATGAATATTTAGGTACATGAAAGGAACCACATGACAATATACAAATAAAGCATTTACAAGTGTTTACATTAAGGTATGAAGTAGAACATTGTAGCCCATTTTTACTGTTTTACTCCTACATCAAAGTGAATATTATTGGTTGTAGTATAAGAAGAGATCACACAACTGTAGCTGGAGATCTGGGCAACTTCTGCTTTAAGCTTGAAAGCTGGACCTCCAAACCCCAGCCCCCCACTTGACAAAGGAACACAGACTGGATGGGAAGGAGAGATGGTTCAGAAACTTAGTTAAAGGAAATGAATAGCATAGATGGAAATTGGACATTACTGGATAATACAGGAAGGAGCAGGACCTTCAGGCATGGTCTTCCTCCAAACTGTTAGTTATTTCTGTAATTCTTTTACAACGACAGCCTCAGCTCACATAGAGCACTGAGGTATTCATCATTGCTTTTAAACTGTAGAGCTTTCTCGTAGCATTCAATGGCCCTGATCTTCTCTCCTTCTTCCTTATGGATGAATCCCAGTATTCCCCATGATCTTCCATCTTGAGGGTTTTTTGCTAAATATCTATCAGCTATCTTGGTCAGTTTTTTGACACTTTTCTTCCCATCTCTCGAACCATGGTCTATTTTCAGACATTCCTTGTAGTAGTTGATGGCCAGGGGCAGGAACCTCTTTCTGTACTGCTGAAACTCCCCATAGTAAAAATACAGTTGTTGTAGGAACTCGTTTTTCTCTTCGGCTATCTTCAGAGTTACCTGAAACAGGTGTTCTGCACGATCTAGTTTGTCATCCTCTCCATACTGAACAGCCAGCTCTGTCATAGCAATAATGAAGTCAGTCTTCAGTGTGGTGGCCTTCTCTAAATGATAGATGCACTGCCGCCGAAGCCTCTGAATCTCAGCGTCAGCACTATGTGAATCTCGGCTTTCTTTCTTTTGCAGAGAAATTTTCTTCCACTTGTAGCAGAGTGCTAGCTGATGGTGTATGAAGCCTGAGTTGGGCGAGCGCTCTAATGCTCTCTTCAGCAGAGCGATGGACCTATCTACAGACCCATAGGCCCTTAAGAATTTGCCCACATATCGAATCACATGAGGAGCATTAGGAGAACCCTCTAGAGCCTTTTGCACCAAATTCTCAACTTCATCATACTCAGACTCAAACTCAGCAAGCCTCAGTGCCAGGAGAGCTTTGAGTTCATCATTGTCTGGATCTGTGTCTATGGCCTTACGCAGCTGTGTAACTGCTGGCGAATCATCTGGCCTGGAGCAAGACCCAGATTCTGTTCGGTGAAGCACAAATGCATAACCAGCATTCCACTGAGGGTCCCTGGGCTCCAGCTCCAAGGCCTTCCTGAAGCACACTGTAGCTCTTTCATAGTTCTCTCGAGAGAACTTGAACAGGGCCCAGGCCTTTTCACCAAGCACTTCATGATGGAGAGCAGAAGCGGGTTCTGCTGGGAATCTCTCAGCAATGTCTCTGAGCTTCTCCAGGTAGCTTTCACATTCAGCATAACATTTCATGTGATGCTGTAGCCAGGCCAGATTTCCATAGGTGACTATGAGCCACTTGTCACAGTCATTCTCATGGAACTCTTTTGTGAGCTCCACAGATTTCTGTAAGCAGCTGAGAGCTTCTGTAGGAAACCCTAGGAGGTACTTCACAAACGCTAATGAGTTGTTGGTCTGTGCAACTCCTGCTTTCCCACCAAGATGAAACTCGTCATGCTGCTCCAGCCTGTTTAAAAGATCAGTGATATTTGTATCCTCTTTTTTCAGCTCCCAAGTGAAATGACACTCCAGCTGCTGCAGTTCAGTTTCTAGAAGCGAGGCCTGAGCCATGCTGTAAAACAGCACCACATACACTGTATTAATCGTTTAATAATAATGAACAGGGGCGTTAGATAAATACCCAAACTGAGTTCACTGTAGAACCGTTTTAGGAAATCATGCTCAACCTGTTTTAATTAACCTGTAATTCCTACTTGTTTGTTTAAGAAATTAGGCGTCAACAAAACGTGCAGCGATCCAGCCATGTTTATTAGGTCTGATAAAAAAAAAATGGTAAGCCATTCATGAGAATCTATATTGTTACGAAAAAAACATTGTAAATAAAAATTCATTTTAAAATTATAGAAAACATACCTCATTTTCAGCGATCCGGACAAAAGTCTTGACAGCGCACCAACAAGAAGCGAGGAGGAAGCAATCGAAACTGAAAGAGTCTCAGAGCCTTTAACTCGCTTTTAAAGCACAAACATCGGAAGAGCTGCCGCTCCAAATGCTCGACTGCTCTGTACAGTATTTGTATCTGATGTGTTTCGTCTTTCAAATGAAAACCCAGGTATTATTTTTCCATTTTACAGTAACAGGCTGATTTAAAGTGCTGATCCACCTCCTGTACGACCCCCCTCTTTAGTACAGAATATTACGGAGCCTTTAAGGGGCTAAAAAATAAAAAGGTAATGACGTTGCATTCCCTCGCGTAATTTTACGTTCCCTTGCAAATGTAGGTCCTTTGCAAACTATTGCGAGGGAGCACAAAGCTTCTACGAGGAAATGCAAAAATCTGACAGGGAACACAGAAATATTGCCTGCTGAGAAAACCTCCTTTTGGGATCTAAAGGTGTTCTACGGGAAATAGTGGTCTCTATTAGAAAGCAAAACCATTTGGTTTTAATCCTAATAGTTTCTAATGTTCCTTTTTCAGTAGGTGTTGTAAGGGAACTCAGTCATTGCCCACATTTATTTTCGTAATGCGCTTTAAAGGCGCAGTAACCAAGAATACCAGATGCCAAGATACATAATTCTGGGATACACTCGTGACCGTTGTGCTTACGTGCACGTGGTAGCGTGGCCGAGCGGTCTAAGGCGCTGGATTAAGGCTCCAGTCTCTTCGGGGGCGTGGGTTCGAATCCCACCGCTGCCAGCAAGCGTTTTGAATGCACATTAACACTGCGCTGTGTTAACAATCACAGATTATTCTAACCGGTGGTACTGTTCTAAGCAAATGAAAGAGGCATACTAGAGATCTATCTGCACCAGCCCAGCACAGACTGACAAGAAAGGGGCTTTATATATACTTCCCCTGTTTATGTGAAGAGCTTTATTCCATGTATATCAATTTGTACCAATTTGGAATACAATGTTTTTTTAAAAGAATAACACGATGTTATTTGAAAACATATTTTTATTCCTGTAATAAATGTGGTAATAATCAAAATATAGCATTGACATTTCTTGTATGTGTAAAGACATTTTCCACAACATATATCATGAAAAAAAGACAATTTTCAAAGTGGCCTACAACACGTTTTGCAACAAAACCCTTGTTTAGAAGTGACTAAACAACTTCTCTGGTCTTCCTTCTCTTTCCATCCACTTTTGGATTGACACAACAGTTTACATGCATACATACACACATACATACACACATACACACACATACATGAATAAATGGTTATGCTTGACAATTTTACTGTTTAGAAACTCCTCTTTAATCCTGATATCAGAGAAATATTTTGACTTTATTTTAAAGCCACAGTCAGTAATGATTTTGCATTTCCTCACAAATGGATTTTGTATGGATTTTGTAGGGGGATGCCAAATGTTTTTCAGGGATGCAAAATGTTTGCAAAGGATCACAAAACTGTTGCAAGCGGATTCAATGTTGTTGGAATGTTTTGCACAATGGCACATTAGAGTACTTCAGTGCATCGAGTCATAACAGGTAAGACGTAAATAGACCATAAAGGTGTTTCATGCTCGCTGTGGCAATATGCTTTAACCTAGGATGATTACGTTTAGGTGTTTAAAATTGCTGTGTTGTTTTTCCTTGTCGTCACGCATTAGTTGTGTTTTTTTGTTTGTTGTTTTATGTCATCTTCATTTGGGTCTGCCCACTGTTTGTACACCTTTAACTTTGTAGGTTTAACATTGCACATCCCAGCTGTCGGATTTAACTTTTGTCATCTTCTCTGTGTAGAAGTTCTGTCTGTGGTGGGCAGAAGGTGCTGCAGTGTTGTGTTTGTGTGTGTGTGTGTGTGTGTTTGAAGTGCGGGCTGGTCTGCCTCATACAATGGTAGAGATACCATCAATTTGCTTGCATCTGCGATGCTAATGATTTCCACTAACTAATTTATTCTTCAATGTTTTAATTTTTAAATGTACAGTTGTGTGAAAGGAGATTTTGTAATAAATTAGGAAATTAAATAAAGCTCAGATCCCGAGCTTAAATGCCTGCATACACTTATTCCAGTTGTCCATTTAGCAGTAAGAGTTAAACTTAAAATACACAAAAATAAGGACCAAAAAGAAAAAAACAGATATACTAATATCAAATTAAGGTATTTAACTGCTAAACATGTTGTTGCTTCTGACCCAAACTGGATCAAGAGAAGTGTGATCATCCTTTAATTTTCTCTGCCTCAGTCAATTTCCTGTCACCTGTGATACCATGAATTTCATGTAAAAATAGATTTAGTAAGTTGCATATTTTTCAACTACTTCGTTATCTTGCACTGCTAAAATGTGGTTGCTGAGATGGCAGCCATTTTGAAATGGCAGAACTCCTTTAGTGAATGACACTCCCCAACAAATGATAAATCATTGGAAAGGTCAGGATGTCCTCTACATGGCACACCAGAATACGAGCAGAATATTCCCCTTAGCAATAATTGTGTTTTCGGAACGATAAGGTGAGGGAGATTTTTTGATAATGTGAAAGATTTTTCAAGTAAAAAACTGCAACAATTTTAATCATAATTAATCATTTTATGCTGTATGACTCACTTTGAGCAGCTCTCCCTGTGTGTGTGTGCCTGTGTGACCCTGACTATGTGGTGTGTGCCAAGCAGGCCTGATTATGTCAAAGGCTGAGGCCTTTGGCCATTATTGGCCAAGGAACTCTTGGCCATTGTTTAAGAGCCTTGACCTGCACACAATCACAGAGAGAGACCTAGTTTTAACCCTGGCCTGCACACACATGCAGAGAGACTTAGTTTGGAACGTAACTTTATTTTTTACCCATTTCATGTGCAAAACATATATTTTAACACTTTCTTGTTTAGTCACAGCTAGTCATGTAATTAAGGGATAATCAATAGATTCTAACTTATTTTGTTCTCTCTTGATAGATAAAAAAAAATTGAAAGAGGGATATGTTAATTGACGTGATGTAATCAAGAACATAGCCCTTATAGATAATGACTCAAGGCCAATGATTATTATTTTATGTAATGGTATTTTAATTAATTAAATTGAACCGAAATGGCTAATGAAGGATGACGTGGCACTTTTAGAGGGAAAACAAGGGTGTTTGTCACAGAAGGCCGAGGCTAACTGAAGAAACAAAATGTATGTAAAAAGTACAAGACTGTTACAGTTGTAATAGAACTCAGTGAAGTCAATGTTGCACGTGACGGTAAGACAGATCAGGTGAAATGAGGTAATGGCGGTGGGAATCCCCTCCAGAGCAGCATAAAAAGATTTGATTTTTCCTTTGATTTATTCAGTTTAATAAAAGACTGTACCTTTCTCTGCCATTCTTGGTGTTTAATTGTTTTCTATTTTGTATTAGGTAAAGTTTTATTTTTTAATTTGAAACATTCCGTTTTTTTTTCACGACAAAAGTTTGATGTTTAAGTACATTAGCATACCGCTTAAAAAAGACATCAAGCCATAACGTTAGCCGATGTCCCGTAATACTGGTGCACACTCTTGAGAGGCAAAGGTGCGTTCACGTGGTAGCGTGGCCGAGCGGTCTAAGGCGCTGGATTAAGGCTCCAGTCTCTTCGGGGGCGTGGGTTCGAATCCCACCGCTGCCAGCAAGCGTTTTGAATGCACATTAACACTGCGCTGTGTTAACAATCACAGCTGATTCTAACCGGTGGTACAGTTCTAAGCAAATGAAAGAGGCATACTAGAGATCTATCTGCACCAGCCCAGCACAGACTGACAAGAAAGGGGCTTTATATATACTTCCCCTGTTTATGTGAAGAGCTTTATTCCATGTATATCAGTTGGTACCAATTTGGAATACAATGTTTTTTTAAAAGAATAACACGATGTTATTTGAAAACATATTTTTATTCCTGTAATAAATGTGGTAATAATCAAAATATAGCATTGATATTTCTTGTATGTGTAAAGACATTTTCCACAACATATATCATGAAAAAAAGACAATTTTAAAGTGGCCTACAACACGTTTTGCAACAAAACCCTTGTTTAGAAGTGACTAAACAACTTCTCTGGTCTTCCTTCTCTTTCCATCCACTTTTGGATTGACACAACAGTTTACATGCATACATACACACATACATACACACATACACACACATACATGAATAAATGGTTATGCTTGACAATTTTACTGTTTAGAAACTCCTCTTTAATCCTGATATCAGAGAAATATTTTGACTTTATTTTAAAGCCACAGTCAGTAATGATTTTGCACTTCTTCACAAATGGATTTTGTATGGATTTTGTAGGGGGATGCCAAATGTTTTTCAGGGATGCAAAATGTTTGCAAAGGATCACAAAACTGTTGCAAGGGGATTCAATGTTGTTGGAATGTTTTGCACAATGGCACATTAGAGTACTTCAGTGCATCAAGTCATAACAGGTAAGACGTAAATAGACCATAAAGGTGTTTCATGCTCGCTGTGGCAATATGCTTTAACCTAGGATGATTACGTTTAGGTGTTTAAAATTGCTGTGTTGTTTTTCCTTGTCGTCACGCATTAGTTGTGTTTTTTTGTTTGTTGTTTTATGTCATCTTCATTTGGGTCTGCCCACTGTTTGTACACCTTTAACTTTGTAGGTTTAACATTGCACATCCCAGCTGTCGGATTTTAACTTAGTTGTGTCATCTTCTCTGTGTAGAAGTTCTGTCTGTGGTGGGCAAAAGGTGCTGCAGTGTTGGGTGTGTTTGTGTGAATCTGGTTTTCTGATTGGTTGCTATTGTTTTGTGTCAGGCTGTAAGTGTTGGAATATGAAGAGTGATGACTGCTGCGATATTAGGAGTAGCATACAGCCTGAGGTAAAGACATTGTAGGACATTAGCAGAGTGTGTGTGTGTGTGTGTGTGTGTGTGTGTGTGTGTGTGTGTGGAGTGCGGGCTGGTCTGCCTCATACAATGGTAGAGATACCATCAATTTGCTTGCATTTGTGGATGCTGCGATGACAGTGGTTTTCAGAAGTGTTCCTGAGCCCATGGGGTGAGTTCCATAATTAATTTATTCTTCAATGTTTTCATTTTTAACTGTACAGTTGTGTGAAAGGAGATTTTGTAATAAATTAGGAAATTAAATGAAGCTCAGATCCCGAGCTTAAATGCCTGCATACACTTATTCTAGTCGTCCATTTAGCAGTAAGAGCAAAACTTAAAATACACAAAAATAGGATCAAAAAGAAAAAAACAGATATACTAATATCAAATTAAGGTATTTAACTGCTAAACATGTTGTTGCTTCTGACCCAAACTGGATCAAGAGAAGTGTGATCATCCTTTAATTTTCTCTGCCTCAGTCAATTTCCTGTCACCTGTGATACCATGAATTTCATGTAAAAATAGATTTAGTAAGTTGCATATTTTTCAACTACTTCGTTATCTTGCACTGCTAAAATGTGGTTGCTGAGATGGCAGCCATTTTGAAATGGCAGAACTCCTTTAGCGAATGACACTCCCCAACAAATGATAAATCATTGGAAAGGCCAGGATATGAATGTGAATGTGAAAGGTTTTTCAAGTAAAAAACTGCAACAATTTTAATCATAATTAATCATTTTATGCTGTATGACTCACTTTGAGCAGCTCTCCCTGTGTGTGTGTGCCTGTGTGACCCTGACTATGTGGTGTGTGCCAAGCAGGCCTGATTATGTCAAAGGCTGAAGCCTTTGGCCATTATTGGCCAAGGAACTCTTGGCCATTGTTTAAGAGCCTTGACCTGCACACAATCACAGAGAGAGACCTAGTTTTAACCCTGGCCTGCACACACATGCAGAGAGACTTAGTTTGGAACATAACTTTATTTTTTACCCATTTCATGTGCAAAACATATATTTTAACACTTTCTTGTTTAGTCACAGCTAGTCATGTAATTAAGGGATAATCAATAGATTCTAACTTATTTTGTTCTCTCTTGATAGATAAAAAAATTGAAAGAGGGATATGTTAATTGATGTGATGTAATCAAGAACATAGCCCTTATAGATAATGACTCAAGGCCAATGATTATTATTTTATGTAATGGTATTTTAATTAATTAAATTGAACCGAAATGGCTAATGAAGGATGACGTGGCACTTTTAGAGGGAAAACAAGAGTGTTTGTCACAGAAGGCCGAGGCTAACTGAAGAAACAAAATATATGTAAAAAGTACAAGATTGTTACAGTTGTAATAAAACTCAGTGAAGTCAATGTTGCACGTGACGGTAAGACAGATCAGGTGAAATGAGGTAATAGCGGTAATCCCCTCCAGAGCAGCATAAAAAGGTTTGATTTTTCCTTTGATTTATTCAGTTTAATAAAAGACTGTACCTTTCTCTGCCATTCTTGGTGTTTAATTGTTTTCTATTTTGTATTAGGTGAAGTTTTATTTTTGAATTAGAAACATTCCGTTTTTTTTTTCACGACAAAAGTTTGATGTTTAAGTACATTAGCATACCGCTTAAAAAAGACATCAAGCCATAACGTTAGCCGATGTCCCGTAATTCTGGTGCACACCCTTGAGAGGCAAAGGTGCGCTCACGTGGTAGCGTGGCCGAGCGGTCTAAGGCGCTGGATTAAGGCTCCAGTCTCTTCGGGGGCGTGGGTTCGAATCCCACCGCTGCCAGCAAGCTTTTCTTTGTCATGCAGTGTTGATTCTAAACTGTTAAAAAGCAACAATGCATAGCTGGCGTTTGCATTTTCAGATCACTGATCACCCCAAAATAGGTTTTACTGTTGCTCTATCCCAGCTCCTAACCAAGTAATCAATAACACTGAATACCTGATCTGTGCTGGAAGTTGGAAAGACCATAATCTGGATTTTTGTAGGGGTTCCTGTGGACTGAGGTGGGAAACACTGCACTACATCGTTGTCTAAACCACTGGGCAACATTTCAGATGAGGTCTTTATTACTTGCCGGAAGTGTTATTGTGTTTGGAATGAACTTAGCAGAAAGGTAGATCTCCAGGAGGAGGGCTGGTGATGACTCCATACAAACCTGAAGTGAAGGACAATTTTCACGCTCAGACTCAGTTCAAAACTGTTTTGGGACCTGTATGTAAGCATCTAAGAAAAATGTGTAAACATGTAAGCATGTAAGCATAGGTAACATAAGCAATGGCAAAAAATAACATACATACATACATACATACATACAAACCGCTTATCCTTCTGGGTCGCGGAGGGGTGCTGGAGCCTATCCCAGCTGTCACTGAGCGGAAGGCAGGATACACCCTGGACAGGTTGCCAGTCCACCGCAGGGCGCAAAAATAACACTGCTTTTGAAATGTATAAAGTTGTCTTTGACAGGTAAACATTTTTTCTTTAATTTTTTAGGGCACTTTGAAAGAGAAATGTGTTTTGCAGAATGCAGTTCCATGATAGTGTTTTGTATATCCCAATTAAAGAAAAGCAGCATGGAACTGCCTGAAGAACCTTACTCATACTGATAAGTTTCATTTTTGTGTCATTCTGTACATCCTCTCATGGGTTCTCTTACCATTCCTTGGCTGATGTCACTGAACTAATTCTTTCCTTCTCACCTTCAGTCAAGTCAAGTCAGTCAGCTTTATAGTCAATACTACAATATGTACAGGACATACAGAGTATTTAAATTGCATTATTCTCAGACCCCATGGTGTAGCAATAACATTAAATAGACAGTAAACAGGAAATGTGTGAATTAAATAGACACTAAATAAACACTAAACACCAATTGTAAAAATAAACACTAATTGTAGAAAAATAGAATAATAAATAATAATAATAATAATAATAATAATAATAATAATATAAACAAAAAAATAATATAGATATAAGAAGGTCCCTGAATTTAACAATAAAGTGACATAAGGCACATACAGATTAAGGTCTGTGGGTATAAATAGTGCAATTATAAACAGTAGTGCAATTAGAATGAGCTTATGGAGCAGTTAAAGTGACACTTAGACACTTAGGTTTCCAGTTGTATCTCAGTATGTCTGGCTGACATCTCTTTATAGATAGCAGCCCATCTGAAGCTGAATCCCATCAAGAGTTGCTATACACTACTGGAAATACAGGTCCTTAGTCATTCCGTCTGAAGATGCATGAAGTCTTGGTGTGATTCTGCATGACCAGTTATCAATTTTGGCTAATATTGATGCAGTCATGCATGTTCTCCTGTACAACATCCAGAGGATGTGATCCTTTCACTCCACAGAGGCCACTTAGGTGCTAGTTCAGTCTCTTGTCATCTCAAGGCTTGACTTCTTCAACTCGCTCTTGGCTGATTTCCTATGAGGGCCAGCAACGTATCCTGAATGTAGCAGCATGGCTTGTCTTCAATCTTCCTAAGTTTATGTAACTTCAGCGCTGCGTTGCCTTAACTGACTTCTTGTTGTTGCCTGCACTAGATTTAAAGCCCTGATGATTGCCTACAAAGCCAAAAATGAACCAGTCCCTTCCTATCTGATGGCAAAATAGTAGAGGAACAAATTCCCAAAAAGGCCTTAAGTTTTTAAGATACCCCTGTCTGACGAAGAACAAAACACAAGCAGGTTTTAATATAACTTTGATATCTCTAGTCTGTGAAACGGATGTTTGTGTAAAAAATTTTTTACTGCAAAATATGCGTAATTCTTTAATGTACATTATGTTGGCCTGTCATATTTTGTATTTGTTATTTATTTATTACTATTTATTATCACAGAATATATTAAATTATTAAGAGGTGTTGTTTTACTCTTTTGTCTGCATTTAACCTATGTTTTGTGTTAAACATTTCAACCAACAGACCCTTATGGTATTTTTGTGGGTCAGTGTAGGTTGGTTCTGAGAAGGAATTAAGGACTGTTAATGTGTGAAGATGAGGTGTATAATCCAAAAAACTGTTGTTATGATCAGAAAACAATGTCTAGTACAAAATACTAATGTCTTGCTGTTTGGCATCATTATTATATTAACGGCACAGAAGTAGGCATTACAGTTTTGACATAGAACTTTAAAGTCAATTTCTGCCTATGGCACACATATGTTTAAGAGTATTTAGATGACTGGACAAAGATATTGGTGTCATCTTTTATTTAGGACATAGAGTATATCTTTGTGCACAGCCAGTCTAAAGTTGACCACATTCTTAATTTTAAGTTTCCCAAAATATAAGGGATAATGTACACACACACCCTTTAAGCCAGGTTTACATCCCAATAATAACGAATTACACAATTTTTGCAGTAAAATAATTTATATTTATTATTATACAACAACCCATTTCACAAATTAGAGATATCAAAGTTACATAAAATCATGCTTGTGCTTTGTTCTACCTCAGGTGGGGGTTTGTCAACTTTTAGGGATCTTTGTTCCTCTACTAAAATAGTCTAAACTAAATCTGAACCTCAAGCCCTTTGAGCTTCAAGTATGGCTTAGCTTGACCAGCTATATAAAAGACAACCATCAACACTCTTCTCTGTCCTGACACCCAGATGGTGGATCGAACCCCCCTGACTGTCTGAACAGTCCTTCACCATTTTCTAAAGCTGATTCCTGCATGGTAGTTCAGTAGCAGAGCTGTGATATCAAAACAGGCTTTGAGTTCTAATCTGAAATAAATGTTTATTTCAGAGAGCAGGAAATATATATTTTATATATTTTAAAAATATAGTGCAGAATAAACGTACATAGTAATATATAAAACAACTGCACTTTTAGCGGCGCCTTTATTACAGAGTCAAACTGTATTCAACATGCATTTCAAAGATTTCTTTGGACTGAAAAATTCTAAAGAAATGCTGTTGTTCATTGTTGATCATCATCATGTGACTATTTGGATATGTGAGGTGCCAAGTTCTGTTATTCTAAAGAAAGTCTAAGATGAAACAGATTTTGAAGGTACTCTTCATTGTCTTCATAGCTTAAAGCTTTCTCATAGCACTCTATGGCCTTGCCTTTCTCTCCCTTTTCCTTATGGATAAATCCCAGTATTCCAAAGGCTTCCTTTGGATTTCTGCAGATTTTTCTCTCAGCAATGCTTTTCAGACTTCCAGCACTTCTCTTTCCTTCAGATGTATCTGGACCCATCTTCAGACATTCCATGTAGTGTTTGATGGCCAGAGACTCACATTTCTTCCTGTGCTGCTGGAATTGTGCATAATGAAAATGAACTACCTGAGAACCATATTTTTTTTCTTCAGCTGTCTGGAATGTAGTCTGAAACTGCTCCTCTGCCTTGGAGATATGTTGGTTCTCTCCATATTGCAGAGCCAGCTCACTCATAGCAAAAATGAAGGAGGACTTCATTGTGGTGGCCATCTCTAAATGGTAGATGCACTGATTACGAAGCCGCTGAATTTCAGCACTCTTGCTGCGTTGGCTTCGTGTTTGAAATAGATGGGTTTTCTTTCTGTTGTAGCAGAGTGCTAGCTGATGATGTATGAAGCTTGAGTTGGGCACCCTTTCCAGTGCCCTCTTCAACAAAGCGATGGCCCTATCCACAGAGCCTTTGTTCCGGAAAAACTTCCCAACATATCGAATGACATGTGGATCCTCTGGAGAGTTCTCTAATGCTTTCTCTACTAGGCTCTCAGCCTCATCGTACTTCTTGTAAGTGGCCAGTTTCAGAGCCAGTAGAACTTTAAGAACATCATCGTCTGGCTTAGTTTCAATGGCTCGTCTCAGCTGCTTAATTGTGGGTGAATCTGTTGGATTGGAGGGCTCAGTTTCTGTGCGATACAGAACGATGGCATAACCGGCATTCCATTCACCCTCATTTGGCTCCAACTCCAAGGCCTTCCTGAAGCACTCTGTAGCTGTTTCATAGTTCTCTCGAGAGAATTTGAACAGAGCCCAGGCCTTTTCACCAAGCACTTCATGATGGAGAGCAGAAGCGGGTTCTGCTGGGAATCTCTCAGCAATGTCTCTGAGCTTCTCCAGGTAGCTTTCACATTCAGCATAACATTTCATGTGGTACTGTAGCCAGGCCAGATTTCCATAGGTGACTATGAGCCACTTGTCACAGTCATTCTCACGGTACTCTTTTGTGAGCTCCACAGATTTCTGTAAGTTGCTGAGAGCTTCTGTAGGAAACCCTAGGAGGTACTTCACGAATGCTAATGAGTTGTATGTTTGTGCAACTCCTGCTTTCCCACCAAGATTTATCTTGACATTCTCTTCCAGTCTGTTTAGGAGATCAGTGATATCTGTATCCTGTTTTTTCAGCTCCCAAGTGAAATGACACTCCAGCTGCTGCAGTTCAGTTTCTAGATGTTTAGCCTGAGTCATGCTGTAAAACAGCAGGATAGTAATGTATGTTAACTGTGGAAATCACTGGCTGAACACATAAATTATAACCCTTTATACTGTGGTCTGCTTACAGGTATATACAAGGATATGAAGTCATCCAATAGAACACATTGTGGCACTTTTAGTGGGGAGATTATGAACTGTATTATGAACGTTATGGAACATTATTATATAAATAAATAAGTAAATCAATTATTAATGTAAACATTATTTAATTCAAGGATTCATTAAATTATTTAATTTTGAAATAGAATCTTAAATAATTAAATGCAATTTTAAGCAATATTTAATTGTTACGTAAACATGCATTATTAATATTTTATTAATTTTGAATAAAATCTCTCAACATCATCCACTAAAGTCTGATCTATTTAGATTGATTCAGTTTATTAGTTTGATTATCACAGCTGATTGAGCTATTGAGTGCAGCACGATCACCCCTGGCCACCCCTCGGCTACGCCCCTGCCTGTATTGTACTCCCGATAGTCTGGGTTTGCACCCTTGATTCAATTTCCTCTGCTGGTTGTAAAATACATTAAACAAACTCATGAGAAACATCTCGCACATCATTAAATGGGAGGAGCTGAAACTGATGTATCATAAGAAGCCAAGTTTAGTTTGAATGGAGCCACAATGCTTTCAAAACCATAACAAAAACAACAATGTAACAACAATAATAGCAATCAATCTGAATAGGTCAGAGTTGCATCTGCACACTGACTTTAATGGATGATGTTGACAGACTTCATTATTTCGCAGTGTGGAGTAAAGTGGCAACCATAAAATTAATAAAGAAATTATTAAATAAATAAAAAGTGAAATGATTAATTAAATTATTTTAATATAACAATTAATTAAATATTAATAATGCATATTTAAATGATACAATAGATTGCATTAAATTACTAAATCTTTAATTTCAAAAACAAATAATTTACTGACATTTAATTTTCATTTTAATAATTTACTTCTTAACTTATTTATTTATATGAAAATGTCACAAAAACCCTTCCTTAGGAGGTCACTCTGGGCCTGTGTAAAATCAAGTTACATTATTTTGGGAAGTTATATTCATTCAGACAATTAGGCCTGTGATGATGATTCCACAACTAAAGTGCCATTTGAACATGGGCAAAGTGTTCTTTACTACAACCTATGTGCAAGTTTCAGTTAAATAACATAATAAACAATAAACATGAATAAAGTCCATCTACAGCACTTAGAGAACAGGATCTTTTTAATCTGTGAATGAGAGCAAATGAATAAAATAGTTACATGTTTATCAAAAAGAAGAGTCCTCTCATTCTTTTTTCTTTATTTTCATTGAAATGGTAACGGTGTCTGACAAGGTCACTTCAAAACTCTGTTACCAAAACTTATTATTATTCTTACTTGTTATTTATCAAAAGCATCATTAAATGCAAATCGTTAGAATGTCCTCATTCTAACCACTCTTTCTGTATTTACCAATTCCATGCTTGAAAACAGCCTAATAATGAAAACTGACTCATCAGCGCCATCTACAGGCGGAATATCGCCTCTGCGGCTGCGTTTAAGGTGGAACGGATAACTCCAGCCTCGTCTATGCACGACTGTACACGGTGAGATACCGCTTGAGGCAGCAAAGTAACATTTTGCTGATCATAAAATGGCAAAACTAAAATTTGTTATGTAATTCAAACATTAAAGTAATTAACAAACAAAGGTATGAAATGTAATCTATGTCGTACCTTATTAAGGTCGTCTTCCACAACCCGGATGTAAAAATAAATGGCGACAGTTCATGAGCAGGTTGGAGAGTCGAGCAGTCATCAGAGACAAAAAAAAATAAAACCCCTTTTATGACTATAACTACACGTGTGGCTGCTTTATCCCGTCCTTAGAGGAAAAGGGAAGAGTGAAGCTTCAGGAAAAGACAGGAAGCAGGAAGAAATCGGGAACCGAAAGCATTTTAAGAATGTGTCCGTCCGATTCAGACAGATTACGCCCTTCCTCACTCCCCCTAGATATGTCCACTCCACACCGACAGGATTTGAACGATTTTCTTTTTGGTGATTTAAATTCCACGAAACTCGTCTTTGCACAAATATGTTTATCCATAATTCATCAGTGTTCACTGTTTGAAAGAAACAGGAACCACTGTTATACTTAAGAAAGAGTTTTATAGGAGTGTGGGAGTGAGCAGGGATTTTTCCTTGGATTGAACCTCACTCAGAAAGCGTGTCGAATTACACATCACTGTATCTCCACTAATAATAATAGTAATGATGATGATGATGATGATGATGATGATAATAATAATAATAATAGTAATAATAATAAGAAGAAGAAGAAGAAGAAGAAGAAGCATGCAATACGTAATATTTAAAGCTACTCACTGGTTCAAAATGGCTTCACAAAAAAAGAAGAGGCCTTTTTAACCCTATATTTTCTCAAAAGGGACTATTTTCTCCTGACTATTTCCTTAACAAGGAGAGTTAAGTCTCATTAACATATCAGAAAATAATGGATTAATCATTTTTGACCATGAGGCTTTTGACTCAGACTGTATGTAATATGAGTATTTTTAGGTTTGATACGATTTTGATTTTTGATTCTGAGGTCAAGATTTGTGTGTGCATAGCTCCTCACCCTCCTCTTTACTCTGATGGGGTACACCCAAGTGTCTGGTTTTGATCATTGACAGTAAGGCTGAGCAATTTAGGAACAATGAAACGTGTTTTGGAGAAAGGTTCTAAGAAAAACTCTACGTCAGATTCATGACGTGTTCTTAAACTGCAGAACTGTTCAGAGCTTTGTGCTCTTGAGTGTGTAGATTCTGTTCTTACCTAAGAACAAATCCCAATTAAGAAAACACTGGTGAATGTCAGAATCTTCATGATAACTGTGTAAGTGGGTTTTACGAGGACATTTCTTCCTAAGAATGGTTTTTTTTCACATCTTGCGATTTTAAAATTTTACTTTTTCAAATTGCAATAAAAAGATTAAGCTTTCAGCCCTAATTGACAGTCATCACTGACAGTAAATGAGGGTCCCTTGGAAGTGACTGAGGAACGTATGAGTGATTCCGTATTAAATTTCGATACACGTTTCGAGTGTTCATTTACAGATTTTTCAACACTACACAGAAATTATTACAACTGTATAATTGCTGGTTCCAGGTCTTAAATGAACCTCACTTAAAGGCATCTGATGAGTTTGATCTCCATCATGTAATCATGTCAGTATAATACATTATCATTTATTCCCTTTTCCTTTGTGAGTATAATTGTATAATAAATTGTCCTACTATACAACAGTTAGTTCCGGCCACGCAAGCTGATTGGTTGAGTAGCGTTCTAACCGTGCTGTTATTTCGCCATAACATCACGGGTTTTTCACAAACACTGTATCACTCCGCTGAGACGTCCGACTTCGACAGCTGTAGGAGACGCTCAAGCCATTTGAACGTTTTTATTTCTTACTTTGTGCAAAACAGAAAATGGATACTTTTAAGATCACATTTGACCGACAGCCGATTTGGTCAGACTCTGAAGATGAGGCTACACTGAATACCCAAATGTCAGTTGGTCTGTGTGGAGCTGGAGAACGAACTGTCGGCTGTGCAGCGAGTGAGCGGAGCTCGTTATTCTGACGTAGCAACAAGCTGCTGGTTAAGGAACTATAATTTGGCGAAAGGAACTGCTAACATTAAAACATATTAAACGCCGCGTTCACGGCCCAGTTTATTAATTTCTTACTTTATTTGTTTAACTGTTGTATAAAAGCAATAGAACACTCGAGGTCGTGTGTTATCGTGTGTTATCGCGTTCGGCTCGTGCCTGCGACCAAATCACAGTCGTGATGTTATTTCGCACACTCCCTCTTGTGTTCTATTGCTTAATTAAGCCAGGCCCATGGGATCATTTATTTGTAATTGCTGTGTTTATAGAAGCTTAAATCTCACCAGGTTATTCAAAAGTATGTAATGTGTCTGGCTGCATGGTAGCTTAGCAATAAAAGTGATGTGATATAAAGACACTTCTCATTTGAGTTGAATCTTTATTCATTTTACTCATAAGACAGAAGTGCCCAACTTTGGTCCTGGAGGGCCAAAGTGCAGCACAATTTAAACTCTGCTGGATTCTAGACCTTGAGTAATCAATAGAAAGTGCTTTTTGAACATAAAGTGCAGAGTAAGTAAAAAAACAACTTAAGAACTTCTACTATATAACATATATGACTCAACAAGCAGTTTTCTATTTGCAGGGTGAAATTTCATTTAACATCATCAACTAATCACATGCAAAACTCAATCCAGCGTACAATTTGAGTGAGCTGAGCTATAGATAATCTGCAATGGTCCAAGGACAGTAAATATATTGTAGAGACACCATTATATTAATATAACCCCAAGAATATGTGAATAGGCATGAAGTTATAACGTTACTGTAAAGAAAGCCTAAGGTCACAAAGATTACTGAGGTACTCTTCATTGTCTTCATAGCTCAAAGCTTTTTCATAGCACTCTATGGCCTGGCGTTTCTCTCCCTTTTCCTTATGGATGAATCCCAGTATTCCAAATGCTTCTGCATCCTTTGGATTCCTGGAGATTCTTTTCTCTGCAATCCTCTTCAGATGTCCAGCACTTCTCCTCCCTTCACTTGTATCTGGACCCATCTTCAAACACTGGATGTAGTGTTTGATGGCCAGAGACTCACACCTCATACTGTACTTCTGGAATTCTGCATAACAGAAAGTAACCAGCTGGCAGGCATCATTTTGTTCTTTAGCTACCTGGAATGTAGCCTGAAACTGCTCCTCTGCCTTTGAGAAATCCCGATTCTCTCCATACTGCAGAGCCAGTTCACACATAGCCAAGATGAAGGAGGGCTTCAATGTGGTGGCCATCTCTAAATGGTAGATGCACTGATTACGAACCCGCTGAATTTCAGCACTCTTGCTGTGGTGGCTTCCTGCACGATACAAACTGATATTCTTTTTCTTGTATGAGAGCGCCAGCTGATGATGTATGAAGCTTGAGTCGTGCACCCTTTCCAGTGCCCTCTTCAACAAAGCGATGGCTCTATCCACAGAGCCTTGGTGCCTGAAAAACATCCCAACATACCGAATCACGTGTGGATGTTCTGGAGAGTTCTCTAATGCTTTCTCCACTAGGCTCTCAGCCTCGTTGTACTTCTTGTAAGTGGTCAGTCTCAGACCCAGCAGAACTTTAAGAACATCATCGTCTGGGTTCATGTCTATGGCCCGTCTCAGCTGCTTAATTGTGGGTGAATCTGTAGGATTGGAGCGCTCAATTTCTGTGCGGTACAGAGCAATGGCATAACCAGAATTCCATTCACCATTTTCTGGCTCCAGCTCCAAGGCCTTCCTGAAGCACTCTTTAGCTGTTTCATAGTACTTGCGAGAAAACTTGAGAAAGGTCCACCCCTTTTCTCCAAGCACTTCAGGATAAGGGACAGAGGTAGAATCAGGGGGGTATTTTTCTTTGATCTCCTTCAGTTGATCCAGGTAACTTTTGCACTCTTCATAATCTTTTCTATTATAGTGCAACCACGCGAGGTTTCCATAGGGAACAACAAGCAGCTTGTCACAGTCTTCTCCATGGCATTCTTTTGTTAGCTCTACAGATCTTTGAAAGTGACTTAGAGCCTCATCATGGGACCCCAGAAGATACTTCACAAATCCAATGGAGTTGTATGTGCGTGCAACTCCTGCCTTCCTTCCAAGGTCAAAGTTAATCTGGTCTTCCAGCCTGTTCAGAAGATCAGTCAGATCTGTATCCTCTTTTCTTAGAGCCCAGGTGAAATGACATTCCAGCTGGAGAAGTTTGGTTTTAAAAAATATGTCTTGAGTTGAACTAGAAGAAAAGCAATTAGGTGAGTCATACATGAACTGATAATATAGTAACATAGTCTAATATAGGGGTGTGATATGGCGATGCATTATTGTCACAATAAGCTTTTCTGAGCCCAACACAGGGATTGTGAGGGGATAGCCAGTTTTGAAGCATCTACTGACTTCCTGTTCATCTCATTATACCAAGAACAAGGCATCAAAATTCTAGAGTGCAAGAAGAGTCCACAATGAATGAAAGCGAATGAATGCTAATTATGTATATATGTTTTTATTCACTCAAACAGGAACTTGCTGTAGTTTCAGACTCTCTCACTATCGCCCTCATATGGAGTTTCTAAGGTGATGTGGTGATTATTTTTTAATACAGTTTAGCTACAGATGAACATATCGAGGTCATGAGTTAATACAATACAATAATTGAAAATAGTACAAAGACAACATATCAAATGTTGAAATGTTCAAATGTTGAAATTGTTTTTTGAAAAATATATGCCCATTTTGAATTTGATCCTAACAACACATTCCAAAGGTGGGATGGGGGCAGCGAAAGGTTGGTAAATTTGTGTAATAGTAAAAAAAAAAACACCTGGTGGTTGATTGACAACAGGTCAGTAACATGATTGGGTACAAAAAAAAAGCATCCCAGGCGTCTTTCAGAAGTAAAGATGGGGAGGGGTTCACCATTCTGTGAAAGACTGCACGAGCAAATAGTGCAACAATTCAAAAAGAACGTTTTTCAATGTAAAATAACAAAGAACTTTTGCCTGTCATCATCTGTGGTACATAATAACATTAAAAGATTCTGAGAATCTGGAGAAATCTCTGTATGCAAGGGACAAGGCTGAAAACCAGTATTTGCTAGTCATGATCTTTGGGCCCTCAGGCAGCATTAAAAACAGTGGAAATCACTGCATGGGCTCAGAAACACTTCTGAAAACCACTGTCTGTGAAAACAGTTTGTTGCTGCATCCACAAATGCAAGTTAAAACTCTAAAACACAAAGAAGAAACTGTACATAAACAGGATACAGAAATGCTGCCATCTTCTCTGGGCCTGAGACTAAGGTGAAGTGGAAAAGTGTCCTGTGGTCCAACGAATCAACATTTGATATATTTTTTTTTTTTTGGAAATCATGGACACTGTGTTCTCTGGGCTAAAGACCACTCATCTTGTTATCAGTGCACAGTTCAAAAGCCAGTATTCATGATGGTATAGGGGTGCATTAGTGCACATAGCATGGGTGACGTGCACATCTGTGAAGGCACCATTAATGCTGAATGATACATGTTTTGGCAACATGCTGCCATCCATACAACATCTTTTTCAGGGAATGCCTTGCTTATTTCAGCAAGACATTGCCAAAACACATTCTGCATATATTACAACAGCATTACTCCATATTAAAAGAGTGCAGGTGCTAAACTGACCTGCCTGCAGTCCAGACCTGTCACCCACTGAAAACATTACGACAAAGTAGACCCTGAACTGTTGAGCAGCTGAAATCCTATATCAGTCAAGAATGGGAAAACATTTCACTTTCAAAACTACAGCAGTTGGTCTCCTCAGTTCCCAAATGCTTACAGAGTGTTGTTAAAAGAAGAGGGGATGAAACACAGTGGTAAGCATGACCCCGTCCCAACTTTTTTGGAACATGTTGTTGGCATCAAATTCAAAATGGGCAGATATTTGTCAAAAAAACAATAACATTTCTCAATTTAAACATTTGATATGTTGTCTTTGTAGTATTTTCCTTTAAAAATATGGCTTACATGATTTGCATATCAATGCATTTTATTTTTTATTAACATTGAGCACAGCATCCCAACTTTTTTGGAAAATGGGGTTCGAATTATGCCATATGACCTCAATATATCAATCGGTGGCCTCAGTATCTTAATATGTGGCCAGAAGAAACTAAATACTAGGCCATGCCTTTTTAAAAATAATCACCATGTCACCTGAGGGGCTCCTTACCCTCAAACTTCTGATGCGCCAGGAAAACATTACTGAATGGGATTTCTACTTAACTAGAAATCTGCTAGAAATATTCTTGTATTGTTAGTATTTCTAAAATATAAAAGCCCTATAAAAAGACAGATTTAGACCAGATGTATAGAGCTTGTAAAAAACAACCAGTCGTGTCACATCGTCAATTTAAAGCTGCGTAGTAACAAGGAGCTGATTGGACGTTAGCCCGTCTTATTTATCTTTTAATGTGTTTCCTCCTGTTCCTTACGCTCAATAAAAATAAAAGTAACTGTATTCAGTTTTTGGCTTTTTAAAATTATTAATAGTTTTTTTTTTCTTTTAATTAAGCATTACTATCTAAATTAGCTGTTCTAACTCGCTGTACTGTCTAAATTAGCTGTTCTAATTAGCAAAGCTCAGAAAAAACCATGTGACCCGTAGGCTATTGTGTATGGTGATAAAACAGCAGTATACTTTGCCATATCGCACACGCTTAGACAGATATAGACACTTACCTCATGATGATCAGCCCTCGGTCTTTATCTCAGTGTGCAGTGAGCTCTTGTTGGTTTTGCTGCTCTATGAAGTCTCCGCCCCTGGAGCCACAGCGAAGAATGGAAACCGAAACCATTCGCGTTTCTTTAGATCTACCATTGAGTATATACAGGATGTCAGCATGTAAAAACATGACCTCTTCCGATCCCCGTAAGTTTTGTTTTTCGTGCACTCGGCGTTTCCTCTTCATGGAGACATTCACTGCACCTCCTCCTCTACTTAGGAGTAGAGTAGTTAAAGACAACAGACATCACATTGAATCTGACAATCAATTGAACATTGACAGTCTTTTGCAAGTTTATGTTCTTACATTTTTTTGTTTATGAAGTTTTCCAGGCATGCAAATCATACATTATGTACTCAAATATGCACAAATTCCAGCCTATGGATAATGTTAGAGTTAAAATTTGTCTTTCACTGCGAGGACACTCTCCAGAGAGTTGCTGAAATCGTATGCACTGCTTCAAAGAAAAAAAAAAAAACAACAAAAAAAAAAAACTTTTCAGGTCATTTTGAAGTACATAATCTAGCACAAATCTAGCTATTAGTGTTATATCAATAAATTATTCTGTAATATTCTTCAGAGTTAGATTAGGTATGAATATGTCAAATTTCATGTATGCAGAAGAATTAGAATAAGAAGCTGATATTTTTAGTTCGGAGAGTAAAAGCACCATTTTGTAAATGGATAGTACAAAGGAAACAGAAATCTTTGAATTTCTTTTCAGTGATATATAGTACAGGACATGGTCTTATATGGGGTGGGGTCTAGAGATGGATTACTGACCAAGCCACTGGGCCATTGCCCATGGGCCTCTGACTGCCAGGAGCTTTGAGGAGCCTTAGTCCACAAGGCTTGAGGCCCAAACACTTTAAAACATTAGATGAACAAATTGCTCTAAATATATGTACAAATGAACAATAAATGACTAGCTGGATTGTCATTCCTGTGACTGTATCCATCCATCTTGTTGCTGGTCATCATCTTACTCTTTTTTGACTGTTTTAAGTATTGTGGTCTTTCCCTATGAATTGGTTCTTCTCAGTATTTGTCCAAAACAAGACAGCTTCAGTTTGGTTATGTGGGCTTCGAGTGAGAGGTGAGGCTTGATTTGGTGAAGCATCTATTTGTTTGTTTTCTTTGCTGTCCAAGGTAGCTTACTCTCAGAAGTCTTTACCAACACCAGAGTTCAAAAGCATCACTATTTTTCCTGTATTGCTCTTTATATATTTCAGCTTTCACATCCATGAAGAAGCACAGGAAAGGCCGTATAGCCTGGACAGTTCTGATCTTTGTGTGTAGAGACAATCTGTTTCTGCATTTGAAGATCTTTTCAAGCTTCTGTATCCTTGTTTTCCTTGTGCTGGATCCTTTGTTGTTAATAATGGATTGAAGAGGGCAAAAGCTGTCAGCCATTTCCACATCTTCTCCATCAGTGGTAAAGTTGGCCGTCTTTCCTGTTGTGATAACCTCAGTCTTTTTCATACAGAGCTGAAGACCCATGTTTTCATTTTGTTCTTTAACTTTCTTTATGAGGGCCTTCAGGTCTGATTTTCTGATTTATAAACATCCTCATATCAAAGGTTACTGATGTTTTTTATGCCAATCCTGTTTCCTGGATTCCTCATTTTCCTCTAGTCATCATTATATGTTCCGCATGTAGGTTCAACATGAATGATGATAGTATGCAGCCTTGTCTAACTCGTTTGCTGTTGTGGAACCAGTCTGTTTGTCCAACAGTTTTGCATAATTCATTTGCTAAGATGTAAACTAACTCTGAAGTCATTCAGAGTGGTTTGCTGTGAAATTCACACTTGTTTACTGTGTTGGTGATAGGAACCTGATGTCTGAAGAGTTTAATGCCCCTAAAATCTCCTTCACAGAAAGTTATTATGTTCAACTTACATATTAAAACTTAAAGAATACATACGTAGGTCCACTGGTAGTTTAGGGCAATAAGTAAAAAGTCAAAGTCAGCTTCATTATCATCACAGATGTGTTGAGAGAGGAACAATATGTAGTTTCTCCAGGACACAGTGCTACATTCCACATAGAACAATGCAAACTCTATACAAAAAACTCTTCTGTACAGTATACAAAAACTATACAACCATTCAGCACAGGACAATTGAACAAAGAGGTGGGCGAAAATAGACCATCTATTGGTCCACAGCAGCAATCAGCAGTTGTGTGTGATTTATTATCAGTGCACTGATAATCAATACTTGTCTTTAGTAGCACAATCACAAAGATTAATAAAACTACTGACAATGTACAGATTAAAGTGGCTATGCATTTAAAGCGAGTGAATTCTTTGACAGAATTACACATGCAGGCAGTAAGGTAAATGGTCCACAGCCCTTTATTGGGGGTTTAAACTGTGTTGTTTGAAGGCTGCTGGTTGCACTTTTTCTTGTTGAAAAGCAGCAACAGTGCTGTGAGTGTCAGTCAAAATCCTGAGAGCCACCTGGTTAATGTTGTCAGGCATAGCCATATTATATCATTTAGATATGTTATGATCATTTGGATCCATAAGCTTTGCTTACCAGTGACTGCAGACACTAATCTCTCCTCCACTGAGGGTCCACCTTATCTTTCATTGCTTGGTCAGCACAGAAAAAAACCCACACAAATGCTACCTGACGACTTGAAGTTAGTTTTTAGCTCTGCACGCTGCTTAAAAACAGCTGCAAAGGCATAAGAAGTTATTTAAAACACAGAAATGTTGTGTTTTAGCCCCATTTTGTATGGTAATAATAAATAATTTTTTATTTTTATTTAGTCCATTTAGCAGGGCATCATGTTTGGTTGGTGGGGCATTGATGCCCTGATGTCAGGCCTGATTGGTATAGAACCTTTACATTATGTTTCTTTAAAAACATTCTTCACACTCACATATCCACTGTTTACAACTGAAAGGTTTTTCCGGGAATAAAAAGTGGTTCATCTAAGGCATTGCTCCAAAGAACCCTTTTTAACACTTTTAATTTTAGGGTGTAGGCAGATTTTGTCAGATTTGTTATGTTCTAATTGCACAATCTGTGCTAGAAATATATTGTGTTCGTCAGGCCTGAAAAAATTGTATACTTCCATTTACTCAGTTTCTTGTTTTACGTAGTTTTGTTTTAGTCCTTCACACAGTGCCTAATTCAGCATTTTGACCTGTTGTTTTGGAAGCTACTACTTATTTTTGAGTCAGTATTTCATTGAAGTACCTTGTGATCATGTCAGGTAGCCCTAACACATCATGAGGACTTTTTTAATACACCTTATCTCAAGAGACTGTTGAAGACTGTTATGGTGAACACGCATAAGAAGAAGGGACATTGTAAAGACTGAATGTTTACTCATCTGTTGTGATGTCACTTTAGGAGTGGGAGCACAAATGATCATGTTGCTTTCTAGGTCTGGAGTGGCCCATGATGATCCAAGGGAAGAGGAACTGCGTAAGAAACCTGTGGAAAGAAAAGACATTACAGCATGCTGATTAACAAAAGATGTGTACGCATATGTACTGACTATGATGGCCATGACTATAATGTTGCATCTATATAAGTGATGTTTCTTATTCTGTTCTTTTGTCACCCAAGATATAAGATTTATACGACCCAGATCCTGAGTGGGAGGGTCGACCTGCTTAAAAGCGAGACCACAGGCTAGAGATAGGGTGAACGGCTATGAGGGTGATGTAGTAGGAAGAGTTCTGTGTGGCTTCGCAGCCCCAGACTCATGCTTAGCTTAGATCCAAGAGTGTAAGAATAACAGTCAGATATTGATCCTCAGCTCAGTAAGGTTATTCCTTCCTGTTTTATTGTTTTATTTTTTGTTCTCTCGTGAGTGTAAATATTTGTGTTTTTGAAGCTTTAATAAACTATGAGCACTTCTGGGAACCTTGAAACCAAGTTGTCATGAGTGATGTTTCTGGGCCCTCCCATTCAACTGCCTACCTTCACAAGTTGTGCCATCGTTACATACCTCTACTTGAGAATGGTATTGGGCTGCTTTGCCCGCTTCTGCTTGGTGCAGCATTGAGGAACGCTGTTTTCCCAAATTGGACTTTGGTGATGGCACTTTCTGACCAAAACCAACAGGTGGCGATATTTCTCTCTGTCAGAAAAAAGCCTACACAAAAAGTGTGTTGTTATTTAACAGATTACTTATGAGAGTATTCCCTTGTATTTTAACCTTTTCCTGCCAAAAGCACTATGATCTCAGCATTAGTGGGCTTCAAGGCTTCAGCTGGGCAAATCAGTCATTTAGCTTTATGACCCTGTCATTGTTTATTCTGTCCAGCCTGAACAGCACTTCTGCAAATGTTATTTGACATGTTGTTTGGGTCTCTAGAGCCAAAAAGTTCTTTTTTAATTTCTTCTTAAGCTTCAGAAAGCTTCATCCTCTTCTACCTTCTCCAGGAAATCTTCCATATCAGTGTTTCCTAAGTGATATGGGTATTTGCTTAATTTTGATTTGGAGGTATTAATTAGCAGCTTTAGATCATCTTACAAGTAACTCATGAATGACATAATGCTAAAATAAGTGTCACAATTCTTTAGGGGACAAAATGTCTCCCAATCCAACAGCTTCTCAGTGATGCTGTCCAGGTCCTCATGTCACATGTTTCTCCCAGGTAAAGTAATATTCTAGCTTCATGGCTTCAAAATTGTAGACAGAAGCAGAAGACAAAATATTTTGCTGTCATTTCAGTCTTATAAAAGCTTGTGTGAGCAAAAAGACATTGAAACATGTACTTATTGAGGCTCAGTCTCTTCAAGCTCCTATCAGAACGATGATCAGCTACAGAGTTTCAGTTCATAGACATGTGGGTGACATAGAGCAAGTGAAACAAGACTCTACGAAACTGACTTTCCTTTTTTCATTGATGGCCTGTTTATAGATCACCTTAAAGATGTGCTGCAAATGCCAGTCAAGGGTGGAGTTGATCATGTACTCTAAACGCATCTGCATTTGTCTAGGGCTTACATTTTAATGATTAGCACAGCCTGGGCAACTATTGTGATTGTAGGCAGGAGAAAAAATTAAAACTGATTAAAAAAAGAATGAGGAAGAATGTAAGAAAGGATTGTAGTAACTAGTTCCATTTGTTTAGTTCCTTTTTTACCATTATTAAAAATGGTATTTTTTCTGAATATTTTCAAACAATACTTTCACTACTTGGAAAACTTGGATGAAAAAAGGTAATGGAAAAATGTCTGTGTTTAATTAGCTTAATTTCCAATTGGAAATATGAATGACAGAAATGTAACCTTTAATTGAAGTAAGTAAGAAAACAAAAACTTTAATCAAAAAACACATTTTAAATCACCCGTTTTACAATTACTAACCCCCCTAGAAATTACCATGAACAGAATGTAACTGAAGCATGTTATATTTCACTTTTTTAAAGTCCTCTTGAGTTTTCAGGAACTCTTAAGCCTTAATCCTTGGAGCCATAGAGGCCGAATTCCCTTAGTAATTCATCAACATAGGGTAAATTAGAGAAAACACAAATTAAATGAGGTAAAAGTGTTTTGACCTTCATAAATTAGGCAATGGTGATCCAAAAATAGGTACGCAACTGAAAATGCCTGTATACACTGTTAGACTAATAATAAAGAAGTAATTAAGAAGTATTTAAGAATTAATTAAAGGTACTTCATCCCACTGTTATGTATGGTGGAGGATCTGTGATGTTTTATGGTTTTCCTTCAAAGGCCATGGAAACCTTGTTAAGAAGGCATTATGTGCTCGGTGAGATACCAGGAGATTTATAATGAAACTCTAGCTGCTTCTTGCTGCCTCTGGGGCAAAACTGGGTCTTAGTTGGATCATTCAGCAGGACAATGATCCGAAACATACAAGTCCATTGCCATCCCAGTTCTCTGACCTAAAGCCCATTGAAAACCTGTGAGGTGAGCTCAAGAGGAGAGTCCAAAAGACCTTGGTGGATCTGGAGAGACTCTGGAGTCTCAGATTCTTTGCTCTCCGTTTACTTATTTTAACAGCAACACATCATGTTATTTGACTGGGGTGTTCAAACTTCCATACGACTATAAAGCAATTGACTTTTTCCACAGTTCCATTTCAGTCATTAACATTTTGTTTCCTTTTTTCTTTGTTAATATGTGGCTCTGTTGGTGGCAGCTGGTTTGTGGATATGAGCTACAAAGAGGTTTTTTTTTTTTCCCTGATACCTCTTGCCCTCCTAGGTTGGGTTGGTACTTCTAGATGTCCTTAAGTTATTATATCACTAAAATAACAGCACATCTGCATGAGGATGGTTGTAGTTCTCACAGCTTCATTACTTCTTATTTGTAGACAGAGTGCTCTGAGCAACAAACAGTAACAGCATTTGTTTTATTCTAAACTAAGCTTTTGATCAGACTGAACAAAAGCCGGCAGGTGGCGATGTTGAGCTACTCTGAAAAAAGTGAAAGGGGCTTCTGCAGGTTGAGTTGAGTCAGAGATGATCATGCGCAGCTGAGGATTTCAGAGAGACAGAGAGAAATGTCTAAATGTACGTGATTACATTACACGGTTATGTAAGATTTAACGGGACTTCACATGGTTAGTTAAGGCGTTCTTACGTCATTAATGATCATATACACCGTATTCTAATGAGAGCGGATGAAAGCTGCTCGTTATTGGCAACTTTCGTGACTCTTACGGAAGTTCGCATCAGTGTTCTCCCTCTTTTAGTAGCATTCGCAGAAATTGCCTGTGAGGCCATAAAAAACTAAATCAGGATATGGCCAGTCTATGTTTTACTTCCTATCTCAGTCTCTGACGGCTTTGAAGAAAAAAAAAAGAAGAAAAGGAAAAAAAAAAAAAGCTTTGCCTCACTGGAAACTCCCTCAACAAAGTCCTTTTATGGGCTCATGTCTACGACATAGGAGGTGTGGCTCACATTAAAAAAAAGCTATAAAAAAAGCTAGAGCTCCTAGAGCTCTCATTCAAGCAGCTGCTTGCTTAAAGCACACAGCAAAGATGCTCCAGCTACAGAACATCTGGGATTACGTCCGACAGTATGAGACCTGGATGAGGTCTCCTTTCTTCCCTGCACTGTTTTCACTGACTGTTTACTTGAGCTTCTGTCTGCCTTTCGTGGTGCTGGACCTGCTGTCCTCCAGGGTGGCTATGGTGAGGAGATACAAGATCCAGCAGAAGACCAAGGTGTCTTTAAGGATGATGTGGAACTGCCTGGCTCTTTCGCTCTACAACCATGCAGTCTACATCTTCCCACTCAGCGTGCTGCACTGGTACTGCAGGCCTGTGGTTTACCCAGTGGAGGCACCTGGGATTCTGGAAGTCATCTGGGGACTGGCATCCTGTCTGCTGCTCTTTGACTTCCAGTACTTCGTCTGGCACCTGTTGCACCACAAAGTGCCCTGGCTGTACCGCACCTTCCACAAGGTGCACCACAAGCACACGTCCACCTTTGCCCTTACCACGGAGTATTCTGGGGCTTGGGAGACGCTGTCTCTGGGCTTTTTCGCAGCCATTAACCCCATGTTGCTGGGCTGCCACCCTATGACTGAGATGCTCTTCCACATTCTGAACATGTGGCTGTCAGTGGAGGACCACTGTGGATATGACCTGCCCTGGGCAACACACAGACTGGTGCCGTTTGGACTGTATGGAGGTGCCCCTCATCATGACCTTCATCACCAGAAGTTCAAAGCCAACTACGCTCCATACTTCACTCACTGGGACAAGCTGTTTGGCACCCTGCATGCTGAGTGAGAATCACAAGACCAGCTGGACTGTACTACTCTTTTGCATCAAAAGATCAGACTTTTTTGATTCAGAGAATCCTGATGTTCTCGTTCCACAAATACACAGTTCGTTTCTGCTCAGTACTTTTCTGCTTAAAGCATTTTAAGTGAGCTAAATGCACTCTACTATTTATTAAATGTCTTGCGTTAAATATGTTGATAGTATTAACATGTTCATATTTATTTATATATTATAACTTGAAGTATGTTTGTTTTTCTGTTAAAATAAAACAGCAAAAAGCAGCAAATCATGAGGTAAATATTTGTGTTTGTGTTTTGACTTACAAACTCAAGTTGATTCATACATTCATTTCACACTTTCAAGAAGGGACAATATACTACACTATAAAAGATTTATCATTAATATAACAGTAACTTACTGCCAACAATTAGCCAACAAGCTGCTGTATTTCATACTGCAATAAAATTACCATACAACTAAGTACAGTATTTTCAATATACAATGTAATGAATTACAGTACACTTAAAAGTACTATAAAACTCATTACAGCAATTCTGTCATGCAGTATAATAAATTACAATCTGCTTAATGGTCCAGTAGAACTAACAGCAATAAGCCTAAAGTATAATGAAACGCAGTCATTTTATTTTTTACATACTTACTTGTTAATTTGCAGCAGAGAAAATACATATCAAGCAACTGCAAAAAATAACTCATTTTTGCAGTACAATTAATAATGTCTTTGTTCTTCAGTCAATACAAAACAATTAAACCTGAAATTGCTGAAGTCTTTTTAATCTTTTTAAATAGTCAAGGTCCTTTTTTCCTGAATAGTTAGACAATAAAGTTATGAGGAACAATGTATTTTGACAATAATGTGAATGAGAAAACGATCTAAATATAAAACCTATACATTTTCAGGTGAGAAAGAACAATAATACATTTCAGTACTTAATGATCAAATATATAATTTAAAGTATTTAAAAAGAAAATATTAAATGACACAATAGGGATAGTCTGTAAATCAAATAATTATAGTCTGTTTGGCAGTGTACGTTTAATCTGGAGTCATTTGGTTATAATAAAAGTGAATTTTAAGCTTTGGGGTGGCCATATTTACTGTGACATCACCAGCTAACAGAAAAGAAAGAACAAATCTCTCACATGAGGTCAAGAGGACAAAATGGACCAGTCCTTGGTGTCTATCATAGCCATTATGAAAATTTGAAATCAACAGAAGTTCTGACCAACCAGATACATCACAGGCAGTATTGCAGACTGCAAAATAGTAAACATTTGACTGAATATCTCTCTTTAATTATTTAGCACATCTATATGTTCTCAGTGAACACAATGAACATAACCTTTCAATTGTAGAGCTGAAATAGAATAAGAATGTTGCAACAGTCAAGTCCTTTCTGCAGAGATACATATTCAGTGTTTGGCCATTTGGAAAATGTGTGCATGTACAGTGTTCAGCCGTTTGTAAAATGTGTGCATACATGTCCTTTTGGGGCAGAGGTATATTCACACCAATGACAGATATGAGTTGCTTACAAATCTAGTAAAATATCAGAATGCAGCAATAAAGCTTGTGATGTGAACACAGCCTTGTCTGACTTGTCTGACACAAAGTCACCGGGTAGGTTGTGACTGAATGGTAAGTGGGATGCAGTTGCAGGTTGAAGATAGGACGACTCTGAGTTGTTCTTTTCAAACGGAGAGTGATTTGTTTACAAATGTGAAGATATACAAAAGAAAAACTGCAAATTCAAACAAAAGCGGGTAAAATGTTAATCCGACTCATTGGTAGTACAGGTAAGTATAATCACCTGAGCTAATCCATTCCACTCTGCAGGGGTGTTGCTGTCCTATAAGAGTGGGTTAAAACAAAGGTAAACAAAGTCATAACCAGTATCATAAGGCCTTAAAATATATTATTACTGGTACAGGTGCTTCATTACAGTGCGCACATTTGTTAACCTGTCTCACTCTGTTTTTTAGGACCTAGGTTGGAGACATCACCCCTCCCATGAGCTAGCCGTGGGCCCTCCGGCACACTCATGAATGAGCTCTGTCTGCTCTGCCTCCCTTTTGCTGACTCTGCTATGAAACAGACAACAGGTGAGTATTACAGGTAGGTATTCAGGTAAGTATTACAAACACATACATAGACAGTCTCTGGTGATGGGTGATGCGTTGCCTCATCACACAAGAGCACTGGTGATTACCTACAAAAAGGGGGAAAGAATGGTCAGACATCAATTCAAATTACATATAAAATCAGTTTTGGCAACAGTGGCTAGTAGCTTGCAAATATATTTATTGAACTGTGTCTTGGCTTTAAAATGCCTTTTGTAATTCTATTTCAAATGTTTAAAGGGGCATCCAATTTTTTTTTTGCCATCTCTAACATGAAATAATAAACTGACATCATCTGGAAACAGTTGTGGAAGTAAAAGAACATCCCTGAATCTGGCAGGTCATATTAACCCTCTGCGATAAAAGGAGAATTCCAAAAAATGCCTGCATACTTCAGTCGCTGAAATGTAAAAAAAATTATTCAGAGTGGTTTGATGTGAAGTAGCTCATTGTTGACTTACTGACTTTACAGTTGTAAAATAATATATCAGGCACTAGGCAGCATATTCACAACTGATACATGTGGGATTGTAAAAGAACAGCAGTCAAATTACATGGGCAGCTAAAACCCCACAAAGTATTGGCAAGACTGCTTGTGTTTACTTTCATGTTTAATAAATTCTGCAATTATCTCCATGGAGTTACAACAAACTGTACAACAAAATCTATTAGGGACATACAGTAGCTGTTATCTAACTTAGCTGCGATAGCTAACCTACCTACAACCAAGAAGTGAATTTGAAATTTGAAAAGAAAAAGCTAGGTTTTAATAAGACTGTTGGTATATAGTGATATGAGTACACTTAAAGGGGAATTCCACAGATTTTTCACATAATTAAAGAAAAGATGTGAACAGTCATTCAGAGTGGTTTAGTGTGAAATGCTGCGCTCCAGTGAAACTTACTGAGTCAGACTTGTTCACAGTGGTGGTCATAGGAACCAGATGTCTACGGAGTTTAATGCCTCTAAAAGCTCCCTCACAAAAACGTTATTACACAAAATGGTCACAAATACTCCGCCTATTTCTTGGCCTAAAATGTATTTGTAAAAAGTATTCATGGTGGAGAGCTGTATGCAGGACATTTTAAGAAAATATTATCAATATAATGTAGAAAAATTCAGAAGGTGTGTAGACATGGCTGTTTTGTATAGCAAATAAAATGTATGTGTTATGTTGTAGACATCCTGACCCCTGGTTGAAATATTGAAATAGGCAGATATATTTAAAGAAATGGTACTCCCCTTTGGAAGGGAAATGTGTGACTAATATCAGGGTTGAAATTGAACTAGTTCTCCAGAAGCCAGGTTGAGCAACAATAATTTATGGTAAAACAATGATCAAAGTCATGACTTCCTCAAGAGGTTAATACTTATCAAAAGGCCTGTGATTACAACCTCCTCTTCTTCCTAACAGTCCTGCTGAGAGGCTTTGCATTCACTCTCTGTAACTAGGCCCTTCATGCTGCCCTTATATGAGCAATTATGAGAATAAAAATAGAAAATTACAATAATACTGATCATTTCTGCATGCCAATACAGTACAAATGCTTATGTACTTATTGTAATGCAGATTGGTATAAACTAATACTGCTATTATTCGATGTTCCATTTAAAGACATACATAGTACACTGTGCTTTTGTTTTAAACTACTGAAATAAAGATCTCATATACTGCAATAATACAACATTGAAATCTGGTATTTCACAGCACCTTAAAAACACAAAATCGTGCCCAAAAAAAATAAATAAGGACATGGCAGTGTTTGCCATCCTGTCTCAATTCCCGCTTCACAGGAAAGCTCTTCCAGTAATAGAGCCGTTTTCTTTCTGATGGTTTAACCTGGCTTGGAATGTAAAAAAGGTGAAAAAAGCATTGTGATTCTGGAAATTCCCACTGGAAGGTCTTTTATCTGTCTTTCTGTGCAGATCAAAAAAAGATCCAAGGTGTGGCTTACAGCCTCTATACAAATGCTACAGCTTCAGATGTTCCCATTCAAAAAGCTGCTACAAGATCCAGCTCTTTCGCTCTACAACCATGCGGTTTACATCTTCCCACTCAGTGTGCTGCACTGGTACTGCAGGCCTGTGGTTTACCCAGTGGAGGTACCTGGGATTCTGGAAGTCATCTGGGGACTGGCGTCCTGTCTGCTGCTCTTTGACTTCCAATATTTCGTCTGGCACCTGCTGCACCACAAGGTGCCCTGGCTGTACCACACCTTCCACAAGGTGCACCAAGGAGGACCACTGTGGATATGACCTGCCCTGGGCAACGCACAGACTGGTGCCCTTTGGGATTGCCCTTCATCACGACCTTCATCAAGTTTAAAGCCAACTATGCTCCATACTTCACTCACTGGGACAAGCTGTGAGTGAGAATCACAAGACCAGCTGGACTGTAATACTCTTTTGCATCAAAAGAACAGATTTTTTTGATTCAGAGAATCCTGATGTTCTCATTTCATAAACACACAGCTCATTTCTGCTCAGTACTTTTCTGCTTAAAGCATTTTAAATGAGCTGAATGCACTCTACTATTTATTGAAAGCTTTGTGTTAAAGATGTTTGTGAAAGTAATAACATATTTATATTTATGGACTTTGGTGTTGATGAATTATGCATCTATGAATTGTTTTGCTGTGAAGAAACCATGAAGATTGTGTGGAAACTGCAATAAAACTGCAAAAAGCAGCAAAATGTGACATAAACATTTGTGGTTGTGGTTTGACTTATAATCTTAAATTGATTAAACATTCATTTTACACTTTCAAAGAGAGACAATAAACCACATTGTAAAAGGTTTATTATTTAAATGACAGTAGCTTACTGCCAGCAATTAGCAAGTATTTCATGCTGTATTGTATGCTATGATAAAATTACTGTACAACTAAGTACAGTATTTTTAATATACAATACATTTCAGAGTGCTATAAAACTACAGCAATTTAATTCTGCTCTATAATAAATAACAATTTTAGGTTTTGGGGCTGCCATATTTACTGTAACATCACCAGCTGATGGAAAAGAAAGAACAAATGTCTCACATGCAGGTCAAGAGGATAAAATGGACCAGTCCTTCGTGTCTATCATAGCAGTTACGAAAATTATCCAACCAGATATTTCACAAACAATATGACAGACTAAGGAATA